ACATGTTGCCCTGCCAACAGGAAAGAGCCACAAGCCAGAGATGACAAAGAATTGGAACTGAAGAAACGAAAGATGAGAAAACTCCAGAGTCTCCAGGATGTCTTATGCCTCCTGACTGCTGGGATTAAAGGCATACACCAGACCTGACTTGTTGAGTTGTTTTTTTCAGTGTTTGTATGTGACAGAGTACATGTATGTACATCACTTGTGTGCAGGGAGTTGTGAGCTGTTATGTGGGTGCTGAGAACCAAACCCAGGTCCTAGAGGAGCAACAAAACACTCTTAATTGCTGAGTCATCTCCTAGCCTCCCCCACCCAATTTTTTCTTTTATGGGTCTTGCCTGTATGTATGTAATGCATGTGGGGAAGCAAGAAGAAGGTATCAAACCCTATGGAACTGGAGTTAGGAATGATTATTAGCCACCATCTGAGTGCTAGGAACCAAACCTAGATTCTCTGTGAGAGCAGCCAGTGCTCTTAACTGCTGAGCCATCTCTCCAGGCCTCTTGTTTTTTAGACAAAGTCTCACAATGTAGTTCTGGCTAGCCTGGAAGTTGCTATATAGACCAGACTGGTGGTGTCAAACTCAGAGGTCTGCCTACCTTTGCCTCTAAAGTGCTGGGGTTAAAGTTATGTGACACTACACCTGGCTTTTTTATTTTTTGTAATGGGAATAATTATTAATCACCTCCTGGCTTTGTTGGAAGGACTAGAAGGTCAGCCATCTGAGGTGCTATCCACAGAGCTAGTTGGTTAAGATGGGTACAATGTAAATTAATGGGAGAGCCTTGGAGTACACTGTTAAGAGTATTAGTTTCCCTGTTGATGATGTAAGAAAGTTTCAGCGTTGGTATTAACAGCTTCATATCACACAAAATCTGGGCCTTTGAGATAGCTCAGTGAGTAAAGGCACTTGCCACCAAGCCTGATGAACTGAGTTCAAGCCCCAGAACCTGCATGGTAGAACCATCTCCACAAAGTTGTCCTCTGACTGACACTCCTGTAACCCCAGTATTCAGAGGTAAAGAGTTTTATGAGTGGTGTTTTTAATATATACTATTAGAATATATACACTATTCTTTTTAAATTTTTTGCTTTATTTTTTATTTTATGTGTATGCCTGCATGGGTATTAGCATACCTGTGTTATGCAGTGCCCTCAGAGGCCAGAAGAGGGTGTTGAATTCACTGGGACTGAAGTTAGAAATGGTTGTTAGCTGTCATGTGGGTGCTAGGAACTGAACCCAGGTCCTCTACAAGAACAGCCAGTGCTCTTAACTACTGAGCCATCTCTCTAGTCCCCATTACACTATTAGCATTTTTGCAATTTTGAAGTCCTGCAAAGTGTGGTGGCTCAACCTATAATCTCAGTACTTGGGAGGCTGGGCAGGAGGATTGCTGGGAGTTCAAAGCCAGCCTAGGCTACTTATCAAGACTCTATCAAGAAAAAGGAGTGGGTGGGGGTGGGGTGGGGTTCACTCAGCAGAGTACTCACCTAGCATGCATGAAGCCCTGGGTTCCACCTCTAACACTACATAATCTAGCATGTTGGTGCATTCCTGTAATCCCAGCACTCAGGAGGGGGATGCAGGAGAATCAGAAATTCAAGGTCATCTTCAGTTAGAGGCCAGCCTGGGCTCTATGAGGCAGGGCAGGAAAGGAAAAGAGAATGAAAGAACAACAACAACAAAAAATCTACAGAATTAAAAGTTGCAAACAGAGTACCCCACCCACTCCCCATATGTTCTCCCAGCTGTCACCATCTTACCTTCTTTGGACAGGAAATATTTCTTGGAAGAGTCTATTCACCTGTTCCCTGTTCCCAACCACTATGGAGCTGGGTAAATGTTCAGTCAGTGGCTCTCCAAATAACCCCAGTGCACCTGACTTTAGCGTTTGCTAATTTCTCTGGTGAAAATATTCCCACCAAGGCCCATGTCATTATTAACAAAGTGCCACCAAAGGCAGCACTGGTGGGAGATGAGTGGTCCATACACATAATATAGAAGCAGGTATAGTGGCACATGCCTGCCATCCCAGCACTCCAGAGGTAGAGACAGGAGGATCAGGAGTTCAAGATCATCCTTTGCTACACAGTTAAGTTCAAGGCCAACCAGGGCTACATGAGATCTTGCCTCAAAACAAAAATGAAGACAAAAGAAAACAATATAACAGTTAATGCATCACTGAATGCCACAGACTTGCATTGTTAGACATCCTCATTGCTGTGAACATCATGGAGTGTTCTTGAAGGACTGGAGAGATGGTTCAGCAGTTAAGAGTACTTGCTACTCTTACAGAGGACCTGAATGGTTCCCTGCACCCATGTCATACAGCTCACAACTGCCAGTAACTTCAGCCCCATGGGATCCAGTGCCCTCTTCTGGCCTCCACAGACACCCATATGTACATAGAATATACTCATAGACACACATAAGTTTTGTGAAGATAGAGTGTACTTGGATGGGCATGGATACACTTGGAAGGCAGAAGCCAGCAGATCTCTGTGAATTCGAGGCCATCCTGGCTGATGGATCTGGGCCAGCCAGGGCTACAGGAAGACCCTGTCTGAGAAAACGGAGGAAATTAGAATGTACTTGAACAAACAGAGATGGTGTCAGCCAAGGTCATTGTACTTGACCACTCAAAGCAATCAAGATGGTGTGGAGGCTGAAGAGATGGTTGGTCCTCAGCATCCACATGGTGACTAACAACTGTCCTTAACTCCAGTTTCAGAGGATCCAATGCTCTCTTCTGACCTCAAAGGACATTGCACGATGTGTGCACTTACATACATGCAAGCTAAACACATAACATAAAAACAATATTTTAGCCAGGCGTGGTGACACACCTTTAATCCCAGCACTCGGGAGGCAGAGGCAGGCAGACCTCTGTGAGTTCAAGGCCAGTTTGATCTACATACAGGACAGGTGGGGCTACAAGGAGACCCTGTCTCAAAAAGAAAAAAAAAAAGCCAGGTATGGTGGTGCACACTTTTAAAAGAAAAGGAGCTGGTGTGGTGGTGGGTGGTGTAATCTCACCTTGAATGTTGAATCTTTCATAAACAATAGAAACCAATGCAATCAAGAGAAGAGAAGAGGAAAACACGATATATGAGGTCCTGTGACCCTTGGGGCAAAGATGGAATCTGTTCTTTTAATTCATTTATTTTTATTTTTTGAGTGTTTTGCCTTTATGTAAGTATATTTGTGCGTGCAGTGCCTGCAGAGGCCAGAAGTCAGCGTTGGATCCCCCAGAACTGGAGTTAGGGATGGTTGTTAGCTGCCATGTGTGTGCTGGAAACCAAACCCAGGTCCTCTGCAAGAGCAGCAGCCAATGCTCTTAACTGCTGAGCCATTTCTCCAGTTGCAAAGATGGAATCATGTGGTCTGATGGAGCATTTTGTAGCCCATGACTGTAAATAATCTCAAAGGCACAGATAATAGTAATATATAAGACTCAGATGATGCATTGGGAGTGGTTGTTAGCTTTATGTTAATGTAATCCATTTGATCCTACAACCCATTATTAAATATTACTGTGTTTAAAAGCAGCCTGCATGATTCCTGAACATTTATCACTTGGCTATCGAAGCACAAGCTCAATCTAGCCCACCTGTGTGAACCTGTATCTCAACCCACTGAAAACCGGCTTCTCTCATCCAGTCCAAACCCTGCTGCTTCATCTATCTCCCCAGGCACTTTGTGTTGCGTGCATGTTGATGCTGGCGGTTAATTGTTGGTGTCTTCCTCAGTTGCTCTCCACCGTCTTTTTAAAACCTTTTTGTTTTATGTGTATGAGTGTTTTGCCTGCATGTAAGTGCACCCATGCATGCAGAGGTCAGAAAAGGGTGTCAGATTCCCTGGAACTGGAGTTACTGACGGTTGCAAGTCACCATGTTGGTGCTGGGAACAAAACCCAGGTCCTCTGCAAGAGCAACCAGTGCTTTTAACCACTGAGCCTGCTCTTGAGCCCAAACAGGTGTCTCCCCAAAGTGCTTAAAAGGACAGGCCTCATCCTTCCCTCTTGCTCTTGCAGCAACTTGCTTGGTGACCTGTCAGTTGCTGTCAGTCAGTTGGGCCTGGTCAGATAGAGGCAGAGTCACTATTGGTCAGTTAGAAACCAACTGAATCCATCCTCGAAGTTCTCCCACCCATATGCACATCTCTGATGCTAACACTGAGCTGTCTCAAACCTGGCATGCACGAAGCCCTAGGTTAGAGTCCCAGCACCGCAATGACCTGTGGTGATGCACACCTGTCACCCCAACACTTAGCAAGTGGAGGCAGGAGGATCAGAAGCTCCTGGTTATCTTCAACTACGTAAGAGGTTTTGAGGCCAGCCTGGACTACAGGACAGCCTGCCTCAAAATAAAACAACACAACCATTGAACTGTCTCAAAGACAATCACTGCTCTGGACTGAATCCTGGATCCCCTTTAGGCTCTGCTCTTAAGTAGTCTCTTGCCCAACTACCCAAGTTCCACAAGAATGCTGATCGCCTGAGCACTCTTCCAAAGCCTCACTCATTTAAAAAACAAAAAACAAAAACAAAAACAAACCTCTCTAGGAATTCCCCGCCTCCCATCAGGCCCACCCGTCTCCTTACTCGCTCTCTCTGCCCAATCAAGAGACAGACGTCTACCTATCCTAACCAACCCGGCCGGGTCAAGCTCCAGCTCTGTCTCGGAACCGATACCTGAGCCTATTCTAACTTCGCCCCTTCCCAGGCTCCCCACCACCACAGAGCTCTCTCCCTACCCAATCAGTTGCGACTACCTATTCTAAACTCCTCCCCCTCCCAGGCTCCAACCCGTTCGCCGAACTGGCTTTTTCCTGCGTCCTAGACTTGTACCTATTATTCTGAGCCCTGTTTCCGTCACAGAGTCTGTCATTTCCACCCAATCAGAAGCTTTTCCTTCTAAACCCTGCCCTCTCGCGCCTGCTTTCTCAGGGCGGTTCACTGCCGTCGCAGATGGATGACGCCATCTAGGCACGACGCGGGAAGGTCACGGGTTCTTCCAACATGGCGGCGGCGGCGCTGCGGAGTGGCTGGTGCCGCTGTCCGCGGGTGAGCACATGCGTGGGTTGGTGAAGCAGAATGAAGGGGTTTAGGGCACCCAGCCTTCAAAGTCTTCAGTCTCTGGGCTCTCGTGGTCTTTCCCGTGGGCTCCACGGCTGGCTTGAGGCTGGGTCAGCAGAGGCCTAGGCAAGGAGCACGTAGCCTGAGGGCGGGAACCGAGCGCACTTAGCAACGGGCAGCGATGTGCGGAGCCTGGCGAGCAAATCCCACGTGCACCGGGGAGTCCCCGGTGGTCGAGGAGGCGGTGTCCCGAGAGAAAAAGTAGCCAGATGAAGGTTAAAAATATATCCAACGTGTGACATTCACAGCTCCCGTTTAAATGTCAAATTCTCTGCCGAGGGCATTTTCTGCATTGCCTCTCAACGCTCCCAGTGAAAGTGTGGGAGGTAATTGTCGCCCTGTCTAGGAACTAGGACTCATGGCTTAAGTCAGTAGGAATCAGGACTTGTCATGCACATTCAGAATACAGTTCTTTATGTTGCTGCTGTCTGACCCTATTTTCGTTTCTTGAAACTGAAGAAAGGTTAATTGACCTGCCCACAGGCCCAGAAATAGTAGGTGACTCACGTGACTCAAAGCCTAGCTCAGTCTGATTCCAGAGCCAGAGTGTTAACGCGACGGAAAATGTGTTGTGGGAATGGAATGTAAGGCAGCAGCAAATGTCTGTGAATCGAGACTGACTTGAGGGACGCTCTTTGTCTTTGAATTAGGGTGTAAGGATTTGAATTTACCTGTGCTTAAATTTGGGGGCAAGACTAAGGCAGAACCCACCTCAGGTTTCACTCTACTAAGATTTCTTTCTCTCCAGCATTTTTCTCTTCTCTTCTTGACATAGCTACTGATGTTACTTGTATAAATTAGTGACTAGTATTCTGAGAAAAGTTAAAGCAAGTTATTACACTCCCACCCAAGAGTTATCTTTCATAGGTATGTTACCTATATGTTTGGACCTTGAGATCTATTTTTTTCCTTTTTTCATGTGTATGAGTATTGCATGCATGAATGTAAGTGTATCCAGTGAGTGTAATGCCTGCAGAGGCCAGAAGAGAGTGTTGAAGTCCCTGGAATTGGAGTTAGGGATGGTTGTTAGCTACCAGTGGGTGCTAGGAACTGAATGGGGTCCTCTGCAAGAGTGGCCACTGCCTTTTAACCAATGAACCATCTCTGCAACCTGACCTTGAGATCTTGTTTGGATGTTCTAGCTGGGGTGCTCTTGTATACTCTTGATGGGAAAAGCAGTTCTCTAAAGGAAAAGGTCATCCTAATCAAGGTCATCCTCTTGGATCTGTGAGGGAGGAAGGGGATACATGCCTAGCTAGACAGATTAGGTGAATCAGTCCTGGCAATCAGTGGGGTGACAGATGTTGCAGCCAGATCACCCTCACATCTGAACCTGTATAAGTTTGGGATGTTGCTTGTGGCTATACAGCTAGGAAGTGGGGGATGGAGAGAAAAAAAATCCACAAAATTAAAAGTCATTCTGGTAGGTCATTTGATTTCAGTGCACTAAGTTTCCCATGCTGTTTACAGCTTCAGGTTCATCATTTGGTCTTTCTTATGACATTGGCTGGGTCATTGCCCAGAGGGACTCCCTTACATTAGCTCTGCTTTCAGAATCCTTGACCAGGACATTACAAGTTTATTCCATAATTTCCCCTGGATCAGTAAGTTAATTTGTTTGTCTCTGAAAGTTCAGGGGACTGGCAGAAGTGGGATGGGCTTGACTAAGGGTTAAGAAGTTGGGGCTGGAGAGATGGCTTAGCAGTTAAGAGCACTGACTGCTCTTGCAGAGGACCCGGGTTCGATTCCCAGCAGCCACATGGTGGCTACGAACCGTCCTTAACTCCAGTTCCAGGGGAATCCAAAGCCCTCTTCTAAACTCTGAGACACTGCACAACATGGGCGCACTCACATACATGCAGGCAATACACACACACATAAAATAAAAATAAAATTGTTTCTTTTTTTTCAAAGTTTAGGCTTCTCCCTCAGGTTGGCATTTCCTGGTACCTATCTGTCCATCTCCTCCCCTAGTTTCAGAAGCAGGAGTAAAGATGGAGCATTTTCTCTTCCTGCCAAATTCCTGTGGCGTTTCAAACTTTACATAGATCTCAAATTGTTTAGCATACAATAGGCACGCATTCTAAATCAGCAGATGACTCACAAGTGACCCTCACATTCACCTTCTTGTTTGAATGGATTGTTCTCTTTTCTCAAACAATTAGAGATGTCTGGGCAATGGAGTCCAGTTTCTCTCCAATCACAACCCACCCAGTGGTTCGAGCTACCAGATACGCTGGCCAGACGGAGAGCTGCTACTGGTGAGTGATCCCAGATGCCACATGCAAGCAGACACAGTGGAGGTCTGAAAAATTAATTCTGTGAGGGTCATTTTCAGGGGTGGGTGTTCTATGTCCAAGACTTTCAGAGGTACAGAGATCAGTGGACCTTGTCTTCTGGGTATCTCAAGATGTGCTTGGTCAACCTCGTGCTCAGTGTTGTCAACAGCACGGCGCTCCTTCCTCACCAAGTAGCACATCAACTACTGGCTAGAAAAAGCACCCCTGTATCAAACCACCATCTCTCTCTCTGTGGCTCCTGCCCATGTGTAACTCACTAAGGACAGCCCTTTTAGTGTTGGGATAGAGTCACTCCATGATTCCCTGGCTCTCACTGTGTCCTGGGTGCTTCTCTTCAACCATGCGTCTATTAGCATGTCTTGATGGCATGAGGAAGAAAGCCCCAAACTTACATGCTGGGGCTGCCCACAGCCTCTCCTCCAGTCAGAGCCCTGACTCATCTAGTTCCTCATCCTGTCTTGGGGCCATTCGAGGAGTGAGACAGGCCCTAGTGATTCTTACCCTGGCTGCCATTCTTCTCCCTTGTGGCTTGACGGGCCAGAGAGACACTTGACATGGTCAAATGGTCCCTCAGCCATTGTGACATGCCTAATATGTGTCAGCCACACATGGCCACTCCCTGTGACTTTAGTCGCTTCATTGTTCCTTAAGCTTTGTCTTTTTTTTTTTTTTTTTTCTTATATCCCAGGCTGTCCTGTAGCTCACTAAGGATGCCCTTAAACTCATGATCCCCCTGCTTCTACCTAACAAGTGCTTTGGCATTTTACTTTTTGTTTAGTTTTTATTTTTATTTATTTGTGCACATGTGAGTGTATGCCACACGTGTGCAAGTGCCTGCTGAAGGCAGATAAGGGCATTGGATCAGCTGAAGCTGGAGTTACAGGTGGTTGTAAATCACCCAACTTGAGAACTGGGAAAAAAATTTAGGTCCTGGAAAAGCAGTAAGTGCCCTTGACCACTGACTACCAAGTCATCTCTCCAGCCCCAAGTTTGACTTTTTTCTCAATCTTGCAGAGTTCTGCCTGCCTCTCCTGGGATTAAAAGGTGTGTGCTACCACACCTGCCCCAAGTTTTACTTTTGATAGACTTTTCAGAGTAGTTTTAGCTTTACAGAAAAGTAAACGGGCTTGAAATATGTTTCACTTGGTAGAGTGCTCTTATAACATTCACAAAGCCCTGGATGCATCCCCAGCACAACATACACTGGGCATTGTAGCACACTTCTGCCATCCCAGCATTCTGGATGGAGGCAGGAGGATCAGGAGTGCATGGTCATCCTCAGTTTCAGAGCAAATTGGAGGCCAGTCTGAGCTACATGAGACCCTGCCTCAAAAATAAATTAATAAAAATTAAACAAAAAGTACAGAGGGTTCTCCCTGACCTTTTCCCCCATTGGTGTTCACAGGTCCCCTGTTAGTCATATCTCCCATTGTGGATGACATTGTTACAGTTGATGACCCAGTGTGAATACGTTGTTAAGCTCTGAAATCTGTGGTTATTGTCCAGTTCATTTCTGCTTTATAAACTCTGTAAGTTTTCTGACAAATAGATAAAGACTTGCCTCTATCATTGTAGAGAGAATTTAGAATATGCAGAGCAGTTTCACTAACCAGGCTTGATGGTGTACACCTGTGGTCCTCAGTACTCACTAGCCAGGTCTGGTGGCACAGCTACAGTCCCCAGCACATGGAAGCACGAGAATGAGGAGGTCAGCTATATAGCAAGTTCAAGGCTGGTGGTTCCCAGACTTTATCTAAAAAGAAAACAAAAAACCACACCTAAACAAGAACAGGGGCTGTCGAAATGGCTCATGGGTAAAGGTGCTTGCTGGGCAAACCTCACAGTCTAGATGCCTGGAACCCATTCCACAATATTTTCCTCTGACCTCCACATACGAGCTGTGATATGCATGCACACATTTCTTCTTACTCTTCATCCTCATCCTCTGATCTTCACCTGTTCATTTCTCCCTCCCCTGGACCTTTGACAACCACCAGAATGTCCCGTAGCTGGGCAGTGTTACAAGCCTTTAATCCCAGCACTTGGGAGGCAGAGACCTCTGTGAGAGATGTCCCACAGTTGGACTCACAGCAGTTTGTGGCCCTTTCATAAGCCTACCTGTCAGTTAGTTGGATATGTTTGCAACTTTATCATCTTTTTTTAAATTTCTTTTTTATTTTTCATTAAACACAGCTTTATTATATTTATACTTACATTTTTTTGAGACAGGGTCTCACCGTGTAACCTTGGCTGGCCTGGAACTCACTACATAGTTCAGGCTGTCCTGAAACTCATAGATCCACCTGCCTCTGCCTCTGAAATACTGGGATTATAGATGTGCACCACCATGTCCAGCATGAATTTTATCATCTTTTTTATTGTTTTTTCTTTTTTATCATCTTTTTAAAAAATATGTTTATTTTTATTTTATGAGTATGAGTGCATCTATGCTCATGTAAGTGCACCCATGTCATGCAGTGCTCTCAGAGGTCAGAAGAGGGTATCAGATCTCCTGGAGCTGGGGTTACAGTCAGTATGTTGTTTGCCATGTGAGTGCTGGGATCTGAACCCTGATTGGAGCGCTCACGCGCTTTCTCTCTCTCTCTCTCTCTCTCTCTCTCTCTCTCTCTCTCTCTTGTCTTTTTGAAACAGGGTCTCCCTGTAGCCCCAGCTGGCCTGGAACTCACAGAGATCCACCATTCCCAGCCAATTTCACCATCTTTTGAGAGCTGGTTTCTCTTTATTGTGGAATAATGCTCCCCATACAGGATGACATCCCCAGATGTCCTTGAGGGATTGACTGTAGGACTCCCCTTTGGATGCTCCAGTCCTTGTGTACAGTGGATTAGTATTTGTGTAGAACCTATGTAACATCTTCCTGTGTAGTTTAAATCACCTCTCATTGGTTCATGTTTTAGTTTCCTTTCTGTTGTTGGATAAAACACTCTGACCAAAAGCAACTTAGAGGATAGGGTTTATTTCATCTTACACTTCTAGTCACAGTTCCTCACTGAGGAAAGGCGGGGCAGGAACCTGAAGGTAAGACTGCTTGTTATTCCATGCAGATTTACCTTCAACCAGGGAAAGTGCTCACAGCCAAGGATATACAGCAGAAAACAAGGAGCACTGCTTGGCAACTCGCTCGGGCCCAGAATGGGGGCATGGGCTGGGACTACCTACGGTGGCCTGGGCCCTCCTACCCAATATCTGTCAGTTCAAGGCCGTCACCCACAGACATGGCCTGCAATCCAATCTAAGAAACCCCTCAGTTCAGACTCTTCTCAGGTAACTGTAGGCTATGTCAGGTTGATAGTTAAAGCTACCTAAAAAAAAAACTTAGTAACTTCTGCATTATCCTCCTTTTTAAATTACTTTTTTTTTTTTTTTTTTTTAAGGCAGGGTCTCACAATGTAGTCCTGACTGGCCTCGCACTCAGAGAACCGCCTGCTTCTGTTTCCCATGTGCTGGGATCAAAGGCATGCGCCACTACCCCAGGCTCTTAATTGCTGCAGCAGTGAACATCAATGCGATTCTTTATTTTTATTTTATGTGTATGAGTATATTGCCTATATGTGTGTAAGTATACCTGTGCTGTGCAATGCTTGAGAAGGTCAGAAGAGGGCATTGGATTCCACTGGAACTTGAGTTATGGGCAGTTGTTAGCTGCCATGTGGGTACTGGGAATCAAACACTGGTCCTCTGCAAGAGCAGCCAGTCCTCTTAACTGCCGAACCATCTCTCCAGCCCCGTGATACACTTCTTTTGTGTATGTGTATAATGTTGGTAACATCAGCAGATATGGAACCTGAGGCTATCTATATAGGGCTGGCTATGTCAGTTTATCTTAGGATATTTCTGTAAATCATCTTCTATTAAATGAAAAGAGATGTCCATTCATTGGTAAAACACTGCTATCAATAGGAGGGAGAAGCTTTTACGGTCCCTTGTGGGCTCTGTGTACTAGCCAGGCATTATTACCCTGTGTGCCTTTCTAGTCTTTTAATTTAAATTAAAAATTAATTTTATCTTATCTTACATTGTTTCTAGACCAGATCCTATTCCTCTGGGAACAGAAAAGGGTTCTTGTCTGGCTTGCTAGATAACATCAAACAAGAACTAGCCAAAAACAAAGAGATGAAAGAAAGTATAAAGAAGTTCCGAGATGAAGCCAAGAAATTGGAAGAGTCAGATGCCCTCCAGGAGGCCAGGAGGAAATACGTGAGTACCTCCTCTCCAGATCCTTATTCCCAAAGCAGGCCTACCCTGAGCCAGGGCAGCTGGGGAAGTCAGCTTGCTTATCCTGAAGCAGGATCATAGCATGGATTTGAAGGAGTCAGGGGCCAGGGGCTGCCTGGGCCCCCTGATCCTGCATGGTTCTCTGGCTCTAAGGTGAGCCAGGCCTGGAGTGGTCACCTAGTTGGCAGAGTTGTGCTTAGCGTTTCCAAGACCATGCATCCATTGCCAGCACTGTACGTAACACAGTATAGCCACAGACCAACCAGCAGCATCATTTTTCTTGGGAGCTCTGAGATATACAGGTTGTATCCTGTCAGGTTGACACCTATGTCAGGTGACCCATGGAATGAAATCTTGGAGCCATGATATTCTTGAGAAGAGCTGCCGGTTGTGGTGATGGAAACCGAGTCATGATGCTGGTGTCGTTAGTGCGTGCCGCTGCCTCATCTTCTGTGTGTGTGTGTGTGTGTGTGTACACGTACATGTGAGCATGTGAGAAGGTGTGTACATATTAGTATTAGCATGTGAAGGCCAGAGGTCAGTGTCATGTATGTTTCTTTCTTGATTGGTCTTCATCCTATTTTTTGAGATAGCATCTCACTGTGTAGCTCTAGCTGGCCTGGAACTTGCTATGTAGACCATGCTGGCCTTGAACTCAAAGAGATCCACCTGCCTCTGGGGGTTAAAGGTGTGCACTGCCACACCTGGCTTCCACCTTATTTTTTGAGGGAGGGTTTCTCACTGAACCTGGTGGTGCTAGCCAATAAGCATCAGGAATGCATCTGTCTCCATTGCCCAGTGTCATCCCTCCAACAGTTGGCTTATAGGCAAAGCCTCAGCAACTGGCTTTGACATGGGTGCTGGAGATTGAACTCAGGTTCATTTGGATGGCACTCCTTATGTGGTTTCAGCCCAGTAGAAGATGGGCTTGTGCTATCAGTAAGGAATGAGTTTTCTGGGGACAGAGCAAGGTGGGGGGACCCAAGGTTAAACTATAGAAATGAGATGACCACTGAAGAGTGGACGTCAGGATCCCCTCCTTCCACCCGGTGAAGGTCCCGTGCTCTGGAGGTGGCTGCCAAGTAGGCCCAGCCTTACAGGCCAGAAGGAATGCTCAGGGTGGGCAGTCATGGAGTGATGAGGTGGGAGCTCTGTAAAAGTTTCAAGTACCAAGAAAATGCTCCTGAGGAACTTGCTCCTATGGTCAAGCTTACTGTAGTATCCAAATAAAAAGAAATAATATCCTTTGACCCTAGAAAACCATTGAGTCGGAGACTGTGCGTACCAGCGAGGCGATAAAGAAGAAGCTGGGAGAGTTAACGGGGACGGTGAAGGAGGTAATGGGCAGGCCTGGGGCTGACCTGGTAGCCAGGGGTGGGTGTGTGAGTGGCTTCAGGAAGCATCAGGAGCACAAGTGCATAGGATTATGAAGCCATACTGGCCCACTTGTAGGATGTAACCATTTAAATCTTGTGACAACAATAATAAAACGGTAAAGTGGGGATTTTTTATTTTTTTTTAAACAATTTTATGTGTATAAGTGTTTTGTGTGCATGTATGCAAGTGTAGCCGTGTTGTGCAGTGCCCACAGAGACCAGAAAAGGGCATCGGATATCGTGGAACTGGAGTTACACATGCTATGTTGGTGCTGGGAACTGAACCTGGGTCCTCTCTGAGAGCAGATAGTGTTCTCAACTGCTGAGCCATCTCTCTAGCCCATGGGGATTTTTGTGCTTCCTGGATAACAATAGAAGGAGGGTGGTGCTCCACCCCAGGCCAGGGTGCAGATGGATACAGGGTCCTCCAGAGGGGGCAGCACTTCATACTGGGTTTGGCATCTTCCCCTCACTCTCCCAGTTGCTTCCTGGGAATCCTGTTTCTGAGAATTCCATTCCTCTCCTCCCCATTTCAGGGAGAGGCTGGACTTGCAGAGTTCAGCACCCCAAGTGGAATGGAGTGCGAGATTCCCCCCTCTGCCTCTGTCTCAGTAGAGTCTTGATGAAGTCAGTAAGAGTGACCTGGGCCGGAAGATCAAGGAAGGGGTAGAGGAGGCTGCCAGGACAGCCAAGCAGTCGGCAGAGTCGGTGTCCAAGGGTGGGGAGAAGCTGGGCAAGACTGCAGCCTTCAAAGCCATCTCTCAGGTGAGCTAAGCCTGTCTCAGGCAAGGTGGGTGCAGGGGCACGGACCCCTCCCTTGGGGCTGCTGGCCCCCCAGCAGCTGTGGGTTTACTGCTTTCCTACAGGGTGTAGAATCAGTGAAGAAGGAGATCGATGAGAGTGTACTTGGACAGACGGGGCCCTACCGCCGGCCTGAGAGGCTCCGAAAAAGGACGGAGTTTGTGGGAGAGAAGTTGAAAGAAAGCAAAGTGTTCGAGCCCAATGAGTAGGTCCCAGACTGCCCGAGCTGCCCCTGGCCACCTGCCATAGTGTCTATTGCAAAAGCCCCAGGGGAGGCGCCTGTCCATGTCTGTTTCTTTTTGGGGAGTTCCTGGCTTCCTTCAGAGGAGTGGGAGTTGGAAAAGGAGTTGGGGAAGGAGAAGGAAGGCCAGGTCTTGGAAGCCTCTTGGCATGGAGCCTCCTCTGCTGCCCTTCCAGTGGTGGCAGGAGGGTTCAGGGCCCTGGGGTGGTAGTCCTAGGACTACAGCTTGTGGCAGCTGCCTGCCTTCTTTCCCAGGGAAGCCCTTGGGGTCGTGCTGCATAAGGATTCCAAATGGTACCAGCAGTGGAAGGACTTCAAAGACAACAACGTGGTATTCAACCGTGAGTGTAGCCAACCTGCCAGCTCCTGGGAAGGCTAGGAGCAGCAGACACTAGCTAGGCACTAGATAGAGCTCTGCATTACTAAATGTGAGGTGAGGACCAGAAAGGGCTGCATGCGTCATGGGGCCACCCATCCATCTGGCTGTAGAGTCTGTCGCTGAAACACCGGGTGATCACCCCTCAGACCATAGTTAGGATGCAGGGGGAACTCTGGGGTTCCCAGGCTGTGCCAAGGCCCTGGGGCAGGCTCTGGAGTTGCTGTTGGCTTTCAGCTGGGCACAGGATTTCTCCAGGACTGAGTAGACAAGCCACACACCCTTGCCCCATTTCCTGTGAGGACTACTAGAGTCCTATTTCCTTTGTAGTGGAGGCAACCACCAGCAGGGGTGGCATCCCAAAGTTTGCACATCCCCTCTGGGGCTGCAGCCAAGGGTCTCTGCATCCCCGAAGATAGGTGGGTAGATAGAGTCCCTGTGCTGAGATGAGGCAGGCTCAGGCTTAAAGATCCCTAGCCCAGAGCTACCTGACTTGTGTCAAGGAGGAGGTGTTGCAGAGAGTCCCCAGAAACTGTGCAGTCAGGGCATCTTACCAGAAGGTGCCCCTGCTCCAACTCCTGCACATGTCCTCCACAGGGTTCTTTGAAATGAAGATGAAGTATGATGAGAGCGACAACGTGCTCATCCGGGCATCCCGGGCCTTGACAGATAAGGTCACTGACTTGCTGGGTGAGTGCAGACCCCCAGGACTATCCTGTCAGCCCTACCTGTCAGTGGGGGTGGAAGCTAGGCACTGAACTCAGGGTTCCTCTCCCTACAGGGGGCCTGTTCTCCAAGACAGAAATGTCAGAGGTGCTCACGGAGATCCTTAAGGTAGACCCAACCTTCGACAAGGACCGCTTTCTGCGGCAGTGCGAGAATGACATCATCCCCAATATCCTAGAGGTATGCCCTAAGCCCCGATGGGGCCCTGGTCTGCTGCACCATCTCTCTTTCCTGAGAGGTACCCTGGGACCAGGTCCAGAGTTACCCCCAGGGGAATCTGGCTGCTGGGAACATCTGCTTTCTGAGCAGATACAATACTACCTGGCTCCTACCTGACTGTAACTGCCCCACAGGCAGTTACTGCCCATGGCCCTTTACTGCCTACAAATGCCTGACCTTACCCCACCCATGACATTTAGGGGTCTCAGAAGAGGGCTCTGGCCTTTGGCTGAACTTTGTCCTGGCTCTAGTGCTGGTGGCTATAGAGGTTTCTTACCTTTCCCATGGGGTATGATAGCTCTAGGAATGAATTTCCTTTCCTCTTTGTGGTCAGGCAGTCACTACTCCCTCCCCTTGACCCAAGGCCTTTCTCTGCACCTCCAGGTATGGTTTTCCTAAATCTGTTTACTGGATATTGCTAGGAGCAGGGCCCTGGGCCTTTCAGATATTAGGAAAAGCAGACATCACACTGTGGCTCACACCCCAAGTGTTCTGACGAGAGGCTGTCTGGGGCCACTGTCTCTGGTAGCTGAGATCTGGAGTCACAGTCTATGGCAGCAGAGGAGGAAGGGGGCCACTGTCTTTTGGTGGCAGGGGAGGAAGGGAGCCACTGTCTCTGGCTGTCTCCGTGTCCATGCTCAAGTGCTATCACCTCGTTGGCTTGTTAAGCCTGAAGTTCAAGTCTCACTCAAGTTGCAGTGTGGCCCACCCACCTTGAGGCTAGTTGTCTGCCTCTCTGAAGCTCCCAGGAGTGATTGGATCCTGGGCAGCCCCAACTAGGTCAGGTCAGGCCTTCCTTACACCCTTCACATAACCACAAGAAAGCTTGTCCACCCCCGGGCCTTCCTCTTGCCACCTGTCTCCACACCTGCCACCTCCATATGGTCCTCCCCCTCTCTCCAGTTTCTCAGCTCCTTCTGACACTTTGGGCAGGGCTGGGAGGAGGTGGGGAGGGAGCAATGTGTAAGCACAGCAGCTGGCTTCCAGGCTGCAGAGATTTTTGGTCCCAATTTGGCCATGGTTTTCCCTGTGAACACCTGGCTGTTTCTGGCTTTCTTTTAGAACATCTTCCTTACTCTCCTTACCAGAGCTAGCCAGCCCTGTGCTGTGTCCTCTACCTCAAGAGCATCCATCTGTAGCCTACCTCACTGTCACAGTGGTGAACCCTGCTGTTTAAAGCTATGGTGTCATTAATGCCTTTAATCCCAGTGTTCGGGAGGCAGAGGCAGGCGATCTCTGTGAGTTCAAGGCCAGCCTGGTCTACATAGTGAGTTCCAGGACAGCTGGGGCTGCAGGGAGACCCATCTCAAAAAAAGCAGAGCTTGGTCCCTAGGGAAGCAGAGCAGACTAGATTACTCAGGTCTGAGAGCTGGACACACAGGGACTCACTATGGGGATTTCCCTGCTCTCCCTGTTTTTCCTTGCCATGTATCCACAAGACTAGAGCTGTTTGCACATCTGTAGTACAGGGACCTGCCCCCCTCTCCCACAAGCTGCCACCTGACCCAACCTCCTTCTCTCCCTAAGACCTAAGCCCATGGGCTTGAGTCCAGGGGTCTCCAGGAAAGACTGATGCCAGAGAATGTTCTTTCGAGTTCTCTGCCACAGAAGCCCACTCACATTCTCGTGCTTATTTTTTTCCCTTTCCCTTTTTAGGCCATGATTTCTGGAGAGCTTGACATTCTGAAAGACTGGTGCTATGAAGCTGTGAGTGCCGCTTTTTCACTTTTTCTTTTCACACTAAAAAGAAAAGAAACACCAGAAGGCCTGGGGTGTACCTCAGGTTAGGGCGTTTGCCTGGTGTGTATGGCGTCCTGGGTTCTAGCCATAGCACTTTGGAAATGACTGGTATGGAGATCTGCATGGGTGGCTGTTTGAGAAGGCAAGACAGGGCCATGTCCGGTGGGAGACAGGTCGTCCTGTCTGACACTTAGTTCCCACAGAACCCGACAACCCACCCATTTGTCCCTTCCTAAGCATGTGGCACACAGGTGCCCACTCATCCAGCATTGGGTCCTCTGCTGAAAGTTAAAAATGTCAGAAATGATCCCCTCCCTGCTTAGTGCCTAAAGCATAGCTCCTAACTTCCACATAGCTGCTAGTTTCCCTGTGCCCCCTCCTTCCTGACCTCTTATCCATCATAAACTGATTTGGGTTATGGATGTGGTTTTGTTTTTGGATGCAATACTGGAGCGCCAAGCCTGCTAGGCAAGATTCTACCATTAAACTATATTACCAGCCCCGTAAACTAATTTTGGGGGTGGGTGTAGTGTGTGTGGTATATTCGTAGTCTCTCGTACGTGTGTGCATGTGGAGGCCTGAGGTTGGCCTCAAGGATCTTCCTTATTTACTCTCTGCCTTATATTTTGAGGCTGGGTCTCACTGAACCCAGAGCTCTGTGTTTGGGCTGCTTGGCTAGCCAGTTTTTTCCAGGGGGGATCCATCTTTTATGTGGGTTCTAGGAATCCAAACTCCAGTCCTTATGCTTGCACAGCAAGCGCTTTACCAGCCATGCCATCTCCCCAGCTCCAGTGAACCAAGGAAAGTCCCAGAATGATTCATGCCACAGATCAAGATGAGGTTCCAGGGTAAGGTGGTCTGTGTGTCTCTCTTTTCATCCCCAGTTCAGTGGTCATGAAGAGGACCTCACCTAAGGTAGCCTGGGGTGTGTGCAGGTTGGGGTCCTGGGGCTCAGAGGGTGGAAGAGGTCACTTGAATGTGCAAAGTTCCTTTGTCACTCCTGAGCCCCACATATGGCAATCATGGGCACCCCACCCAGACTCTCCTGGTCCTTGACACCCCTCAGCTATGAATACAGAAGTACAAGATACCTCAGCAAGTCCTCCTAAGATCCTGTAACACAGATCAAAACAAAAGTGCAGATAAACTTCTTGCCCAGGGAGAGACAGTGTGTCCTGAGAAGGCTCCAGCCACTTCCCAGAGTCAGGGCTCAGGGACCCAGGCCACTGTCAGAGCAGGCTGTGGGGAGACCAGCAGTGACCCCAGGTTCACATGCCGTCTGCTCTGCTCCTGGCAGCCTCCCTGTCCTCATGAGACTCCAGCTGCCAACTGGTCAGGCTACTTCACCTCATCCTACTGGCTTCTGGCACTGTCTCCAGGCGGGGTGTGTGTGTGTCTGTCTGTCTGTCTATGTCTGTCTGTCTGTCTCCATGTGTCCCCATCCCTGTCTGTTCACCTTCCAGCTTCTTTGTGAAACAATCCAGTCTTTTTTGGCTCATCCTGTTCTATACCCAGCTCACAAACAACTTGGAAAAAGCAGAGGAAAAGATTCTGTCAGGTTTTCTTTTTTAAATACTCCCTTGCATGGGTGACTATGCCAGGAGGCATTTATGAAGGTTTTTCTTTTTTTTCTTCTTCTTCTTACCTTGAACCACAAAGATGTGGCTGATCTACTCTTCCTAGAGTGATCTAGTACCCCCTGGAAGCTCGGCTGAAATCCCAGACACTTCCAGTAAAGTGTTCTTAAAATGCTATCTTGCATATAGCTCGGCTTTTAGGACTTTTGCCTAACACTCATGAAGCCCTGGGTTTGACCCTCAGTACTGCATACACTGAGTATGGAGGTGCCTGTCAGCCCTGAGGAAGTGGAAACAGCAGGATCAGGAGTTCAGAGCCATCCTTATCTATAGACAGAATTTAAGGCCAGCCTGGGCTACAGGAAACCCTATCTGTAAAGCAACAAACAACAGAAACCCACCAAGTAGGGTTGTGTGTATATGCTTGTATGTGTATATGTGTGTATATGCCACAACTGCTTTGTGTGTATATGATATATATGTGGTGATCAGAGGACAATCTCAGGTGTTAGTCCTCACCTTCTACCTTGTTTGGGAAAGGGTCTCTTGTCCACTGCTGCTATGCCAGGCTAGTTAGCTCAAGATCTTCTGTATCCACTTCCCATCTCACTACAGGAATCCTGGTATTGCAGGCATGCACTACTGCACTCAGCCTTACAAGGGTTCCAGGGATTTGAACTCAGGTCCTCATGCTGGCACAACAAGTGATCTATCCCCTGAGCCAGCTTGCCAGCCCAGCACTACTGCTTCACCCCCACTCCCAATGTATCAATTGTATCTATAAAAGTATTTGCCTGCTGGGCGTGGTGGCACATACCTTTAATCCCAGCACTTGGGAGGCAAAGGTAGGCGGATCTCTGTAAGTTTGAGACCAGCCTGATCTACAAGCCCAGGCCAAGCCCAGTGAAGCTGCTGAGAAGCTGTAGCTACATGTGCCCCCAGGCTCCTGAGACTGTTCTGTGAGAGCTCTTGCTCCCCTCTCACCCCCCACCCCCAGGCACTGAGTTCTAGGGCAGCCTCACAGGTTTAGGACAAATCCTAGAAGACAGCTGATTCCACGCCAAGACTCCAAGTGAGGTAAATCTGAGAGCGAGAGAGATCAGCCAAGGAGCCACCCCCTTACCCTGGGAGTGTACTTTGGATGATGCTCTGGAATTACCTACTTCACTGATTAATACCTCTCTCACTGGGGAGTCTGGCTCTTTCCATAATGAGAGGCCAGAATGCAGCTCTAGCCAACACAGAGTGGCACCCTCCTCCCACTTGGACCTGTGTTCTCAGCCTCTGCTGCTCCTGGTGTCAGTCAGCACACACCCAGGCAACTGGAGCACAGAGTGTGACCCAGCCCCCCTCCCCCACAAGTGACTGACCACATGGACCTTTTGGCTTTTTATTGCAGACCTACAGCCAACTGGCCCACCCCATTCAGCAGGGCAAGGCCCTGGGCCTCCAGTTCCACTCCCACATCCTGGATGTCAGCAACGTGGACGTAAGTGCCTTTGAGGGTCCATTGCCCCCAAGATGGGACAGTCAAAGCAAAGAACCAGTAGGTATAGGAGGCTAAATTAAACCCGGTCTGGTGCTTCCCACCACTTGATACTAAGGCAGAAAGATCTTGAGTTCAAGGTCTGCCTGGGTAACTCAGTGGCACCATTTAAGAAGAAAAAGTAGCCGGTGTGGTGGCGCACACCTTTAATCCCAGCACTTGGGAGGCAGAGGCAGGCGGATCCTCTGTGAGTTCGAGGCCAGCCTGGTCTCGAGTGAGTTCCAGGCATTTGGAGCTACAGGGAGACCCTGTCTCAAAAAGACCCAAAAAAAAAAAAAAAAAAAAGCTGTAGCTCAATGGTTGAAGGCCTGAAGTTGTCCATGTGAAGGGTCCTGTTGAAAAATCACTCCCCCAAAGTGGGCAGGCCCTGGTATGACATGCAGGACCCTGGACCAGGGACAAGGTGTCTAGGCCTGTCTCCTGCAGGGTGAAGCATGTGGACTTTTCACCTCTAGGCATGGTAAGGGTGGGTTGGGGAATATCCTTTTCTGAGATCCATACCTGTCTGTTTCCTGCAGCTGGCCATGGGCAAGATGATGGAGCAGGGCCCAGTGCTGATCATCACCTTCCAGGCACAGTTGGTAATGGTCATCAAAAACCCCAAAGGCGAGGTGGTTGAGGGTGACCCGGTGAGTGATGGAGCAAAGAGATGGGAGTTGGGAACCACCTCCCATACACAGGCCCTGTGCATGCCTGCTGGGAACCGTCAGGGTTCTATGTTCAGGTGGGGTTGGAGAGAAATACCCCATCTGGGAGTTGGGACCTGATTGAGGTCAGAGGACCCACCATCTGAACAGTGCCAGGAGCCAGCAGCAAGGCACTTCTTCCTGGTCCTTCCTATAGCCTCCCCTTCCTCCCATAGTAACCCCTCTTCCCTGTGCATGCCTGGCCTCTCACCTAGCCCTCATTTCTGATGGGTCTCCACAGGACAAGGTGCTGCGTATGCTATATGTGTGGGCACTCTGCAGAGACCAGGACGAGCTCAATCCCTATGCTGCCTGGCGTCTTCTGGACATCTCAGCCTCTAGCACAGAGCAGATCCTCTGAGGGCATCAGTGGAGATGAAGGAGCTCCAGGGCTGGACCACTGTGATGTGAACACAGAGGCACCTGGCACCCCTGACACCAGACTCTGGCTTCTGCTCTGTGCTTTTAGGGCAGCTGTGAAACAGCTGGATGAGGAAAGCGCTGCAGAGTGCTGAGGGTGCCTAGCAGGGAGATGCTCCCAGAGTGCCAAGAGGGGCTGCTGGCAGCCAGTCACCGTGGGCATGCCAGTTACACTGTGCCAAGAGGTCCCCAGCCCAGGGACTCTCTGGTAGGCAGGAGGGTGAGGCCCCACCTGCTGCTCCAGTGGTTCACTGGCCATGCCAGCTGTGCCACTTTAGGTCCTTATTTTTTCTTTCTTTCTTTCTTTTTTTTTTTTTTTTTAAATCATTGCTCTTACTTCCTGTACATAAGGCTGAGATTTGGACATAATAAAACAACCAAAGTGCAAAACACCAGCTTGCACGGTCTGAGGTGTAAGTCTCTGCTATGGGAGGCTGGAATTGAAGGCTGTCTCAGGAGGGCTGTGGAACAGGCCCTCTGGTCTTGGAGAGGCCCCCAAGGTCAGTGAAGGAGCTGCAACCCAAAAGCGTGCTGCCTTATCAGGCCAAGACCCTCCCTGCCCGTGTGGGGAGAGCAAAGAAAAACTGCGGAGAATTACTCTAGCTGTCCAGGATCTCTGTTGAGTTGTGGGGTCTCTTGGGACGAGGCTGCTTAAACGCCCGTAATTGATATTTGCGAGTTGGCTGGGAGAAATATAGAGGGGCTGATGGAGATGCAGGCTCTGAGATCAGAGTGGCGTGACCAAGGTGGATACAGGCAGCTGCCCACACCCTGGGGATCATCCTGGGTGTTTGTGCAGCTCCAAGGGGTTGAGGCTGCCTCCAAAGGCGCCTGAGGTGGGGGAGTTCAGTCTCCAGGCAAGCCTGGGCGGGGCCACGAGCCCGCCCGCTGCTCCCTACGCAGCCCCGCCCCCCCGCGGCGGTCCCGCCCCCCCGTCGCCATGGGAACAACCCTGGCGGCAGCGGCGGGTCTGGCGCGCGGCTTTCCTGCCTTGGTGTTCTCCGCTCCAGGGGCGGGTGGGGTGGGCTGAGCAGGGAGCCGCTGCTGCTACCCTGGAGAGACCGAGGACAGAGCCAGCACACGAGTCTTGGGAAACAACGGTGCCGCCCGGCGGCCGGTCCGGTTCAGGTCAAGGCCAAGGGTGAGGGGGCCGGAGAAAAGGCGGTGGTGGGGGAGGGGGTCCCGGGCCACGGAGAACAAAGGGAATGGGGCGGCATCAGCGGGGATATTCTAGCCAAGCTGCCCAGATCGCCTGCCCGGCCCGTTCTCACCTGTTGTGCATGGGCCGTGCGGATTGGGGATGCCCTGTCCCCATTCAGCGACCCCCACCTGCTCGCACAACTAGAGTTGGTTTCCTCGCATGGCGATGGAGCACGCAGCCAGGGCATGGGCGTAGTCCGGGCGGGGGGACAGCGGCACGGACAGGAAGGATGCTGCTGGACACAACAAAAGGGCGACATGGAGGTGCAAGGAGGGTATAGCCTCATCCCTGTGCCCCCATCCCCGGGTGGGCATCCCTCCCTCCGCAGGGCGCGCGGCGATGTGAGCCATGAGTGGGACGTGGACACTGTCACCGGAGCCGCCGCCACCGTCGACGGGGCCCCCAGTGGGCACGGGCCTAGACGTCGAGCAGCGCACGGTGTTCGCCTTCGTGCTCTGCCTGCTCGTGGTGTTGGTACTGTTGATGGTGCGCTGCGTGCGCATACTGCTCGACCCCTACAGCCGCATGCCCGCCTCATCTTGGACCGACCACAAGGAGGCGCTCGAACGTGGGCAGTTCGACTATGCGTTGGTGTGAAGGGGCACGGTGTCCCGTGCGGGTCCTCCAAGAGATTTTGCCAAGGGCCGGCCCAGTGAAAGGGTGCCACCAGCCTGGACTGCGCTCTGGATTGTGCCCCAGACCCCTTAGCCCGGGGTTGAGGGCATTGGGAGAAGCCCAGCCCTTCCCTCCTTAGGCCTTGCCCATCTCCCCTCCTGGCCTGGCCAGAGCCCCACCTCGTGCCTTTATCTGCCCTGTCCCCTCCTCTCTGCACACTCTTTCTCCTGTCTAGTAAATCTGAATCCCAAGCGGAAGAAGCATACAACCCCACACCAACCTCAGCTTTCCCCAGTGTGTGAGTGGCTCTGCTAGTGTCCTGCTACTAGGCATGAGTGTTACCGTCCTTTCCTGGGAGTGTGGACCCCTTGCTCCTTTCGCCATCTTCTGATCATCCCAATTTCAACGGGCTCCTTGAGCTCCAGCCCCGGGAGCCAAGCTCTCTTCAGCTCACAGTGGGCGCTTCATACCAACAATGCATGGTACAGCCTGCCCCAGAGACAGACCCAGAAACCTCACCATGGTTGCTGCTTTATCGAGGATGTGTGGAGGAAAACAAGCAGGGTCATCCCCTCCCCAGCCCGGGCCCCAGCACAGGTCAGCATGCTCACCCTCCCCACCTCTCCTGGCTCCCCTGTCACACACACCTCTCCCATACCTTCTTGTTCCTCCCTGCCTTTGAGCATGGAGATGATAATAAAAGCTATTATTGAGTGCTTACTGCATGCCAAGCACTGTTCTTAGCTCATTTGTTCTTGGGAATTTGTGAGAAAGAGCCCTAATTAGCATCCCCATTCTACAGGCCAAGGAACTGAGGTCCAAGAACTTAGAATGATTTTCTTTAAGCCACGTGTCTAGTGTTCAGCTGGGCTGGAAATAGAATGCAGATCTGATGCTTGCATGCTCCTAACTGCTGTGCAATCCTGCAAAGACCCAAATTCACATGCACCTTTCACTCGATTTGGGGGTGGGGGCTAATATAGCCATCTTCATCTTCCAGCTCCAGGCATACAGATTCACACACATGTACACCCACTCTTTCCCTTGGCCTAGGGTGTCACTGGAAGATATGGGAGACTAGGATGGAGTGCCCCCAGCCAACCCTGGAGTTTGTCTCCCATGAACAGCACCTGTGGCCCCCAAACTCCTGAGCCAGTCGCTCCTGTCCCCATCATCCTGTGTGCCTCAGAACCTGTATGTTTGGCTTTGTGAGTTTGGCTGTGACCACAGAGTGGGTTGGCTCTGCTCCATAATCTGCCTGGGAGATGTGTTGTGCGCCTCAAAAGAGCCGTGTGCAATGTGTGGGGAGAATCGAGCCTTTCTATAAAAGGAAAGCCGTGCGAAGGCACAGCTCAGCGAACAGAAAATTTACCCACTCTCAGACAACTGGTTAGGCTTGGGGGAGGTGCTGCCAAGGGAGGACACCTGGTTCCCTAAGAGCACTGATCACCCCCAACACCTGCCCATACTCTATGCCCACAGGGCATGTGGAGCTGGTGGCAGGAAGCCCAACAGCACTCTTAGCAGTGTGGGGTCTTGGGGGTTAAAACTACATTTCCAGCCCTGTCCCCTCAGCTCTGCACTCCATCCTAAGGCCCCTCCAATTCTGCCTCATTCCTCCTTTTATTTCTATGGATTGAGGCTCCAGGGACACCCCCTTCTCCCTCCAACTCCCTGACACTTGGGACAGCCACCTCAGCTTCTGTGGAGCCAGGGCCTCACTCCTTCCATCCAGCTGGCCACACTGGATGCTGGCCCCAGCCTCCCATCTGTCATTACTCTGCTCTGAAAACCTGTCCTGACAACTGTCCCCCAGGAGGCCTGCCCAGCTTTCCTCTTCCACCCACATTTGTCACCTCCACATGTTCATCAAGGGTCTCCTTATGTCCAAACTGAGGTGACTCCAGGCAACAGCTTTTTTAAAAAAAATTGTGTGTATATGCACGCTTGTGTGAAGAGAAAATAACTTTTCAAAGTGAATTTCTCCACCTTTATGTAGGTTCCAAGGATCCAGCTCAGGTGGCCTGACTTGCATGGCAAGCACATTAGCTGCTGAGCCATCTCACCAACCCCAGGTACATCGCTGAGGAGTGCCTTCACCCCTGGCATTTCCTTCCCACTCCCAAATTGTCTTTTCAAGCCCCCACTCCCATCTTTAAGTCACTGGAAAAAGGGGCTGGAGAGATGGCTCAGCAGTTAAGAGCACAGGCTGCTCTTGCATAGGACTGGAGTTCAGTTCCCAGCAACCACATAGCAGTTCACCACTGTCTCTACCTCCAGTTCCAGGGGATCTGGTGCCTTCTTCTGGCCTCCATGGGCACTACATATACCCATGCACTTCCATAAGGCCAAAAACTCATATACATTAAAAAACAAAGTCATGGGACTAGAGAGATGGCTCAGCAGTTAAGAGCACTGACTGCTCTTGCAGAGGACCTGGGTTCGATTCCCAGCACCCACATGGTGGCTACAAACCATCCTTAACTCCAGTTCCAGGGGAATCCGAAGCCCTCTTCTGGCCTCCACAGCATTGCATGACACAGGTGCACTCACATACATTCAGGCAATACACTCATATACATAAAATAAAAATAATAAATAAAATGTTAAAAAAACAAAGTCACTGGAAAAGAGAGCAAAGACAATCAGATGAGAACTTTATTGGAGGCCACAGGACAATCCAGAAAAGGAAGAGGAGGAGGAGGCAGCAAGGAGAACTGGATGGTGGTGAGTTAAGACCTGGAGAAATGCTGGCCCCAGGCTGGGGAATTTCAAATGCAAATTCAGACAGAGGAGGGCATGTGTGTGATGGGGTGATGGTGTTGAGTTGGCAACCCTTGGCAGAGACCAAGACACAGCTGGGCTGGGAGCCCCATCTAGCTGTTCAAGAACTCTGCTTGTGTATAGGGTCCTATGTCTCTAATCTCTGTTGCAACTATGCTTCCATTTCTGAGACCCCCAGTGTATGCAGCATCTGAAGGTTTGGTCTGGGTACCTCATCAGGAACTTTCCACAATTCTTTAGGCCTCAGTGCCAGCAGTACAGGACTGAGGTTCCAGGGAGAAGTCAGTATGCCTGTTGTCGGCTCAATTCCTCATCTTGCAGGAGTGGCCACCCGGCCCAGGAGCTCCAGGGGCACCAGAAAGGGGTTCAGAGGGCAGATTCCAGCTGCTTGCCAGGCCTGTCTCAGTTCTCTGGGCTCAGGGGCTGGAGTGGTGGCCTGGCTAGGCTCCCCTGGTCCCCTGGAGCTAGTTTTACCACCTTCAGCCCCAGGCCTGGGGTTCTTCCCACCAGAGGGAGCCAGTGGGGGGGTCATCAGGCGAGCATAAGTTTCAGTCATATGTTCTGCCAGTACGGTGCAAGGCAGGCGGGACAGCTCCTCCTGTAGCGATATGAGCATGTCAAGGACCACGGCTGACTCTGATGGAAGGAAAGGGAAGCAGTGAGGGAGGGTCATGTTTGAGCCTGGGAAACCCCCCTCCACACACACAGACACACACATTCCACAAACACACCCTGTCCTCCCCAACTCCTCTCACCAGCTGCTGAGAGCTCAGGACCATGGCCACTTCGGAAAGAAGAGGACAGGTACTTGTAGATTTTCTCAAAGTCCACGGTGAAGTTTCCCTCTGCTGAGGGACCAGCCAGGGATTCAGTTGGGGCATGAGAGGTGGGGCCAGCAGCCTCAGGAACGGGGTCAGCAGCCTTAGGGATGAGGCCAGAGGTCTCAGGGGTGGGGTCTTCCTGCCCTTCTTCTGTGCTCAGGAACAGCAGTGGCTTTCCACAGGCCTTCGTAGGCTTTTGGGGTTTGCAGTGCAGAAGGCTGAGGGGTTCTGCAGCAGCAATGGTGAGTACCTAACAGGCAAGAGCCATCAGGGAGGGAAAGGGGAAGTCTGTTCTTTACCTCCCTCCCAGTGCCAGAGGATGAGCCCTTCATCTCTGCCCAATCACCAGATCTCCCTGCCATGCTGAAGGAGGTGACCTGGACAAGAGATGGCCTCAGAGACACTAAGGATCAAGGTGTTTAGTGCCTCACTTCACTGACTGACAAGAGGAAGGGCCCAGGCCAATCTTTTTTTTATTTATTTATTTTTTAAACTCGCCCTCTAGCCCCATCTGGCCTAGAACTCTGACGAGACTCGCCTGGAACTTACAGAGATCCACCTACTTCTGTCTCTGAAGGACTGGGATTAAAGTGTGTGCTGCTACACCTGGCCTACCTTTTTCTTTACTTCCTTTTTTTTTGAGACAGGACCTTACTATGTAGCCCAGGCTATTTTAGAATTCACTGTGTGCCTAGGCAATCCTCCTGCCTCCTCCTCCCAAGTACTGGGATTACAGGTGTTTGGTATCACAGCCTTGCAAACTCCAGAGCCCTGTATATGGTAGGCTCCCAACCACTGAGCCATACCCACCCGCATGTCCCTATCACCTGGGACACCCCTGAACCACTTGGGGTATGGGTATACCTGGGAGAAGGCTGCAGTCAGGGCTTCCTCTAGTGGGCCTGTTAGCTTCTCGGCCAGATCTATCCATACCTAGATGAAGCCAATAGGTATATGATCAGTACAGGGACAGGGACCAGCCTCGAGGGGTCTCCAAGCCTCACCTCCTCCGACCCTGGTCCTGGGCAGCCTTGCCTTGTATTCCTGCCTTACCTCTATTGGGGCTGGGAGCTGTGCTTCTCGGCGCCTTGGACCCTCTGTGCTGCCTGGGTGCACCTTCCGGATGGCCTCTCGGACCACTTGGCCTTTGAGCTGTTGGATAAAGTGCCGAATCTGGGAAGGAGAGACAGGCCTTCCATGAACACAGAGATGCAGATAAGACCAAAAGTCTACCACCTTCATGGACAGGTACTGCCCCCTATCCAGCCCTAGCTATGTGTTGCGGATTCTTGAAACTGCTGGGACTCATGCCAAGGTCACAATGTGTGATCAGCTACCCAATGAAGACGTAAGGCCCAGGCCTGTTCTGCTCCTTACTGAGGCCACAGCTTGCTCTTACACAAGCCACAGCTTGCTCTTACCTATTCATTTCCATTCCGGTCCATTTCCTGACTATCCCTTCATCCTCACTTCAGCTCAATTCACTCAATCCAACTTGGTCTTTTCTCAAATACTCAGCTTCCCACTTCCTTGAGTTCGCCCCGCCCTTCAATTTCTCCAGCCCAGTCCAGCCCGCCCACTTTCCATACCCCACCCACCCAAAGGGGCATTCACCCATGTCCCACCTCTTCACTTACAGGCCAAAGTCCAATACCACACGAGACCCCGGCCCCGCCCCCTGCTCCAGCGCGGACCCCCTTCCTAAACTTCATAAGGGATCCTGTCTTAAGCTCCAGAGGCCCCGCCCCTAGCTACACCGTGGGCCTGCCTCCTAGGTTTCATGGCCCAGACCCTACGGTTCACCCGTGGCCCCAACCCTAACCTTATCAGCGACCCTACCCTTGAGCTTCACTGGCCACCGCAATATGACCAACAGCGACACTGCCCTAAGCTCACCAGTGGCTACGCCCCTAAACCACGCCCTCAGGCTCCACGGCCCTGCCTCTAGGTCCATTCTGGGCCTCCCTCCTAAACCTCAGGGTCTCGCCCCCAAACTCCACTCTCGGACCAGCCCGCAAGCTCCACCTGAGCTTCTGCCTAGCTCCACCGGCCCGCGGCCCCACCTGCAAGCTCCACCCTCAACTCCGCCCAAGCTATTCCCACGACCCCGCCCCTAGTTCCACCCACCCCCTCCCCGACGAAGCCGCCCCCCCACCCCCCAGCCTCGCAGAGGTCTGGGGCCCAGCGCCTGACCTCAGCCTCACTGCGGCCTGGCAGCTCCTCGGCCAGCTCCGCGGCGACTGGCTCTGGCTGGCCCTGCCGGACCTGAAGTAGTCTGAGTAGCTGCCGCTTCTCCCGGGGGCTCCAGGCTGTAGGGCCGGTAGCCTCATTTATATAGCGTGCCGGGACCTTTCGCCGCCGTTGCGGTGGCTTCATGGTGTTTGGAGAGGAGCTGGCGCTCTAAAGGCCGCTTCCTTGCTGGGCGGGGCTACGGAGGCCTGAAGGCCTGAAAAAGGACCCTGCAGAAGCGGAAGCAGAGGGGGCGGGGCGGGGCTCGCGTTTGCTAGCGGGAGAGGGAGCAGTGGCGACGCTAAGGCGGGAGTTTTCATCAGTTTGCATTAATTTCACTCATGAGCTGGCGCCAAAACTTTGAACACTAAATCCCTGAACTAATTCTTGAAATCTGCAGTGTGTGTTTTGCTTTTTGCAGGAGGGTGAGCAGTAGCGATGTCACTAACTCCAGTGTTTGGGACGCTGAGGCAGGAGGATCGTGAGTTCAAGGCTAGCCTGAGCTACACGAACTCCTGCTTTTAAAAAAGGGGGGGATGGGTGGGTTGGAGAGATGGTTCAGTGATTAAGAGCACTGGGCTGCTCTTGCAGAGGACCTGAGTAAAGTTCCCAGCACCCACATGACAACTAACCACCCTTAACTCCAGTTTCAGGGGACTCCGACGCCCTCTTCTGTCTTCTGCAGGCACTGCATGCATGTACTGCACATACATACCAGGCAAAACACAGATACATATTCAATAAAAATTGTTTAACAGGGCCGGGTGTGGTGGCGCAAGCCTTTAATCCCAGCACTAGGGAGGCAGAGGCAGGCGGATCTCTGTGGGTTCAAGGCCAGTCTGGTCTACATAGTGAGTTCCAGGACAGCTGGGGCTACAGGGAGACCCTGTCTCAAAAAAAACAAAAACAAAAAAATTGTTTAATAGCCAGGCGTGGTGACGCACACCTTTGATCTCAGCACTCAGGAGGCAGAGGCAGGCGGATCTCTGTCTCAAAAAGACCAAAAAAAAAAAAAATTGTTTAATAAGAAAAAAAAAAAAAAAGACCGAGTAATGCGGTGGGATGGCCCTGTAGACTTTGAGGCAGGTGATTTAGTATTACCGGGTCTCATTTTTCTCATTGATAACTAAGTCTAGGAGTTACACTATTGTCTATGTGCAGAGGAGGGGTAGTTTGGGGGGCAGGGATTTAAAAAACACAAGACTGGGGCTGGAGAGATGGCTTAGCAGTTAAGAGCACTGACTGCCCTTGTAGAGGACCTGGGTTCGATTCCCAGCACCTGGCTATGAACCGTCCTTAACTCCAGTTCCAGGGGACTCCGAAACCCTCTTCTGATCTCAGCAGCATTGCACACGACATGGGTGCGCTCACATACATGCAGGCAATACACTTATACACATAAAAAAATAAAAATAATAAAATATTACCCCCACACACAAGACTAAAGGAACAGTCTTAAGGCATACAGAGTCCAGATCAATCCCAACCACGGCAGAGTCTGGGCCATAGGAGTGGAGATTAGAGGAGGTCAGACTTGGGGAAGAGCTAAGGAGGGAGGTGAGCTGCTGTTGGAAGGGAGGAAGAAAGCAGGGCTTTTTTGTTTGCTTTTTTGAGAGAAGGTCTCACTATGTAGCCTGGGTTGGTCTGGGACTTGCTATGTTGACTAATCTGGTCCTTTTTTGGTCTTTTGAGACAGGGTCTCCTGCTGTAGCCCCAGCTGACTTGTAACTCACAGAAATCTCCCTGCCTCTGCCTCCTGAGTGCTGGGATTAAAGGCGTGTGCCACCACGCCCCAAGCTAGTCTTTAAAAAATATATATTTTATTACTTTCATTTTATGTGTTTGAGAGTTATTGCCTACATGTATCTAAGTGCACCTGTGTCAGGTAATGCCCACAGAGGTCAGAAGAAGGCATCTGATCCCCTGGAACTGGAGTTACTTCTTGTTAGCCTCCATATGGATGCTGGGAACTGAACCCAGGTCCTCCTTAGCAGCAAGCCAATGCTCCCAACCACTGAACCATCTCGCTAGCCCCAAGCCAAGCTGGTCTTGAAATCAAAGATTCACCTGCCCCTGCCTTTTGAGTGATTAAAGGTGTGTGCCACCACACCCAGCCTTATTTTAAACTTAAATTGGTTTAAATAGGTTAATCATTTTCTGTTTGGGGCAAATGACCCTTGACTCTCCCTAGGCATACCCCCACCCTCAGAGTCCCCCACTCCAAATTCAGATCTTTTCTCAACCCTGAAATCTCCCCAAATTCTAGTCCCAAGCCACTGGCCAAAATATCTCCTTCCTATCCTCCCACCAGTACCTGGAGCCTTAGGCATACGTTGACTCCACAAGAAGTCAGTGTGTCAGCAGTTTATTTTGAACCCAGATAGAAGGGGGGTGGGGGGGAGTGCAGGGTCGTTGTCCAAGAGGGTGTGTCTAGGGAAGTAGGCCCAGTCCTTTCTGAAGCCATGGCTGGATACATCCCTGGGCCGCACCATCCCTGGAGAAAGAGTGTGGCAGAGGCTGAGAGAGGGAATATTGTTCACACCACCTCTTCCCAGCAGGCACCAGCTTCCTCCATTAGTTTATGCACTGGGGTGAGACTGGGAACTGCTTCTGAATCCAAGTTTTAAGGACCTCTTTCTTCATCCACTGCTGGTAGCCCCATTTCCTGAATTCAGCTCCCAGCTGGACCAAATGTTACAATCTTTGACAAATTACTTAGCCTCAGAAAGTACCTCGTATTTTTCATCTCTAATGAGATTATTTTGGTTTTTTGAGACAGGATCTCAGAACGTAGCACTAACTGGCCTGGAATTCATTGTCGACCAGGCTGGCCTCTGCTTCCTGAGTGCTGGAATTAAAGGCATCCTGCTCCACGTCCTGGCCTCTAATGGGAATTATAAAAGTATCTACCTGAAAATTGTTCGAAGGAAGATTAATTGAATATGCAAAATATTTGGCGCTCCACCAGTAGAGCTCTATGATAAGCTCTTTATCACACACACACACACACACACACACACACACACACCCTTTCAGCGCCGCGTGCTCCAAATTTTCCCTCCCAGTACTTACCGGCTTTACTGGGGCCTTCGGGACCCCTGGGGGCCGCTGGGCGAAGCTCTAGGGAGCTGGCCCGGGGGTAGGGGCGCTGAAAGGAGAGACTGGCTGGAGTAGGAGTTGCCAGCGCCCTGCGCCAGGGTAAGCGCCCCCCTGGCAGAAACTGTTACAACTGTAGCAGCCCTGAGAGTCAGACCCAGGAGGCAGGTCTAGAGATGTAAGGCGGGGTGGGCTGGGATCCTGAGCACCCCAAAGCTGGACTTAGGATGGGAATAGGTTCGGGATTCCAGCAGGGCAGATGTTGGTACCTGAGTGAGTGCAGACGAGGCCGACCCCAGCAGCCAGCGCAGTGCCCAGCACAAAGGCCGCCAACACCAGCGCCACCACTGGCGCGGGCTCCAGGGCTGCAGGGGCTGCAGCCGGCGGCTCCGAGTGTACGGCTCTGCCGGGGAGGCTCTTGGACGGCCCTATGGGGATGTATGCAACCCTGAGCCTGGGCCCAGGACCCAGTTGTCTTTCCCACCCGGGTCCCAGGACCTCTTGAGAGCTTACGAGGGGGCGGCCGCGGTACTGTGACCACGATGGGTTGCGTCAGCGTGTGCAGGTGGGGACTGTCCATACCCAGGCTCTCGCCGCCGCTGGTGCCAGCAGCGCACGCCTCATCCTGAGGCAGACACTGAGAGAGAAGAGACTGGACATCAGGGCCTGTAGATCCTGAGTCTGGTCCCCCAGGCTACCAGCTTATTCACCAGCGCTAAGCCATCATAGGACTTTTATAAATCTGGCCCCTTTTGAGGTTTCTGAGCCCAACTCACAAGCATCCAAAGAAATTTCAGCCCTAGAGGACCCCGTAAGTCCGTGTTTCCCCGCGCCCCCCAGGTCCTACGATTCGACTCTTTGCACCTAACTTGTGAAATCCACAAATCAGGTGCCCAGACATTTCAACCTAACCTAGTCTTCCGCATTCAGTCCTTCAGCCCTAAAGGGACTTCAGATCCACCTCAAAGGATTCCAGAACCCATACACGAGAAATCTGAGGAATCTACTGCCCACTTCCTGTCTCCCGAGGAGTCCTTGTGCAGAGCATTCATGAGCCCTTAAGATGTCTGTAGCAGAATCCTTCCTGAGAGACACCCAGACCCAGAAGCGCTTTGACTCCCAGGTCCCTAAACCCGGAGGGACTCCTCCCTCAGCTGTCAGCAACACTTGGGCCCAGCTGGAGAAAATCCCAGGTTCCGGATTCTGCGCGCGCGCACCCGCGATGGCAGGGTCAGTGGCGTAGGCGTCCCGGGGACAGCTCGGTGGCGGCGACGGCGGCAGCGGCTTATCTGGCAGTGTAAGAACTGCACCGAGGCATTGAAAACAGGGCGTAGGCGGAAACTGAAGCGTGTAGGGCGAGCAGCATCCGGATGCAGAGATGGCGGGAAGGTGACCGAGGAGTCAGCGGGACAGCCCGCGCGTAACAGCACCAAGGCAGGCCCCAGGGCAGGGCGAGAGGATGGCGTGACTGAGCAGTGGTGCAGGGCCAGACCCCAGCGGGGTGAAGGACGGGCCAGGGCCGCCTGGGGGACGACGGAGTCATCAAGGTCGACCCATCCCCACCTGTCCCCACCCACCCTGGATGCTCCTGGCGCCTGCACCTGCACAAACACTCGGCTGTCTGCCGGAACCTCCAGCGGCCCGGCGCGACGAGGAATGGCGTCCTCCGCGTCTGACAGCTCCAGGCTGAAAAGGGGTCTGCGAAGCCAGTGGCCAGAACCCCTGGGGAGTGGGGGTGCTGAAACGGAGCAGAGGAAGGAGGGCACGCTCCTTTGGGCTCTCTAGAATTGGACCTCGTCCTCCAGTCCCTGCCGCCTCCTTTGGAAAAGGGTTACGGCTGCTGCTAGTCAATTCACCCATGCTTGGCTCTACCCCACGTTCTCCCCAAGTGGGCAGTTACTTTGACGTGCCCTCTAAGTGATCTCGGGGCATCCCAACCTAGCAGCTCAAGTCCGCACAAAGCTGTACACCACCTGGGAGGCTCCTTCCTCCCAGTTTCTCCCACCTGCAGAGTAGGTTTGAGGGGCACCTGATGGTGGAGTATCAGGCTAGATAAAACCAGGTTTCTGTGATGCCTTAGATCTTAGAGACCTAGTAAGGTCTGCTTACTATCAGTGGGGGTCAGTCAGGAGGGCACAGCCTTAGTCTAGCCAGGCTATCAGTCTGAGAACTTCTGCCATCAGAGATCCCAGACAAGGACAGTAGCAACAGACGGTGGTCTCAAGTTGTGCTTGCCAAAGCTCAAACCTAAGCACAGCCTAAGTGCCTTAAAGTGGCACTTAGCTGGGGATCTTCTGATTTGCACACCTGATCCTGATCCCACAGCCCTTGCCCCTACTTGGCTGCTAGGGAGTTTGAGGAAACTGACACACTAGGTGGTCTGGGGAAAAGGATACAAATGTAAATGACACTCTCCCCTCTTACCCCCACAGACCAAGTTGCGATAATAGCAATAGAGAGGTTAGGAACCGCCCAGGTCACCCCCTTTCCTTCCTCCCCGACAGCCTCTACATACCAAGTGGTGTACTGGGCACACAGGAGGTCCCTGGGAGCAGGGCCAGGAGCAGGAGTATGGGGCCCAACATGGTGACCTGGCCAAGGTTGGAGTGCTCCTGGCCAGCAGCAGACACCTGGCTGGGCTATACCCAGGTCCTGTAGGTAGGCAGGCAGCTCTGGCCTTGGTGGGGCTACCACTCTGGGAAGCAGGGAGCAGGGCGGAGACTGGAGTGCCTGACATCAGTCTATGCTCAAGGCCTGCATGGATTAAGGCCTCCTCTGACATTGGGAGATTTCTAGAGAAAGCCCTCACACAAGCAAATAGCTGAAAATATCTGCTCAACTACCAACCCTGCCTGTTTTCCATCATCCCATACCTCTCTGTAGGTCCTCCCAGCCTCAGGACACCACACACTCAGAAGAAAAGGGAGGGGTTTTATTCTCAAGCGTCTAGGGATTTACAAACAAGGGCATTGCTTTTAAAAGGGACAGGGCAACACTGGTGGCCTGAGGAGCTGTCCATGGGCCAGTAGATGGGGCCAGTCCACTCCAGGCACCTGCCTGCCTGACACCCCCTCTGCCTGGGCCAGAGAGGATAGCTGGTGACAGAGGGGAGGTTGAGGCAAAGGTGAGGAGATAGAACCCCCCAGGCTCCCACTTAACACTGAAGGGAAGGGGAAGACCTAAAAACTGATCACATGAAGGAAAACATGAATGAACAGAACACACACACACACAGAAAATAAAATTAAATAAAAATAAAACCAGGGGGCCCAGCCTCAGGCCCCTACTGGCCCTGGGACCAGCCAGGCAGCCTTCCAGCTACGCACAAAGGCCACCCATGCTGGTGCCTGGCCTCAGCAGAAGTAGGATAAGGACTGGGCCTATTAGCCCACCCCTACCTTCACCCCATCTCCCCAACAAAGTGGGTAGGGAGAAAGAGAGGGTACCCACTCACCCTCAGGCAGGGAAAAGGACTTCTATTACAATTTAAACATGCGGCATTGTGTGAATAAAATAACAAGTCAACAGGATAGTTAAGAGGCCGTAGTGATGCCTAAGCCTACCGTTGCTTCAGCTACATCCAGCAAGATTCCTCAACTTTGGTGCTGGGTTGTTTGTGGTTTTATGTATTTTTTTCTTTTTTTTTTTTGTTTTGTTTTGTTTCATTACATTGTTCTCTTGTCCATTTGATTTGCATGCATCACCAAAAAAGAAACATACCCCACCCTTCCCTGGTCACTGCAGGGCACTGGGACAGATTCCTGATCCTGCCCAGTCCAGGCCTCAAGATGTGCTGGGGCTGGCCAACTCTGGGTGAGCTGAAAGACGCTCAGGGGCACAATGGGGAAAAAGCCACCTCACACTCTGATGCCCCCACCTGGCCTCCCTTCTACTCAATCAAACCTGTCCCTCCTGTCCCTGTCACACATGCTCAGACCTCTGCATCTACTCCCTTCAACCTCAATCCCTGACTCCCCTGCATGCCCTCCGCCCTCCTTCCTTCTCCTGGCCCCACCCCTGTCGTTGAGTTCCTCTGAACACTTCCCTGCCTCCTGTTCTACCACACTCCTCATCCACCTTCCCCAAAGGTCATCTGTGTGGCTGAGGCCCCTTAGTCTCCCTATGTACCACCTGAGCTCTTCAACTCACCCCCAAGCTATAACCGGTCCCCAGCCCTGTGTGTGGAGGAGCTCCCAATTGAGCCTGGTCTCTCCCAGGCTTTGGACCTCTCCTTGGCCAGGGCTGAAAAAGAGCAGCAAGCAGTCCAGACCCCCAAGGCCTGAGGGCAATGGGGGGGGGGCACCACAAGCAGCTAAACATGACTTTGGTAAAAGTTTCTGAAGGTACTGACACACCCCATGATAACAAGCTCTTCTCCCCCACCCCCCAAAACATCCCAAGTACAATAAAATACAATAAACTCCAAAAAGGACCCCCTGAGATCAAAGAGAAAGAGACAGCAGCCCCAGTCTGACTGCAGTCCCAATGCCCCAACAGTCATCCTGGGGCTAGGACTTGGAGAGGCCTGGTCTGGCCAGGGCTTCTACTGAGGGGTAGGGGTGGCCAGTCCAGGCTGGGGGCAGAAGAGAGGCAGAGTCTAGGAGGGAGACAGGAAAAAAACAGATAGGGCCAGAGGTACAGAGGGAATCAGAGCGAGCATGTGCATGAGAAGTGGAAGGGGTAGACGCTGGAGTTGTGGGGGGGACGACAAGGGGGCTCTCTCTTGGCCCCTGGGGGCCATTCTAGCCCAGAGGTTATATCTGAATAAATAGCAAGTCTGCTCATGGCCTGCTGTCTTCTGTTCACAGTGTCTGTCGGGGGATTCTCATGGTCGGCTGACCCCAGAGTGGGAAGGCCAGGGCCCAGCAGGCCTGTCCGTCCACGGCTGGTGGGCAGGGCATCAGAGGTGGGTGGGCGCCCCCTACTTTCTGTCCTCAGCCCTCAGCAGGCGTCCAGGTCCCAGGTCACCCATGATGGGCAGCTGGGTGGCCAGGTGGGAAAAGGGGACATGTGGGCCATGCCCCTGGCCCCCTGTTGGGACTGGCCGCTGCCACGAGGCTACCTGAAGAAGGGCAGGTGGTGTTGGCTCAGGACTCCACTAGTTCTTGGCGACTCAGTCTTTGCCATAACGTCCTTGAACCAGGACGCCACATCCACCTCGAGCGTCTCATAGCGCTTGATGAAGCTGTGTTCCTGTGGGCCAGAGGGTTGGCTTAGGACAAACGGTCAATCCTCCTGGTCCTGCAACTCGGGCCCCAGGGGACCTCCTATGTGGTGGGGGTAGAGGGAAGATACTCACAAGTAGCTTATTATACTTTGGTCTCTTCCTGTGATCTTTAGTAAGGCTGGAGGAACAGCAGAGAGGGGAAGACAAGTGAGAGTTAGAGAGGAGAGGCCTGGCTGCTTCTCTGTGCTCAGGCCCTCCCGAGACAGATAAGCCAGAAGCAGCTGCTCATAGCAGGGCCCTTCCAGGATGGGAATCTACAAAGCTTTTTGGCCCAGGGCAGCATGGTAGGGATTGGTCTTGAGAACTGGAACCAGAATGTGAAGCTCATAGTTGAGAGAAGAGTAGACTGGGGTTGTGGGCTTCCTTGCACAACCTCCCACAGCCACCATGCGAGATGCCCACAGCACAAAATGTCCCCCTAGGCCAGGTCCAAATCCGGAGAGTGGTACCCAGGGCTCTGGCATCAGCTCAGGCCTATAGTCCCAGCCATGGGCCTAGCTGCAGATGCACTTACTTCATTCTTCCCCTAACCCCAACTTTCCTAGCAGCACTGGAACATCTGACTTCCTAGGACATCCTAGAATGAAAGGGCAGGAACAAGGGCAGGCAGGGTGGAGGTGCTCACCAGTCTTTGACGAATGATTGGAAGTCCCCTGAGAAGCCCATGTGACCAGGCAGGAGGGGGGGCTCTTCCTGTAGGACTTTGGTGAGGACCTCAAAATCTGTCTTGCAGTTTTTGTAGGGAAACTGTCCCGTGGCCAGCTCTACCTAGGTGGGAGAACAGGCAGGGCTGGGCAGCAGGACAGAAGTCCCTGCCTTCCCTCTGCCCTGGAAACCCTCCCCACCAAGGCCCAGAAGAGAAATAGCAGCCAAACTCACCAATGAGATGCCCAGGCTCCACACATCGGCTCGGATGTCATAGTCAGGTTTGGTGGGGTCTGGGGGGTCAATGCGCTCAGGCTGCAAGGAAGGAGAGGAGGATATACTCTTGACGGTAGGGCCAGGCCTCCAGTCCCCTAGCCAAATCCAGCTGGACCCCACTTACAGCCATGTAGGCGGCGCAGCCAGCACTCCTTGTTTTAGCTTTGGAGTCTACAAGTCGGCCGCTGATGCCAAAGTCACAGAGCTTGATCTGGCCCCGCTCGTCCAGCAGGATGTTGGAGGGTTTGACATCACGATGAATGACACCATGCTTTTCTTTCAAGTAGTACAGGGCTTTCACAATCTGTAGGACGGACAAGTTCAGATGCCCAAGGGGGAACAGGGTCCAGGGTCACCCACTCAGCCACATAAACACAGGCCAAGCTCCTCACCGCCACGGTCATCTTGCCAAGGATTCGCTCAGGGATAGGACCCTGCATCCGCTTCTTCAGCTTCTCTGCACATGTGCCCATGAGCTCCATGGCAATGAAGACATCCGTCTGCATAGGAGGATAGTACACGGGGCTTGGAGCGGCCAAGCTTTCCTGCTCACCCTGCCACATTCTTGTTCCTGGAGACATGCAGGCCCATGGAGGCAGGGGGATACCTCGAGGCTTCCCTCGTAGGAGCTAAGGCCTAGAAGGCAGGGGCCAAGCCCAGGAGGCAGGGGCCAGGGCCAGGCCCCAGCTGGCAGGCAGGCACTCACGTTGGTAATGAAGGTGCCAAAGCACTGAACGATGTAGGGGCAGTCATGGCTCTTAAGCACCACATCCAGGTCCATCAGTATGCGCTTGTTCTCTTCCTTGTTTCCAGAGCGCCGCATTTGCTATGAACAAAGACAGACAGGAGGGCGACTTCAATCACTAGGCTGCAGGGACACAGGACCCACCCCAAAAGTGGCATGCAGAGCACTCACCTTGACAGCAATGACATGGCCTGTCTTCCGGAAGCGCATCTTCCACACCTGGCCACAGGTGCCACTGCCCATCTCACCCAAGTTCTCCAAGTCGTTGATTTCCGCCTGGTAGCGCTGGGGGGGAAGCCAAGGGGCTAGAGGGTCCCCAGAGCCCTTGCTCCCACCCTCTACCCCTGCAGCCTGGCTGGGTCCTATCATGGCCCCATGGGGTGCCAAGTTAAAGGGAGGCAGTACCTGGCCCCCAATGGTCAGATAGCCAGTCTGCTTCATGATCTCCTGCAGTTTCTGGTCGATCTCAATGCTGAGGGAGCAGAGAACAAGAGCTTGTGGAGGGTGGTCCATAGACTTCACCACCCACCTCCCTGGGACCCACACAGAAAAGGGCCTTGTGCCAGCCCTGTTCTACCAGCTCACCTCTCCATGCTGCGAGGTGTGAACAAGGTTGATGGGAGCCCCAGCATGTGGCGGGGCCGTGCAGGGGGTGTAGGATGTTGTGGGGAACTCTCTGAGGACGGTGAGCGGCTGCCCCCATCGTTGGCCAGTGGGAGCTGCAGGGCTGGGAAGTTAAAAACCAGGGGCAGGGAAGGGATTAGCATCTAGGTGTTCAAGAAGGGGTTGGGGTTCTCATCTTCCCCTTTCTGGCATCCCTTCTGTCAGGCTGGCAGAGCCTCCTGCCCTGTTGGCTGGGTCCTCCCTCCCCACCTCCTGGGACATCTTCAGGGTGCCTTCTCTTGCCCCTCTGACCTGGAAGGAGATGAGATGGGCTGGTGGGGAGGGGTGGTCCCAGAGGCTGAGGGTTTATCCCCAAACACATACTTGCAGAGAAGTAGGGGGACCCTGAGCCAGGGGGCCTCCCTAGCATTAGTATGTCTCTTTGCTCCCTACCTGGGCCAGGAAGCAGGCCCAGGGCCACAGTGCCTACACAGAAAAATCTGAGGACAGGGCACCCACCAGGACCATTCTTGAACCTGGCCTGGCCACCAGCACTACCCTTGTGGACGAGTATGAGTCAGTGGATACAGAAGTCTGGCTTCAGGCTGTCTCACCCCACATTGTGCTTCTGGGTCAAGGAAGGCCACCCTCTGGCCAGCTGCCTCCTGTGCACCTTCCTGCCAGGCCTGTAAAACTGGGGTCAATGGAGTTGACACAGGACCCCAGGTTAAACCTTCATTCTTAGAAGGGGGGATGACAGGGCTCTGGATGGAGCTGACACAGGACCCCAGGCTAAACCTTCATTCTTGGGGGAGGGAGGGCTTGACAGGGCTCTAGATGGCAATGCTCTTCCAGGGGCTAGCTGGGCTGGGCAGGAGGAAGATGCTGGGCCAGGCAGGAAGTTTGGTACTACCCAGCAGCCTGCATGCAGACAGCTCGGGCATGCTACAGGCAGGTGGCGGGCAGGCAGCGGGCACCCCAGATGGGCAGGCGGTGTTAGGGGATGAGAAGGCAGGAGAAAGACAGAAAAGAGTCAAGACTTGGGACCCGACTGCCCAGAGAAGTTGCTACAGAGACAGACAAGGGAAGACATGGGACAAGAGAGTAGGTTCCTTGAAGAGATGTATCTCTCTGGCCTGGTGGCAGGGCTGGGAGCCCCCTGTGACTCCTGGAAGTATCTGTCCTCCATGAACTCTTCATATCCCAAAAGCCCTGGTGCCCTGGAATGGCAATAGCTAGCTCAGCTCCAGGCATCAGCAATAAGCACCCTCCAAGGATCACTTCCCAAAGGCCTGGAGCCCACCACTCTCTAACACTCCTCAATGCACACCTTCTCCCCTCTCCACACTCCTTCTCCCCTCTCCACACTCCTTGCCTCCCTACCTCTTCTTCCCACAGCTGATCTGCTGGGTTCTGGTGGCTTGGGCCCAGTGACTAATGGGTAGAGACAATTGGTTCTAACTGTGGTTATCCAGGTCCTTTCCTAGCCCTGCTGGCTTAACTCCCAGCTCCCAACTCCTCTGCAGCCAGACTCTCTAGGAACTACCCACAGCTCTCCTCCACTAGGCCTTCATGCACTGCCTCAAAACCAAGGGGAAAGGCTGCTGGCCCTACTCCCTGAAGCATGGTGGGTGCTAGAGTGGAAAAGGGGAGAGAAATGCACAAAGGTCTCAAGAACAGAGCTTAGGGGGTAAGAGCAACACAGCAGGCCAAAAGGGCAGGGTGAGTATAAGACAGTGAGAGAGGAAGAAGGTGAGGGTAATGAATGAGAGAAAGTAAAAGAGATCATGGGGGCACATGCCCACTGATGGGAGCCTTGGGTGAGCAGGCTACTAGACCAACATGCATGCACTCACGTGCAAACATTCACACATGTACACACAGCAAGGAGCACACAAATACATACATAAACAGGGACTGCCCTCCGTCTTTCTTCCATTATACACATGTGCACACATGCATGTGGCACATACAACCACCAATGGTCAGTTCCCCTTACCTGTCAAAATCAGTGCTCTCTCTCTCTCTCTCTCTCTCTCTCTCTCTCTCTCTCTCTCTCTCACACACACACACACACACACACACACACACACACACAGGATACTGAACACTTGGGGAACAGCATGGCCCAACTGCCCAGCACAAGGTCACTCTGTGTGTGTGTGTGTGTGTGTGTGTGTGTGTGTGTGTGTGTGTGTTGCCTCTCCCAACCTCCTAGGACACTTTGTTCAACTCCTGTATCCTCTGGAGGCTTTCCCTGAACAGTCCCTCACTCTACTAGAATGTTCTTCGGATCAGGAATATGCTCAGTGTCCGCTGGTGAACCCCCTATTGTGGCCTTGACCCTACAGTACAGGAGTTTGGTCTGTTGTGTTCACAGCTATGTCCCTGGCCCTAAGAACAGAAACAGTAAACATGGGGTGACATTCATTCTCTGGTTAAGATGGCCTGAACAGGAGTGATGTACCTGCCTGGGCCCACCTTCTTAGTTACATACACATGCATTCCCCTGAGCACCAGCCCAGCAGACATCAACTTGTTAGGGAAGCCCATTTCCTCCTCTAGGGAGGAAGGAGGAAGGAGGAAGGCAAGAGGACATAGAGAAGGCTGGGCTAGGCTCACTGCTGCCTTAATGGAAGGAGAGAAGTCAGGATGAGTAGACAGACACACAGAGAGCTTGGTGGGGTGGGGATGGCATTCTGCAGCTGGGGCAGCGGTTAGGTCAATGTGCAGATGTGCAAGCAGCGATGATAAAAAGGCTGGTACCTGCTCGTTGGGACGGGGCAGGAGCAGGGCTTAGAGTGATCACAATAACTGGATGGGGAAAAGGAAGAAAAAAAAAACACCACGATAAATCACAACAGAAATGACCGATTTGTCCAACAGAAAAGAAATCAAATCATAATGAAGAGGAAGGGGGAGGCTCAAGGCACCAAACTGCAGAGATGGGTAGAAACTGAGAGAGATGGGAGGGTGGGAGGATGGATGGAGCTGACAGACACAGACGCCTGCAGGGGGCTCCCTGGGGCCTGCCCGCCATGGGCCTCACCAAGTTTTGCTCTGCTCTTGGGACACACACTCCTTCAGGCACTTGGAACCCCATACCCAACCCTGTCTCACCCACTTTGAGGCTGGGAGGGCAGCCCTGCAGAGCCCAGCTAGAGACCCTCCAAGTCTTAGCCAGGCTTTTGGTCCCAGGCAGCATCTAACAAAAAGCATCCTTGCCTGTGGAATATCTCCAGGCCCCCAAGAGACTCCCCAGGGAGGGACTTGGGCAGATTCAAGCCAGAAGAGGGAGGAATCCAGGGAATCCCTATTTGAGGGACAAGTCAGGCCGTGAAAGTTAAAGCTAGGTGACCAGGAAGTGGACAGTTCTCAGCTATGGGAGCTTGCCTTTCCCTTCTTGCCAGAGTGACTCCCACAGGGAATACAAAGACTCCAAAGATGCTATCACAGGGATATAAGAAAGCATTCTGATAGGTCAACGGGGATTCAGAAAGGGTTGAGGGGGCACTCACCACACGGTTGGTGTGGGGAGGGAGAAAAATCCAATTCTCTCCAGCAGAGATGACTTGGGAATAGGAGTATGTGGGATACAAGGTGGCTACATGAAGTCATGGTGGTATCTGGCCAGGTGTGTGTGTGTGGATAGAAAAGACAACAGATGTTGATATGAGACCCCATGATATCAAGGAGGCAGGCAGAGACATGATAGGAGGTGATGTGTTTGTTGGGTGGGATTAGATAGATTCACAGGTGTTTCTAGAACAAGCAGTTATAGAGGAAGGGGAATAGTCACAAGAGCCCAGGAGACAGACGCTGCCAGACTGAGAGATAGCTGTGTGTTTCAGGAGGGCTAGACACACTAGGACGGTGATGATGAAACTAGCTAGTCACAGGAGTATAAGATTCCTCATGTATGCAGGAGTGGGGTCTGTGGAGCCGCCCGATAACAAGGCCCATCCAGGTTAGGGAAAAGGGACAGTCACATGTGATGAGGGGCATCAACTGGATGAATCCTCTAGTCAAAAGTATTAGATGTAGGTGATGTTTCCAGGCTGGAGATATGGGACCATAAGTGAGGTCATATTGGAAGCCTCTTCTAGTGAAAAGGATCAGATGTAGGTGGGGGCTAAGGGGCCTCAGATGTCCCGTGGGTTGGTTGGTATTCATGAGTGGACTGTCTGTCAAGGGAGAGGGCCTCTTGACAGTGACTGAGATGGCAGGAGTGGGATCACTGGGTCAAAAGGGATGTAATTGTGTTTGCAGGGTTGGGGGACTTGGATGTGGTCACAGCCGCTGGGGGTTTGGGGTATGAAAGCTTACTAGGTGCTGCTGGTGACAAAGCTGTGCGGGCGGGTCATAGGATGAGTGGAGGGGACCTCGCCTGAGACCCAAGTCATTAAGCCCCCCCCGGCTCTTTAAGGTGAGAACCCTCTGGATCAATGAGGCGTTGGGAGGGAACTTACCCAAGGACTGCCTACCCTACTCCTGGGTCACCATGACCCTCCCTCTCCCCGCAAGCTGACGGAGGAGGGAAGGGGAGGGAAAAGAGGAGGAACGAGAGCGCCCCGGAAGCGGGGGCGGGCCTTCGTGGGGGCGGGGTCTCCTGCGGGGCGGGCCTCGCCCCGCCCGCCCCCTCCCCCACGCCGCTGTTCTTACTGGGCCTGGGCCGCTGGGGGCTGATATCCAGGTTGAGGTCGATCCTCCTCCGGGCCTCGCGGTTCTCCTGCTTCAGCTTGGCTTCTAGGCGGGACAGCTTTTGCTCCAGGGAGGACGCCGCCATCTTCCCCGCCGCCGCCACCGCCGCTCACCGCCCTGCCGCCCGTCAGTCCAGGGCAGACAAACACCGCACTGCGCCTGCGCCTGAATGACCCCACCGAGCCGCCGTCCTCCCGCCCAACATGGCTCATGCCTGCGGTGTATACCCGCCCTGCTCTGCGTGTGGAATGCCGCGCGTGCGCACTGCGTCTCCGTCAGAGGGCTAACGCCACCTAGAGCTCTAGGCTGGCAACGTACTACACCTCCAACTCCCAGCCGTGCACATGCGTGAACTCCCCCCCCCTCTTTCCACAGAGAGGCGATGCGTGGAAACGCGCGATTCTTTGAAGATGGCGTGCATGCGTATTGAAGGGGCGACGCAGCCCTGCGCGTAGCTTCTGCACACGCACAAGCGCATCACTGGCTCCTGATTTTCTGTACGGTGCACCTACCTCCTAAGTACCCACGCCTTCCTCTTGTCGGACGTTCCTTCATTAGGATCTCTGTTGTGCTTAATTGGCGACCTCACCTCCCGCTAGCGCTGCGCAGCCTCCTCACCATAATTAGGCACCCTTTCCATTTCATCCAGTCCCACCAAGCTCAGAGTTATCAAAGCCAGGCAGGAGGAGAGAGCCGGACTCCAGATCCGGCGTGATTCCTGACCTAGGCTAAAGGGCCAAGGTCAAGGTCAGACTTCCTGGACAGACCTGCCTGGAACCATAAGGCGCACCATACCTATCTCTTTCACCCTGAAAATAGGCGCTCAGCTCATGAATGTGCATTCGTGTTTGAAGACCGACCCTGGGGTTAGGTGCCTCTGTCCAGGGACCCCGTAGTATAAAGGGCCCCTTCCATAACTCTGGGTCCCTAAGAGCAGTTTGCCTGTTGGTTCTTAGGTGTCTGGTGGTTAGCGTTTTTGAGGCACTTTTGGGAGGTGGCTAAACCCGAGATCAGGCTGTGTGTCTTCTTCCCTGTCGTGCACTGTCCACTCTGGGAGCAGCATGTGAACACCCTGGGATGGGTATTTGAAGGCTTCCTGGGACTGCCCTTGTGATGATGAATGATAGGTGGAGCAGACAGAGCAATCTTGGAGTTAAAAGGATAAAAGAGAAGGGAGAGGAAATAGGAGTCTAGAAAAAAAGACTCCACCCAATTCTTGATTAGATGAGGTCTCTGCCTCTAACCCTCTTTTGAACTACCTCTGGTGTCTCTCCTCCAAAGTCAGGCCAAGTGTCATTCTGACAGGCAAGTGTCATCACGTCCTTGGTCCCTGAAATACAAAGTTTTGACAACCATACTGCACAGAGGTCAGAATTATAGTTCTCATTTATTACACATGTAATAATAGATTGGTGTGTGCTTCCCTGCACAGGAAACATGCGAGAGTCCCTGTGTGTGCTTAAAAAAAAAAAAAAAATGCTTCCACCAGCAGGTGTTCTTAAATAGCTTGGGCAGGAGGGGATGTATCTGTAACTAGTGTTGTTGCAAGAGTTTTTCCTTGTTTATTACATAAGCTTTTTCCCTAGGAAGGAGGTGCTCAGGTCCCTGGGAGTCTTTTAAGGATCTAGGACCTAAAGGGGGCTAGGCATTCACATACCCATACTTTTCTCATTTGTTTTGGAGATAGATTCTATCTCTGTTGCCCAGGCTGGCCTCAACCCTTCAGTCCTCCTGCCTCCACCTCCCATGTAGGCATGTCTCACTAGATCTGGTTTATGCAGTGCTGGGGATCAAACCCAGGGCTTCATACATGCTAGGCAAGTACTCCTCCAACCCAACTGAGCCTCAGCCCCAGCCTACTCTTTAGGTCAACATTTCCATTATATAGTTTCAGGACCACATTCATTAATTAGAATTACCTGGCATATTTATTCCGGAGTAGATTCCTGACTCCCATCCCGAAATTGAGTCGTTATTTCAGAGATGGGGTATAGGATGGTTTGTTTTTATCCAGGCTCCTCAGCTGATTTTATTGCATAGCCAAATGTGAGACCCATTGTTCTAAGAACCTGTCTCTGTGGCAAAGGACTTATATAAGGGCTTGGCATCAAAGTTGGGCTACAGGGAGGGTTGGAAGGTGGTCCTTGTGTCTGTGTCCCCTCCTTCGGAGAGAACCCCAGATGTAAGCTGCTTTGCCATGGGGGTAGGGTTAGAAATCCCATTGGGATGTGACCCCCACCCTACCCCCACTTCCATATGTGACACTAATTGAGCTGGAATGTTTTGAGAAAGGGCAGGCCAGACATCCAAAGACAGGTGTGGTTTTGGTTTTAGAAACTAAGACTAAGTTAATCCTTCCCTGAGGGGTTCCACCCCAAATGCACTGCCTTTTGTCTCTCCCGGAAGACAAACCAGTCCAGAGACTTTGCCCAAGCTGCACAAAACTAACATAGCTGGCCTTTCTTCCTCTCCTGGTAGGTCCATTGGGCATCTCCCTTGGAAGACACTTTGGGAGCAGAAGTAGCTGAAGGCCTCAGTGTCAACCTGTACCCCTACCCCCAGGCTTCATTCCTCCTCCATCTTCTCCCGCACCTCTGCAGGCAGCCCATCATAAAGGGTGTCCTCTACCAGCAGCCCTGACTTCTTTAGCCCCTTGCAGTCACCAAGTTCTTCTGGTAGTGCTTCCAACCGATTACCCTTGAGCTCCAGGCGGCTGAGGGCCCGCAAGGCTGCCACGTGGGGTGAGAGCTGACTCAGATGGTTGTAGCCCAGGAGCAATGTCCGCAGCTTGCGGCAGAAGAACAGCTCATCTGGTAGGCTCTCAAGAGCATTGTAAGAGAGAGCGAGATGCTGCAGGCTCTGCAGCAGGCCCACCTCGGGAGGAAGAGAACGCAGCCCATTATGGGAGACGTCGAGCAGACGGAGGCAAAAACAGAGTCCTAACTGGGTGGGCAGAGTCTCTAGTTTGTTGTGGCTGAGGTAAAGCTGCTCAAGGTTCCTGAGCTTCCTCACATGTTCAGGGACATAGGCAATCTGGTTGTGCCACAGTTTGAGTGTGACCAGCTTCCTGCAGTGCTGGAAGCTGAGGATCTCCTCAATGGACCGCAGGTGGTTGTCCTTGAGGTCCAGTTCCTGCAGAGCACCCAGGCTGAAGATAGCGTGGGGGATGCGCTCCAGCCCGCAGGCCACCAGCTCCAGCTCCCGAAGCACCGCCAGCTTCTTGAGGCTGTTGAGGGCCAGCAAGCGGGCCCCATCATTATGCAGGCTGAGTCTCTGCAGGTGTCCCGCCACATCGGTTACACTGGCCGGCACCTTCCCTGCATTGCTACGTAGTGACAGCACCTTGAGCTGCTTCAGCTCCCGGAGGCTCTCAAGGGTGGCAGCCCTAGCCAGCTCCAGGGGAAAGAGTCCCTCCAGATGTAGCTCCTCCAAGCCACGCAGCCCAAACACCCAGAGGGGCACTTCACGGAGCTCCTCGCACTTGACACAGATCACCTTCAGCCGATCCCGCAGGAAGATCTGTGAGGAGAAGGGCAGTCTGGCTGGGGAGTGGATCAAACTGAGCTCCTGAAGGTTCACCAGCTGTGAGAGCCCTGGGGGAAAAGAGATGTCACAGATGGCTTCCAGCCGGAGGGCCTCCAGCTCACTGAGCTCAAAGACGGTGTCAGGTAGCCCAGGGAGCATGCAGAGGGCCAGCTCCAGCCTGCCACGTGTGTTACGCTGCAGTTTCTGCCGCAGCTTGTCTGGTGTCCACTCATGATTGAGGTTGAGCTGCTTCAGGCGGCTTTCGCTGACTTCAGAGAGGAAGACAGCGAATCGCTTGGAGTAGAGTGAGTCGTACTGGTCAATGAGGTGGAGCATGAAAGCGAAGTCATTTTTGACATCCGGGATGTCGTTCATACCAGTCTCCTCACGCACAGAACGGAAGGAGTACTCTTTGAGGGGTCGGTGGAAAAGCCAATAGAGTGTATACAGGCAGGTGATGCCATAGACGCACACAAAGGAGATGTAACAGAAGGCCAGTTTGGAGAAGAGGTGGGCCTTGGTGTGGTTGCAGCAGAAACTGGCATAGCCAGTGACCTCTGAGGTCTCCACCCTGCAAGCCACCAGGAAGCTGATCTTTTCTACATAGACTAGGTTATAAACCAGGATGGCGAAGAACTTACACACTTTGAGTACTGTCTGCCGGATGTACATGGAATAGAGGATGTCACCCTCTTCCACATGAACGCGGAACTTCTTGACCTTCTCAAACAGGGCCTTGGCCTGCTCACCTTCTTTCTTGTCCAGCAGGGTGATGGCAGGAGGCTCAGTAACAACCTTCTCAGGTTCCACTAGCACCTTCTCCTTTTCACCTTCACCTGCCTTTCCCAACCCCATACCTGCCGTGGTCACCACAGTTGCCATGGCCCGTCCAGCAGCTGGGCCCTTATGGTTTTCTCCCGACACTTCAGACAAGGCCCGTGTGGTCCACGGGGAATCGAAACACTTGCCTAGGATGGAGATGAAATGTTCTATTTTGGAGCTGGTGCCAGGGAATTTGAACCAAAAGCTGGTACAGACCATGAAGATAAGAGTGTGAATGACTACCAGGTAGGGGAAGTACTTGGCGTACCAGTGGAGGGCTGTTTCATAGCAGAGCTGGTTAATAAAGCTATACTGTTGCAAGTCTAGGTTGTTTTTGAGGCCACTCAACTCCCGGAGGCCCCCCATCTGCTCAGAGACCCCTCGAGGCAACAGCTGCTGGCAGGGGGCCTCGGATAAGTTCTCCCGAAGTTCATGACTGGGCAGGCAGATGATCTTGTCCTGTGTCACCTAGAGATGGGAAGACAGTGAAAGACAGAGAGGAAGCTGGGGGACTGCAAGGAAAACAGACTGAAGTGGGAGACCCTGACCCTAGGGTGTTCCCAGCTGTTTGAATGTGGAAGAATTGTTAAAGTTCAACATCAGTCTTCATCAGAAAGTTAAAAAAAAAATAGATTTGGGGGCTGGAAATGTAGCTCAGTTGGTAGAGTGCCTGTCTAGTATGCATGAGGCCCCAGCACAAGTTTGATTCCCAGCACTGCATAAACTGGGCTTGGTAGTGCATGCCTGTAATCCTAGCACATGGGACATGGAAACAGGAGGACAAGGTGTTTGAGGTCATCCTCGGATACATAACAAGTTTGAGGCCACTTTGGCCACTGTTCCACCCAGACTGGTTCTTTGGTGATCCAGTCGAGGCAGGGAGTCTGGTAATCAACAGTGGCCATTAAGGCCAGCCTGGGCTACATGAGACCCCATCTCAAAACACTGGAAGGGGTGAGGTTTGAGTTGTGTCTCACAAAAAGAAATTGTAGTTCCTGTAATTGCAGCCTCATTTGGTAGAGTGCTTGCCTAGTATACGAAGCTCTGGGTTCCATTCCCAGCAGGGCATAAGCTGGATGTAGTGATGCTCACATGTAATGCCAGTACTTGGGAGGTACAGACATGGGGATCAGGCATTTATCTACCTCTTAAAAAACATTTCTATTGCTGGGTGTGCTGGTACACACCTTTAATCCCAGTCACCAGGAAGCAGAGGCAGGTGGATCTGTGAATTTGAAGACAGCCTTGTCTACATAGTGAGTTCCAGGCCAGGTGGGGTTACAGGAAAACCCCAAAACAAACAAAAATAGGGCCAGGATTCAGCTAAATAGGCTGGACGCATGGCTCTGCAGTAGAGCACTTCAAAGGCTTGGGTTCCATCTCTATTACCAAAAGAGAGGAGAGAGGGGGCTGGAGGGGAGAGGGGAGGGGAGGGGAGGAAAGGAGAAAGAGAGAGACTGTCTTAACACTACACAGAATTTGATGGCACTGCTTGAGGGGATGGAGGTAAAGTAGGGGGTCAGAATTGGTATGTGTGTGGGTTCTGGCACTAGCTTCCTCTTGCCTTTATTATTTTATTTTATTGACGATACTTTGGATTGAACCTATGGTCTTACGTGTGCTGGGCAAGTGCTACACACTCACATACACACACACACACACACACACACACACACACACACACACACACCTCCCTAGCTCTTTTCTGTGTATTTTACTTATTTTACTTTATTTATTTTATTTTTTTATTTTGAGACAGACTGTGTAGCTCAATTGACCTAGAAATCATGACCCTCCTGGCCTGGCCTCTTAAGTACTGGGAGTCCAGATGTGCACCACAACACTTGGTCTTAATTTTTATTTTGAGACAGGATCTTGCTAAGGTGTCCAGGCTTACCTCAAACTTCAAAACTTCAAGCCTGCCAAAAAGCTAGGATCATAGATATGTACCACCATGCCCAGGACTCCTTCTCCCCCTTCTTGGGTGACTTGAAGGCTTTTGGACTTCAGGAGCAGGGCCAACCTGAAGACCCCCCCCCAGTCATGAGCATTGCCATGGTGGGACCCCCCGACCCCTCATCTGCAGGGTGCAGCTAAAGACCCCCTCCCCAGTCATGAGCACTGAGATGTGTGACCCTCACTCCTCATGGCCTCACCCCTCACCTGGAAGTTCAGCTGAAGAAGTCAGTCAGGAGGACAGCCACAGTGAGGCCCAGTCCCTTCAGAGCCTGCTTCTCACCTACAGGGTACTGCCTAAGACCTTCATGAGGAGCATCAGCAAGCTGTGGCCCTATTCCTTCAGTCCCCCACCTCTCTGCCTCACCTCTCAACTGGAAAGTATAGCTCAAGAGGCTAGTCACAAGTATGACCAGGAGTATGGCCACAGCAAGGTTGGCTCCTTCACAGCCCCATCCCTTTCTGCCCTGCCCCTCTCCTGAAGGGTGCAGCCAAAGACCTCAACCATCAGTATTGCCAAAGTGAGTTCCCACTTTTCACCCCTCACTCCTTCCCTGGAAGGCACTGCCTAAGACCCCAGTCATGAACATGGGCACTGTGTGACTTGCCACTCACCTGGAGGGTACAGCCAAAGACCCCAATCATAAGCATGGCCACCGTGAGGTACTCAGCCAGCACATCCCACCAGGGTTTGAGCACCTTGAATGCAGGCTGCTGTTCTGTAAACTGCTTAAACTCTGCCACTGGAATCATCCTGCCTGTGGGAGTCAGGTTGACAAGAGCTATTGAAGGGGCTGGTTCAGTGGTTAAGAGCGCTGGCTATTCTCGCAGACCACCCCACTTCAGCTTCTGGCCCCCACGTGGTAGCTAACAACCATCCGTAACTCCAGTTCCAGGGGATCTGATGCCCTCTTCTTGTATCTGCAGGCAAAACACTCATACACATAAAATAAATAAAATGAAATGAAATGAAATAAATAAATAAAATAAAATAAAATAAAATAAAATAAAATAAAATAAAATAAAATAAAATAAAATAAAATAAAATAAAATAAAATAAAATAAAATAAAATAAAATAAAAATATTTTAAAAAGTTATTGAGACACAGTGAAGAGAAGCATGTGCCTGCTTAAGAGAATCAATCCCCAGGGCACTTTGGGTTAGTGCTCCCAAAGCACTCTTCACCATGCCAGAACCTTCTGGAATCTATGAGCTATTTGTCCCTCTCTCCTCTTAGTCTGGATTTGCCCCCTCCCCAGAACTCACCTCCCTGATCTCAGGAGTTTCTCCTACTCCCCAAGGCCCTGCCTGGATCTGCCTCTGCCTGCCCTCTCAGCGCTCAGGAGGCAAGGAATACAGGGCAGTTGTTCCTCAGCCTCCCATGTAGCCTCCCTCAAGCCCAGACACCCCCTTCTATCCCTGAAGGCAGAAGCTTGTGCCAGTCATTCTAGTGTGTTTTACTCTAACTGGGCTCTTACCTCCACTCTGCCACCAGTGTCCCAAGCTCAAGACTTCCGGGGTGTGGGCCCCCCCCCAGGGGTGCTCTGGGCACCACCTCCAATCTCCAACCGGAAAAGCCGGCTGGAGCCTGGCTGTGCTCTAGTTAAAGGGCCCTAGGGGTTAGGGAGTGGCCAGACAAGGTTCTGAGGCCTGGGGGCATGTGCCAGGACATCTCTGTGTTCTGAGGGCCAGAATGAGAGATAGAAGCCTGGCATCAGGGACCTGAGAGCGAGGGGGGTGTAGGACTATCTGACAGGTAGAGTATCCCCAAATTGGAAAACCCTCAGAGTGACACCTGCAACTGACAACTGGCGCCTGGCACAGGGCTGGGCTGCCAGGCTCCAGGGCCATCAGCCCACTTCATCTATCTCTGGTTTCCTTTTCAACTAAGGTATCATTATTGCAAAGGCCAGGCCCAAGTCACACGGGGGCGTAGGAAGAAAGCTAGGACATCATTCTCTCAGACAAACAGCCACTTGCTCAAGTCAGAGATGGAGGAAAGGGGGGGGTGTCTCTGGGTAGTCCACCCTTGCTAGTAATTAAGCTTTCCGTGTATGTGTGTGTGTGTGTGTGTGTGTGTGTGTATGTATGTGTATATGTGTCTGACTGTCTCTGTCTGTGTGTATATGTATGTGTATATGTGTCTGCGTGTGTTTGTGTGTATATGTATGTGTATATGTGTCTGTCTGTGTGTGTGTATATATGTATGTGTATATGTGTCTGCGAGTGTGTTTCTGTGTATATGTATGTGTATATGTGTCTGTCTCTATGTGTGTGCCACTGCATATGTGTGGAGGTCAAAGAACAACTTTTTGGAGTAATTTCTTTCCTTTCACCTTATGGGTCCCAGGGACTGAACTCAGGTCATCAGACTTGGCAGCAAGTGCCTTTACACACTTCCTGGCAAGATTGCTGGAACCCTATAATCCCTTGTTTTAAACAAGTTTCTGAGAAGCTGGGTAATCCCAGCACTTAGAAGGCTGCGGCAAGAGGATTTTGAGTTTGAGACTAACCTGAGTTGTATAAGGAGACCCTACCTCAAAAAAAACAAAACACAAACAAGGAACAAAAACAGAAAAACAGGATCTGAGGAACTGATCCAGTTGGTAAAGTGCTGTCATCCAAATATGAGAACCTGAGATTGATAAACAAGGTTGTCATTCCACCACTGGGGAAGCAGAAACAAGAAGATCTCTGGGGTTAAATCGGCAAGCTCCAGGTTCATTGAGAAACCCTGTCTCGGAAAAGAAGGTGGAGGCACTAGAGAGCTGGCTCAGCAGTTAGGAGCACTGGCTGCTCTTGCAGAGGACATGGATTCAGTTCGCAGCACCCACAAGGTGGCTAACAATCATCCATAACTCCAGTTCCAGGGAATCTGATACCTGCTTCTGGTATCTGCAGGCACTGCATGCACATGGTGTGCTTACATACATACAGGTAAAACATACATAAAATAAAAATAACTTAAAAATTTTTATTTTATGTGTTTGAGTGTATTGCCTGCATGTGTGTAAGTGCACCCATATCTTGCAATGCCGCAGAGGTCGGAGGTCAGAAGAGGGCTTCGGATTCCCCTGGAACTGGAGTTAAGGATGGTTTGCAGCTGCCATGTGGGTGGTGGGAATTGAATCTGGGTCCTCTGCAAGAGCAGTCAGTGCTCTTAACCGCTGATCCATCTCTCCAGCCCTAAAAAGAACTTTTTAAAAATAAGACAGAGAGTGATAGAGGAAATCACTTCAATTTCTGTGGTAGCCTACACACATGTATACACACATGCACACACAATCTGATATAAATGAACCCAGTGAGGTTAGGGCAATGGTTCAGTGGTTAAGAGCATAGGCTGCTCTTGCAGAGGAGTCTAGTTTGTTTTCCAGGACCCACATGGCAGATAATATTCATCTGCAACTCCAGCTCCAGGGGATTCAGCACCCTCTTCTGGCCTCTGCAGTCACTGTACTCATGCATACATACCCACATACATACATACATACATATACACATATATACACATAAATAAAAATTCTTTGGAGCTGGAGAGATGGGTCAGTGGTTAACAGCGCTGGCTGCTCTTGCAAAGAACCTAGGTTTGGTTCCCAGCACTCACATGGGGGCTCACAACCATTCAAAACTCCAGTTCCAGAGAATCTAATGCCCTCTTCTGGCCTCCTCTGCATGCATTGCACACATGTGGTACACTTACATATGTACAGGCAAAACACTCACACATACACATAAAACTAAAATAAATTAATTAATTAAATACTTTAAAAATAATACAATAAGGCCGGGCATGGTGGCGCACGCCTTTAATCCCAGCACTCAGGAGGCAGAGGCGGGCGGATCTCTGTGAGTTCAAAGCCAGCCTGGTCTACATAGCGAGTTCCAGGACAGCTGGGGCTACAGGGAGACCCTGTCTCCAAAAGACCAAAAACAATAAAAAGTAAAAAATAAAATATTTTTTAAAAAGGAAAAAAAATGAACCCACTAATGTTCAGGGGGTGATTGTGTGCAGCAGCCACCAACAGGAACATCTGGGGACATTCCAAAGCAAGGAGGAGTAAAATCCACTTAAGGGTTCCTGTCAGCTAGGGCCAGTAGATCCTTCCAGGGGCACCACTCAGGGGCTGCCACACACAGAGGCCAGTTCCCTGTCTCCACTTTTCATGACTCATCTCACCATGGTACAAGTTCCCTACTCTACCTGCCAACCCTTCCAGGTACACAAGTCACAGGCCAGAAGACAGGAGCTCTCAGGGTCCCACAAGGACAGGCCCATGGTTCCAAAGGGACAAGGTATATACATATACACAATCAAAAGAGGTAAGGGATTATCATTATCTGGCTCCATGACTCAAACTTGATCTTCCAGAACCTGCCATTAAATTCTGGCATGCAGCTGTAAGGCTGGCCCTCTCCCTGTGTCTGAACAGAGCTGGTGGGAGGGTCGAGAAGCAGAGACAAACAGAATTAGAGGAAGGGCAGAGAAAACCAGCAGTGGAGACTGTACAGTATATCATGTGGTCTTCTCAAATCTGATTTTAAAACATTAAAAAAATTTTTTTTGGTCTTTTTTTTTTTTTTGAGACTGGTTCTCTCTGTAGCCTCAGCTGGCCTGGAACTCACAAAGATCTGCCTGCCTCTACCTCCTGAGTGCTGGGATTAAAGGCATGTACCACCACACCTGGCTAAAATTTTGTTTTTATTTCATGTGTATGAATGTTTTACATGCACATATGTAAGTGTACCTGTGCATCTAATACCCACAGAGGCTAGAAGAGGGTGTTAGTTTCCCTGGATCTGGAATTATGGATGGTTGTGGGCAGCCATGTGAGTGCTGGGACCCAAACCTGATCTTCTGCAACAGCAGCCAGTGCTCTTAACTGCTGAGCCATCTCTCCAGCCCTCTCAACACTGATTTTATTATTTTTTTAGTGTGTGTGTATGTGTGTGAGTGTGTATGCATGTATGTGTACATGTGTATGGGTATACAAACTTGTGTGTTCAGTGGAAGGCCAGAGGTCAATGGCAGGTATCTTCCTCTACAACTCTCCATCTTACTTTCTGTATGTGTGTGTGTGTGTGTGTGTGTGTGTGTGTGTGTGTGTGTGTGATGTTTGTGTGAGCGTGCCTATGTGTAGGTCAGAGGACAACTTTGTGGAGTCAGTTCTCTCTTTCCACATGGGTTCTGCCAATCAATCTCGGGTGGTCAGACTTGCACAAGGCCCCTCTCTAGCCCCCAATATTAGAGTTACGGGTGGTAGCAATGTGCCTAGCTTTTATGTAGGAGCTAGGAACCCAAACACAAGTCCTTATGCTTTCATAGCAAGTACTTACCACGTGAGCCATCTTCCCCCTCTTCTCCCTCTTCTCTTTTTAAAATTTCAAAAAAAAAAAATTTTTTTGAGACAAGGTCTTCTTGTAACCCCAAATGGCCTGGAACTTGCCATGTAGACCAGGTTGGCCTCGAACTTAGAGAGAGCTGACTGCCTCTGCCTCTGAAGTGCTGCATCTGCTGCTGTACCTACTCTATTATTTATTTTTTTAATTACGTGTATATGTGTGTGTCTGTATGTGGGTATGTGCACATGAGTGCAGGCCAGAGGCCAGAGGTATCAGATCCCCCAGGAACTGGAGTTACAGGCAGTCATGAGCTGCCCAGTGTGATTGCTGGGAATTGAACTCCAGTCTTGGAAGAGCAACTAGTGCTCTTAACTGCTGAGCCACTCTCCAGTTGCCAGTTGCTGTCCCGTCCTACCTTTTTTTTTTTTTTTTTTTTTTTTGAGACAGGGTCTCCCTGTAGCCCCAACTGGCCCAGACTTGCTATGGAGACCAGGTTGGCCTCGAACTCACAGAGATCTGCCTCCCTCTGCATCACCACACCCAGCCTCCTCCACTTTTTTTGAGACAAGGTCTTGACATGTCTCCTTGCCTTACCTGCTGCTAGCTGTATGGCTCAAGCTGAAATGAAACTTGCAATCCTCCTGCCTCCATCTCCCAAGTGCTAGGTGTTCTGGTTAGTTTCTGTCAACTTGACCACAAACTAGAGTTATTTTGGAAGAAGGAACCTCAAAGTGGTCAGTGCCATCCCTGCACGGGTGGGCCTCAGTTGTTTAAGAAAGGTAGCTGGGCAAACAAGGGGAAGCAGCCAGTAAGTAGCATTCCTCTGTAGTCTCAGCTTCAGTTCCTGCCTCCAGCTTCCTGCCTGGAGTCCCTGTTCTGACTTCCCTCAGTGAAAATCTGTTACCTGGAAGTGTAAAATGAAATAAGCTCTTTCCTTGGTTTTGGTCAGTTTTGTAGCAGCAGCACAGAAAGCCAAAGTAGGACAATTAGGATGGCAGGGTTGTGTCATCATGTCCTTCTCAATAGTGAATTTTATCCTAATTTAGGGGGTGTGGGTATACAAGATTTCACTGTTACAGCCAAATGTGGCAATGCATGCTTTTGACCCCAGCACTAGGCTGGCAGAGGCAGGTGGATCTCTAAGATGGAGTCCAGCCTGGTCTACATAGTGAGTTCCAGGCCAGCTGGGGCTATAGGGAGATTGTCTCAAAAGAACACAAAGAACCAGGTGTGGTGGCAGATGCCTTTAATCCCCGCACTTGGGAAGCAGAGGCAGGCAGATCTCTGTGAGTTCAAGGCCAGCCTCGTCTACATAGCAAGCTCCAGACCAGCTGGGGCTACAGGGAGACCCTGTCTCAAAAAAGACCAAACAACAACAACAAAGACTTCAGTGTTAGGAGTGGCTTTTGGCCCAGCCAGTGGCCACCTCCTGTCTGTCTGAGGACACCTGCTCTACTCCAACCAATGAAAGCACTGCTCATTGAGATGCAACATCTATAGGAACCTATGAGGGTGCAGGTGTGGTGCTGCAAGACTTTAATCCCAGCACTCCACAGCCAAGGCAGCAAGGCCAACCTGGTCTAGTCTACATAGGGAGTTCCAGACCAGCTGGGGCTACAGAGAGACCCTGTCTCAAAAAAGAACTCCCCCCCCAAAAAAGAACCTATGAGGGCTGGAGAGATGGCTCAGTCAGTAAAGTGACAAGCATGAGGACCAGAGTTCAATCCCGAGCACCTACGTAAAAGTGAGCAGGACAGCCTGGGTTTGTAACCCCATTGCTGGTGGTGGGTGGTGGGTGGAGGGTAGGGAAGATCCCCAAAGCTCTAGCCAAATAGAGGAGCTCCAGTTTCAGTGAGAGACCCAGTCCAAAAAAAAAAAAAGGGGGAAGGGGCTGGAGAGATGGCTCAGTGGTTAAGAGCACTGGCTGCTCTTCCAGAGGACCTGAATTCAGTTTCCAGCACACACACCTGGCAGCTAACAACCTTCTGTAACTCCAGTTTCAGCGTATTTGATGCCTGTATCCCCTCCCAGGCCTTCCTCTGGCTTTCCAAAATATGGTGGAGTAGCTCCTGCTGCTGGAATGAAGGTTATACTTAGCCTCCCCATCCACAGCTAATATGCCAAGGGGCCAGGAAGAAACAGCAAACAGTTTTTCAACCTTAAAGAGCACAAAGTCATGCTAGGGATTTGGCTTAGTTGGTAGAGTGCTTTACCTAACATGCACCAGGCCCTGGGTTCACTACCTAGCACTGCCTAAAACCAGGCATAGCAATGCACATACCTGTCACCCTCCCTAGGACAGAGGTAGGATAATGAAGAATTCAAGGCCATCCTCAGCTATAGCTGAGCTTATTAGAGGCTAGCCTTGGCTAGATAAGATCTTGTTGCAAAAAACAGAAAACCTTGACCAGGCATGGTGGCACATACCTTTAATCTTAGCACTCTGTGTGATTGAGGCCAGCTAGGTCTACATAGTGAGTTCCAGGTGAGCCAGGGTTACATAGTGAGATTCTGTCTCAAACAAACAAAACCAAAAACTAAAACCAGAAAAACCAAGGCACCTGCTGCCAAGCCTAATGACTAGAGTTCAATCTCCAGGACCCATCTGATGGAAGGAGAATTGACTCCCAAAAGTTATCCTTAGACCTCCTGGAGAGTGCCATGCATGTCCACAAACCCATACACATACACATAAATAAATGTAAAAAAAATTAAAAACACACAAAGCAAAAAGTCAAACCCTACGCTTCTTTACAAGGGGGACACAGAGGTAAGGGGGAGTCACCCCATAGTAGATTTGGGGGCAGGCCTATGGAGTCCTGGAAGGGATTTTTGCAGTCTTGAAGTATAAGAACCCCAGAGAGCAAGTTGATGAGGACCCCACAGGGTGGAGTAACTTTGAGGGGCTCTCTAAGGTGAGCTCTTGCTCTGTTCCCAGCCATCCCTGCCACCCTCTGCTAGGTCAGGCTGAGTGAAATTAAGACCCCCTCAAAGCGGACTCCTGTCTGTTGATCTTTCCTTCACTTGACCCAGGACTGTCCAGCCAGTGAGACACACGCTCCAAGCTGCTGGTTACCGCACCCGGGGTGTCCTGGGGACAGCCTGTCCCGGCCACAGTGCCACCCACACCTGAGAGATCCTCTCCTAGACCATTCCCCAATTCTAGACTGATGTCCACGAAGTGGACGAAAACTCCCTCTACTCACCGCTCAGGGATGGAACTCTGGGGCCCAAATTGTGGGTCCCTGGGAGTGGAGCGACCTGGACTCCCGCAGAGTTCCCGGGCGGGCCGGACAGAGTGAGTCAGGGTGGGTTGGGCCAGGAGCCCAGGAGCCGCCCCGCCCCGCCCCCAGGATTTCACTGCCTAGCCTCGCTGCAGACGCTCCCAGGTCGACCCAACTCCTGGAGCACCACACAATGGCCAGGCAAAGCGAGGGATTCCCCCAGGGAAGAAAGGCCTTAGAAGTTTGCAGTGCAGCTAGCACCCTGGCCATAGGATGCACTTTCTGGGCAGGTGTTAGGAACATGGTGTTTGGAAGAATTTCCTCCAACCCATAAGGCAGTCTCACCTGGAATCCAGCGCAACTGAGGCACAGGTGACCAGAAGAAGCTTCAGGCTGGGTAAGACGGGCGGGCTAGAACCCTTCCAGTCCTCGCCCGGGGTTAGGAGCAGTGCTCAGCCACAGGAAACCAGCCCAGTTGGGGATGCCAGTCAGACTGTCTCTGCCCAGGCTTGTGGCCATCCTTGGTGGGGGCTGGAGGGTTGGGCTAGGGACAAGCTCCTCCCTTGTCTGGGGTGGGGGTGGAGTGGGGTGGAGGTAGGCCTGCTGGGGCCAGAAGGCCTAGGGAGTGGGAGTAGAGTCTCAAACCTCCTCCTCCGTCCCTCAGGGAGTGGCGATAAAGTTTAGGAGCCTCTCCTCTTTCTTCTTAGTTTCTTGTAGCTCAGGTTGGCCTCAAACTTTCGAGGTAAGTCAGGGATGACCTTGAACTTCTGAACCTTCTGCCTCCACTACCCAAGTTTCATCATGTGAGGGGACTACAGGAGGGTTTACAGGCTGAGGGATGACAGGTCAGTGCCATCACACCTGATTTTGCAGCATTAAGGATGAGCCCAGGGCTTCCTGTATGCTAGGCAAGTGGTCTACCAACATCTTCAACTCCTGACAGCCTCATATCTTTTGTTTGTTTAACTTGTTTTTATTTTATGTGTATGAGTGTTTTGACTGTAAGTGCATCAGTATGTGCAATGCCCTCTGAGACCAGAAGTGGGCATTGGATCCCCTGAACTGGTGATACAGACTGTTTTTGGCCACTGCACAGGTCCTGGGACCTAAATTCCAGTCCTCTGAAGAAGCAGGCAGGGCTTTTAACCATGGAGCCAGCTCCACCTAGAGAGCCCCATTTCCAAAACCACCCTGCCTCCCTCACCACCACCTGGGGAGGCTTGGACTTCGGTTGCAGAATATCAAACCAGGAATACTGCCCATTTCCACCTGGAAGCAGATGGGTTTGAATCTGCTGTGAGCAAGAAAATGCCCTCTCAATGGTAAACCTCCCATGTGGACTGGGAAGGAGAATGAACATGCCTCCCCTCCCTAGGAACATGTAGGACTGAGAGGACCAGAGTTCAGTTTCCCTTCCAAGGAGATCCAACACTGTCTTTTGGACCCTTCAGACTCTGCACTCATATGTGCACACACCTACACATAGACACATAGGCATACACAAAATTAAAAATAAAATATATCTTAAGGCCGGGCATGGTTGCACATGCCTTTAATCCCAAGTACTCGGGAGGCAGAGGCAGGCGGATCTCTGTAAGTTCAAGGCCAGCCTGGTCTACATAGTGAGTTCCAGGTCAGCTGGGGCTACAGGGAGACCCTTTCTGGAAACAAAAACAAAAAACTAAGGCCTTCCTTAAGGTAGGCAAGTATACTACCACTGAGCTCGCTCTCTAATGCCCTGTTTAATTGTTTAAGACAGAGTGTCATGGTGTACTCCAGCATGGCCTCAAGCTTGCTACAATCTATTTTATGTGCTTGTCTGTACGTGACATTCATAGACAACAGACGACAACTTGTGGGAGTCAGTTCTCTCCTTTCTACCTGTGAATCCCGGGGATCAAACTCAGGTCTTCAGGCTTGGTGGCAGGCACTCTACCCGCTGTGCTATCTCACTGGCCCCTGTTTAATAGATTTTTTTTTTTTTTTTTTTAGTCTTTTTGAAACAGGGTCTCTCTGTAGCCCCAGCTGTCGTGGAACTCACTATGTAGACCAGGCTGGCCTTGAACTCACAGAGATTTGCCTGCCTCTGCCTCCCAAGTCCTGGGATTAAAGGTGTACGCCACCACGCCTGTTTAATAGATTCTTTAAAAATTATGCGTATATGTGTATCTGTGTGTGGATGTGTGCACATGAGTGCAAGTAGCCTCGGGGGCCAGAGACATCGAATCCCCCAGGAGCTAGTTACAGGCTGTTTGTGAATCATCTGATGTAATTGCTGGGAATTGAATCAGGGTCCTCCAGAGGAGCAACAAGTGCTCCTAACTGCTGAGCCATCTCTCCATCTCCTGTTTAGTAGATCTTAAAGGGAGCATATTGTATACCAGTACCTCAATTCAGCAATTCGGCTTCTTTGGAGTAATCTCTCTCTGTGTGTCTCTGTCTCTCTGTCTCTCACTGTGTGTGTGTGTGTGTGTGTGCTGTTTTTGAGACAGAACTTACTGTGTAACCTTGGATGGCCTGGAACTAGCTATATAGACCAACAGACCAGGCTGGCCTCAATCTCACAGAGATCCACCTTCTTCTGCCTCCTGAGTGATAGGACTAAAGGTGGGCATCATCACACTTGGCAAGAGAGGGTCTTTTTGATGTAGGTCTTGCTGGCCTCAAACTTAGATTCTTCTGCCTCAACTTTCCAGGCTCTAGGATTGCAGGCATGTGCTACCATGCCGGACTCCCCCCAACTCCCTTTGGTTTTCCCATTTTCTTTTTGCAGTGCCAAGTTGTAACCCAGGACCCAACACATGTCCTATATCCCTTGCCCTATGTGATGACTTCTTCTCCTCCTTCTTTTCCTCCTCCTCCTCCTCCTCTTCCTCCTCTAACCAGGGCTACATAGTGAAACCCTATCTCAATCAATCAATCAATCAATCAATCAATCATTTTTTGAAATAAAAATTTTAAAATAAAAAATAAGGGGCTGGAGAGATGGCTCAGCAGTTAAGAACACTGGTTGTTCTTGCAGAAGACCCAGATTTGAATCCCAGCACCCACATGGCAGCTAACAACTGTCTATAACTCCAGTACCAGGGGATCCGACAGCCTCTTCTGACCTCCGCTGGCATTGCACGACATGGGTGCACTTACCTACATGCAGGCAATACATGCATACACATAAAATAAAAATAAATAAAATTTTTTTAAAAACTAAAAAAAAATATGTTCGGAGCAGTCAAGGAGAACATTTGGTGTCGTCTTGCATGCGCACACACACACAAGAACATACACATACACCACACACATAGAAACAAATAAAAAACCAAACAACAACAAAAATTTGAATACACACTTAAAAAATTAATTAAGGGTAGGCATGGTGGGCCATGCCTTTAATCCCAGCACTGAGGAGGGAGAGGCAGGCAGATTGCTATGAGATTGAGGCCAGCATGGTCTACATAATGAGTTCCAGGCCAGCTGGGGCCACAGGGAGACCCTGTCTCAAAAAAAAAATTTAAATCCTGTAAACATACAAAGGAACAAGACAATAATATTTTGAGACATGTCTTCTGGATATAATAAATGGGGCAAAGGAGTAGCCAGTGAGAAGCGTTTCCTGAAGTCTTCTTAGAGTTGGAGAGACCTGAGAACTGTTGTTTCTCCCTATCTCTGACAAGCTCCCTGGGATCTATGCCCTGGGGGTTTGTATGCCTATTCCCTGAATAAGTATCCAGATACACACACTCTGCTGATTAAGTAACAATCTGAATTCCCTGTAGGTCTGGTCAGGCTGTAACTCAGATGGTAGAGTGCTTCCCTAGCATCCTGGAAGCCCCTAGGTTCCTTCCCCAGCATGCCCTAGGCCCTGCATGGAGTAATCCCAGGACAAGAGAGACAGGATAATCAGAATTTCACAAGTATCAGAAGTTCAAGGTCATCCTCAGGTATATAGCAAGTTCCAGGCTACCCTGGGCTATATCCCTGTTTGGAAAAAAAAAAAAAAAAAAAAGGAGCTGGGTGTGGTGGTGTATACCTATCTCCTCAGGGCTGAGAAGATCAAGGTCAGGGCTGGAGAGATAGCTAGGTGGTTAAGAGCACTGCCTGCTTTTGCAGAAGGACCCAGATTCAGTTGCCTGAACCCACATGGCAGCTAACAACTATCTGTAACTTCAGTTCGCTCCAGGGGAACCGACGACCTCTTCTGTCCTCCGTGGGCACTGCCTGACACGGGTGCACTTACCTACATGCAGGCAATACCACTTATAGCTTAAAATAAAAATAATGTTTTTTAAAAAAGAAGTTTGAGGTCATCCTTTGCTACCCAGTGAGTTAGAAGCCAGTGTGGGCTACAGGAAACTCAGTTACCAAGACAAAATAACCAAGTAAGCACTGACAAATATTCTGACTTTACTAGAACACAAGCCTGGTTAACCACTTGTCTCTTTTGCTCCCTTGTGTTCTTAACACTTGCCTGGGATGGGCTTTCTCTAAAACATGGGTGAGTGATAGGAGATCAGGTTAGCCATTGTCTTGTTTAGGCTCCTCTAAACTCAGACTCTGAGATGAGAAATGGAAGGCAAATAGTTTATCTGGCAGGTTATTCTAGGATGTACCAGAAGGGACTGCTGAGATGGCTCAGTGGTTAAGAGCTCTGACTGTTCTTGCAGAGTGTTGGTTCCAAACACTCACTTGGCAGTTCACAACTGTCAGTAACTCCAGTTCCAGAGGATCCAATACCCCCTCTGGCTTCTGTGAATATTGCAATTATGTGGGACACTCACAGACAGATAAAATACTCATACGTATTTTTTAAAAAGTGAAAATAAATAAATCAAAAAATAATTTTAAAAAAGTTCTTGCTATGTTGCCCAGGCTGGCCTAAAACATATAGGTTTAAGTAATCCTCCTGCCTCATCTTCCCAAGTGACTAGGATTCATCCCCTAGTTGATGGGCACTTGGGGGTGTTTTCATAAGAAGGTAGTGTTCAAATTCCAGTTTAATGCATGGTAGAGTCAATATCCTTCCACCTTAGGCAGAAGGTAGGAAGTCGGGCCTCTGGGAAGATAGAGGTAACACAAGAAGGGGTGCTGTGTGTGGACATGATCAAAGAGAGAAAGTATCCAGGGGCTCACCCAGATGACAAGTGGTGAATGGGTGAGGAGGCCCAGAATAATCCAATCAGGAGAACAAAGCGGGGCATTTGGTTCTGAAGGTTGATGTTTTTTCTTTCAGTTGTGGAAATTTGGATGAACACAACTCTTTTTGTGTTTGCTTTATATATGTGTGAGGATACATGTACACACATATTAGAGGGCAACTACAGGTGTCATGTCTCTGGGGCCTCCTATCATAGATGTGGATCTGAGTCCTCTAGCACCTGATGCTGAAGTTTCCAGGTTCTTTGTCCCATTGTGAAGAATTAGACCAGGGACATGTCGTTAGAAATAGAAAAATGGGCTGGAGAGATGGCTCAATGTTTAAGAGCATTGGCTGCTATTTTGGTTCCCGGCACCCATATGCCACCTAATAACTGTAACTCCAGTTCCTGAGGCTCCAGTGCCCTCTTCTGGCCATCATGTGTACGCATGCCCATGGACTACTTAAATACATGTGGGCAAAACACTCATACACATAAAATAGAAATCAAGAAAAATTTTAAAACTTTTATTACATTGATTTTCCTGTGTGTGTCTGTGTGTATGTGTCATATGTTAATGCAAAATCACTACTCTCACCTCAAAGAAGATGTGATAGTTTATTCTGGAGCCAAATATGAATGACTATGGCCCAGGAACACAGTCAGGTTACCCCAGATTCCATGTTCCAATACTGAAAGAGTTTCATGAAGTTTTTAATACTAACAGAACAAAGTTATAAATCAAGACACTTCAAATACATTGGTGGAAACATACAGCAAAAGAAATCTCAGCTATAGGCTTCAGGTGCTATCTGATGACATTCAGCCTTTTGGTTGGTAGAAGCTAGGGCTTTGTTAAGTTAATACATTCCAAAAGGTTTTTATCAGGATGTTAAGTCAGAAACAGAGGTGGGCAAGGAGTGGCTAGTTAAGGGGCTAAAGATAGCCCAAGATAAATTGTAAATAGGCTTTGGACCTGCAATATTCCAAACTCTGCACAATTATTGAAGTTTTAATCAGTTGATCAGCCTTTGCAGAAGGTTCAGTTTCAAGATGCAGTTTCTGGGAACTTTGGTTCACACATAGCACATGTGCAGAGGTCAGAGGATAACTTTCAGGAGTTGGCACTCTCCTTCCATCATGTGGGTCCAGTGGATCAAACTTAGGTTGTCAGGCCTCGCTTCAAGCACCTTTACCTGCTAAGCCACCTCCTTGGCCCATTGAGATAGGGTGTTATTCTGCAGCCCAAGTTGGCCTGGAATTCACTGTATTGCCTAGCTTAGGCTAGTTTCAAGTTAGTGGCAATCCTTTTGCCTTACCCTCAGGAGTGCCGGAATTACAAGCATGCCCCACCATGCCCAGCTCCTTACAACCCCATGAATGGAGAAAGTTCAGCCTCCTGCTTCTAGACACACCCTACTTAGGAAACCCTCTGAGTTCCAGAAGGAGAGGAATTGCTCACGTGCGTGTGCATATGGGTATGCCCATACATATGTGCCATGTGCCTGTATGTAGGTGTGCTCCAGTGATGGGGTATGGGGAGCTGGTTATGTGGCATAGGGTAGGGAGTGGCTCTAAGTCATCAAGGCAGAAAGTACCTAGGTAGAAGGGACTAAGCCTACAGAAGTGACAAGGCCAGACCCTCAGGTATAAAGGGAGGCTCATCAGAAACCTTGAGGTACCCCCTTAAACCTTTAAACTACTGCCCTTTGATTAAAAAAAAAAAGCCAGGTGTGGTGGTGCACACCTTTGATCCCAGCACTTGGGAAACAAAGGACCTAGGTTTGGTTTCCACCACCCATGAGATGACTAACACACAACTCCATTTCTAGAATCGGATGTCCTCTTCTGTCCTCTGTGGGCACCAAGCACACAAATGGTGTACATACATACAGGCAACTCACAGAGATCTGCCTGCCTCTGCCTGCTGAGTGCTGGAATTAAAGGCATCTAACCATGCCCCGAAAAAGAAATAAATCTTTAAAACATTTAAAATTTTTATTTTATGTGTATGAGTGCTTTGCCTGCAAGTGTGTAAATACACTTGGCAATGCCCTTGGAGGCCAGAAAAGTGTATGGGATCCCTTGGTACTGGAGTTATGGGCAGTTGTTAGCCACCATGTGGGTGCTGGGAACTGAACCCAAGTCCTCTGGAAGAGGGGCCAGTGTGCTTTACCAGCCCCCTTAAACTTCTTTTAAAAAATCCTGGTAAAGGCACTTACCTCAAAAACCTAGTGACTTGAGTTCTGTTCTCTGAACCCACACAGAAGTAGAACTGACTCCACAAAGTTTTCTCTTATCTCCACATGTGTGCCATGACACCCGCATCTCCCCACCCATACAAATTTTTTAAAAATTTTATTTATTATTTTTTATTTTAGTGTATGCATGTATTGCCTGCATGTGGGTAAGTGCACCCATGTCATGCGTGCAATGCCTGCGGAGGTCAGAAGAGGCTGTCGGATCCACTGGGACTGGAGTTACAGACAGTTGTTAGCTGCCATGTGGGTGCTGGGATTTGAATCTGGATCTTCTGCAAGAACAATCAGTGTTCTTAACTGCCGAGCCATCTCTCCAGCCCAGATAAAATATTTTTAAAAAACCCAAGGGACAGATAGATGGGTCAGTGGGTAAAGGCATTCATCGCTAAGCCTGACAACCTGAGTTCAATTCCTGGAATTTATATGATAGAAGAAAAGAACCAACTCTTGCAAATTGTCCTCTGACCTCCACAGGCATGTGCCTGCACACACATCACACACACTAAGGGGCAACAACTCAGTGTTTAAGAGCACTGACTGCTCTTGCAGAGGACCTGGGTTTGATTCCCAGCACCCACATGGCAGCTAAGAACCATTCCTAACTCCAGTTACAGGGCATCTGATGCCTTCTTCTGACCTCCATGGGCACTGCATGACACAGGTGCACTTGTACACATACAGGAAACACACTCATACACATAAAATAAAAATAATAGGTAAAATATTTTTAAAAATGTAATCAATCAATCAAACAAAACACACAAAAAATCCAACTCTTGACTTAGGAGCTGGGGCTATAGCTCAGTTGGTAGAGCACTTGCCTAGCATTCATGAAGCCCTGGGTTCCATCCCCATAGACCCAGGGTGGTGGGGCACACCTGTCATTCTGGCACTGGGGAGGCATAGGCAGGAGGATTAAAAGTTCAAGGTCATCCTTTAAGCCTGACACAGTGGTGCCGTGCCTTTAATCCCAGTACTCAGGAGGCAGAGGCAGGTGGATCACAGGTAGATCTCTGTGAGATCAAGGCCAGCCTGGTCTACAGAAAAAGTTCCAGCCTACATAGTGAGACCTTGTCTCAAATAAGCAAAAAAGTGATGTCACTTAAGTCTGGCAGTACACAGACCCCATAGGATGGGGAGTACCTTTATAGGGTGATCCCCTTTAAAGGGGATCTTACCTTCATAGGTTGTTAAACCAAAACTCTGGAAGCCAAGGTCTCTCAAAAATAAAAGGACTAGCTGAGCGCCAGGTCAGCTGTACTCCCAGTAATCAGGAGACAGAGGGAGGAGGATCCTGAGTTCCAGACCAGCCTGGGCTACTTAGTAAGACCAGTTAACTAATTAGTCTTTCCCTTCTTCCTCTCTTCTCCCAAATCTGAGGTCTGCTTTGCATTCTCTAAATTCCTGGTGCTCTGGGCTAGAGAGATGGCTTAGTGGTTAAGAGCACTGGCTCTTCTTGCAGAGGACCTGGGTTTGGTTCCCAACACCAGTATGGTGACTGACAACCGTCTGTGACTCCAGTTCCAGAGCATCCAACACCCACTCTGGCCTCCAAGGGCATTGTATAGCACAGGTCCACTTACATACATGCAAGCAAAACAGCTATACACATAAAATAAAAATAAATTTAAAAAAATGTTAAATTCCAAGGTTTTGGGGGCTGGTGAGATGGCTAAGTGGATGAAGACTTGCCCAGGACCTACCTGGTGTTAGGAGAAAACTGATTCCTGCAAATTGTGACACATGTACACGCATGTATACACACACAATACATAAATACATAAATAAATGATGTAGTAGAAAAAAAATCCCCAGGGCTTGTATTCGCCCAGCAGACCCCACCAAACTGGGACAGGTAAGGAAGGGGTTTTCTATAGTGTGAGAAAAGTCTCGGGGTACGAGATCGATGGACTGGCCCAGACATTCTCGGGCGATCTGGGCCACTATAGTCGCAAGTTCAGGACAGGAATAGGGGACATAGAGTGGCTGGATTGGTCGGTGGGCCACAGGCGCGGTGATCCCGCCCTACTGGTTGCCAGGGCCCAGCCTATCCCTGTCCAGGAGGGTTTTGGTCATCAAGTGATAGGGATGGGGGTGTCAGAGCAGGTGCGTGAGCGTGCCTAGGGGGTGCTGTGAGGGTCCTGGAGAGATTTCCCCACTAAGCCTCGCTGCTTTGGTCTGGAGTCATCCCCTGCCATCGCTGAAAGAAGCCTCCCGCCAAGGCGATCGCAGGGAGGAACCTCCCTGGGACGCGCGCCTCTTCTCCCCCAACACCAACCCCCTCAGCGCGCTCGGAGGTCTGAGCACAGCGCGCGCACCCAGGCTCCCCCCGCCCGTGCCCGCGGGGCGGGGCCGCAGTCAGGCTCCCCAGGCGCCGTCGCCTGCAGCCCCCTCCCCTCGCCTTCCCCGCGGCTCCCTGCGGCCGCTGCTCTGGCCCAGCCCCCACCCCAAGGCGACGAGCGTGGAGCAGCGGCTGGCCGGAGCTAGAGGTGAGCGCGCGCTTTGAGCAGGTGGAGCGGCCGCTAGCCCGCGGAGGGGACCGGGCTGGGGGAGGGGGCGGGCCCGGGAAGCAGCTCTTTGTCTCCCGGAGCCTGTTCGCGGGCAACCGGGAGACTCTTCCTCCCGGCAGGTGCTGGCATCCCTGGGGGAACCTGGGAGAGGACGCCAGCAAAGATCCTCGGGCGTGCTCTCTGGTCAGGTGTATCTGGAAGTTTGAGGGAGCTCGGTGTTTGCAAGGTGGTCTTCTGGGTCTTGGAAGGGCGAGCGGTAGGGGAATGGATGTTCTTGAAAGAGGGCTGAGGCAAAAAAAAAAAAAAAAAAAAAAAAAAAAAAAAAAAAAAAGACAAAAAAAGGGCGGGGCGTGGTGGCGCACACCTTTAATCCCAGCACTCGGGAGGCAGAGACAGGTGAATCCCTGTGAGTTCTAGGCCAGCCCAGTCTACACAGTGAGTTCCAGGTCAGCTGGGGCTACAGAGAGACCCTGTCTCAAAAAAAAAAAAAAAAAGAAAAAGAAAAAAAAAGAAAAAAAGAAAGAGGGCTGAGGCGAGAGAGGAGGGGGAAGTGAACCGGCTTCTCAGCTTTGGGGGATGGAAGTGGGGGTGGGACTCGAGGACAACACCGAGCAGCGGGACTGGTGAGTGGGTGTGGGTGGTTGGAAGGAAAGCAGGCCGTAGCTGAGGTTTAAGCACCCATGGGTGGCGATGATAAAGCCCTGGTAGTGCCAAGATTCTTAAAAAAAAAAAAAAGGCAGCATAGCGGTTCAGGACCTGGAGGCTAATCTGTCTGTCATCTGCATCAGGTGTGAAATGGAGAAGAGAGATAGAGCCAGGGCTGGTGCCGCCCTACGGACCTCCGCTTCTCGACCCCATGGGCTTCCTATTCCTAGACCTACTCCTGGATCTCCTCGACCTCCTCCCCCGGTAACCACCGCTGCCCTTCGAGTTCTGGAAGCATCCGGAGCTGTAGGGCGAAGGCAGGTGGTAGAGCGTGCCTCCAGCGTGGGCAAAGCCGCTCTTCCACTGGCTGCTGCCCGGGGGACTCTGGTGCGCAGCGCTGGGACCGGTGTAGGCCCTCATAGTTCAGGTACTCAGCTCAATTGTGACCCCCATCTTCACGCCCCTCACCTTCATTCTTGCTTCTCGGATACTCCTCTTTTTCAGGGGTACCATTCATTGATTTTTGTCTTCTCCTTGAAGCCTCCAGGCTCCTGTCTGCCGGGAGAGGAGAGAAGGCCTCTACCAAGACCTCCAGTCAGGGCTCTATTTCCAGTCCCAGGCGAGCTGGCAGCGGAATCACCAGGTAACATGCCCTCACTTCCTTAGTTCCCTAAGCAAGGGCTATCTGGAACCTTTAAAAATTACATTCCATATTGACAACTGATTACCGCTAGATGAGGAACAGCTGACTCTCCTAAAACAAAGACCTCTAGATTGGCTGACTAGATTGACCAGAAGGCCAAGTAGTGGGAAATGGCTGGGGTGCCCACAACATAGCAGACAGTAGCAGGGATATCAGAGTATAAGGGCTGTAGTGGGGGGAGGGAGGCTATGGGAGAGTGCTATCTGGGAAGTGGGTGTTAAAAAAAAAAAATTACACTCCAGCGGGCTAGTGGCGCACACCTTGAATCTCCCGAAGAGGCAAGTGTGTGAGATTGAGGCCAGTGTATTCTACCTATGGTAGAATTTAAATTTAAAAATTACACACCAATGAACTGGAGAGATGGCTTAGTGTGTAAAGTGCTTGCAGTGTAAGCATGAGCACCTGATTTTGGATCTCCAGTACCCATGTAAAATTGAAAGGTGGTGGTGCACACCAATAACCCTAGCACTGAGGTTGGGTAGGGAGAAGAGACAGGAGCTCTCTTGCCAGGTGCTTGGCTTTAATCTCAACTAGGGAGGTAGAGGCAGACAGATCTCTGTGAGTTTGAGACCAGCTTGGTCTACATAGTGAGTTCCAGGCCCACCAGGATTACATAGTGAGACCCTGTCTCAAAATAAAATAAAATAGATAGGGCTGGAGAGTCGGCATAGCCATTGAGAGCAGTCACTTGTTGCCCTGTAGAGGACCAGGGTTCAGCTCCCAGCACCCACGAAGCAGCTAACTACTGTCATTAACTCCAATCCCAGGGGATCCGACGCCCTCTTTTCACTTCCGAGGGCATTGCATGACATGGATACACTTAATACATGCAGGCAAAACATACACATTAAGTAAAAATAAATAACAAATAAAATAAATAAGGTGGAGAAGCAATGGAGCAAGACACTGATATTTACCACTGGCCTCCACATGCACATGTGCAGTTGAACAAAAACATCAAAAGAATATTACACTTGTGTTATGTAGTATATGTTATGTATTATGTATATATAATATATATTATTATATATGCTAGGGGCTCAGGAGTGCTTGCAGATCATGGGTACAAGTTAGGTGCAAACCCCTATTGGTTGCTTTGAAGAGAAGATATGCACCCCATTTCACAGATGGGAACATGTAGAAGCAGGAATTCAACAAAAGCTGATCCCTCCTTTCCCCAGACCAGGCATTGTCGACCAGAAGGGACTCCGACCCTTGACTGAGGAACCTGTGGCTAGAGGTAAAGGTCCAGAAGTGCCCAAAAGGAATCCAATGAGCTCTGCTGGAACTCGAAGAGGTATGTGACAGGTGGACAAGTAGGGTCCTATTAAGCTTCTAGTGTGATCAGCCTTGTGATGGGCCCAGAGGCCTTTTGTTTTGTTTCTAGATTCTTCAGTGCCCATATCAGGAGCACCTTCCCCTGCCGTTGCCCGTCGGTCCAGGGCTCCAGTTACAGACACCGGACCTCTTCGACCAGCTGCCAGCACCCAGCAGCGACCCCTGACCGAGGCCCCCAGGAAACCAGTGAGCAGTACTACAGAACACAGTATCCCCGAGTCGAGCCCAGGTGTCAGGAGGCGTCCCACCACTGGCGGCAGCCTGCAGAAGCCCGCATCGCGTCCCCTGGGCTCCAGTGCTACCCCTTTGCTCTCTCAAGCCCGTTCTGGGGCCTCACCGCGTGGAACATCCCGGGCTCCTTCGCTTACCTCGCAGCCCAAGTCCAAGGGGCAGCAAGATCCACGCCCACTCCAGGCCACAGTCCCAAGGAAGAATGCAGCCTCTGCGCAGAGCCTTTCTCCTCCTCCTTCAGTCTCACCCTCTGCACCTAGGACCACCACACCACAGGCTTCCCCTTCCCAGGTCCCACGGATTCCCCCGCAGGCCACTCTCCCACCCTCACCACCGGCCACGCCCCCTCCACCTGTCACGCTTCAGCTTCAGGCTCCGCCCTCTTCACAGGCCACGCCCCATTCGCAGACCATTAATTGTCCACCAGCACCTAAGCCGCTTTCTCTGCAGAACCTCCCCTCCCCACCCGCCACACCCCCTTTGCAAGTTCCACCTACAGGCCTGGGTACCCAAGGGGCTTCCGATTCACCCCTGCCCATGGGTATGATCCCTCCACCGCTTTCACCCCCCGTACCGAATATGCCCTTCACCCAGCCTCCCTTGGCCACACCTCCATCTGCCTCTTTACCTTTACCCACATGCTCTCTACAAAGTCCACTTTCCCCTCCAATTTCTTCGCCTAATCTCCCTTCTCCCTTTGCTTCACCCTCTCCGTCCGCCCTTTCCACTCTGACTACAGCCTCTTCTCTGGCCGGTCTTCCTCTGTCTCCTCCCCTTCTTCAGGCCACGCCCTCGAAATTAGCCACGCCTCCTTCACAAGACCCTCCTCTTCTGGCCGGTTCTCTGCAGGATTTTCATCCAGTTTCTTCTCCCTCCACACCACCGCCTCTGAAGGTTCCTCCTCGTCCCTTGATCCTGGTATCCATACTGGCTTCATCGCCCCAGCAAGCCACGACTCCTCCTTTAGACTTTTCCCCTATGGCGGTCCCACTTTCTATGGACTCCCCACCTCTGCAGGCCTCGCCTACATCCCCTGTGCAAGCCCAGCCCCTGCCCTCGCCCCCTCTGCAGGCGCCTTCTTCACCTCTTGCTACATACCCCCCTTTGCCTCTTCTCTCACACCCAGCCTCACCTCCTCTGGAGGGACCGCTTTCTTCCTCCTACTCACCTCCTCAGTCTCCCTTGGCAACGCCCCCTTCACAGGCTCCACTTTCACTGGACTCATCCCCTCCCTCTCCTCTGACCCCGCCCCCTCCTCAAAACCCATCTTCTCTCGCCTTCCCCCATCTTCAGTCCCAGCCCTCCTCCCTAACCACTCCCCCTCTGCAGACTCCGCCCGTCCTCCTGCTCAAAATTCCTGGACAGGTGCCTGGTGTGGCTTTGCCTCCTGTTATGACCCTTCCGCCTTCCTTGACCACGCTCCTTCCTCAAGCCCCTCCTGGCTTGGCCTCACCCCCTCTGCAGGCCCCGCCCTCCCCCTTGTCCATACCACCTCTGCTGGCGCCTGTTCCGGTTTTGCCCTCTCTACAGACCCCTCCCTCTCCTGCGGCCATGCCCCCTCAGACCCCACCTTCTCTCACCCTCCCTCATCTTCAGGCCCTGTCCACCTCCCTAACTACTACCCCTCTTCAGGCTCCGCCCTCTCTCTTGGCCAAAAAACCTGTACACCGGCCGGGTGGGGCTTTGCCCCCTCTACAGACCAAGTCCTCTCCCTTGACCATGCCCCCTCTGCAGGCCCCGCCCATCCCCTTGGCCTCACCTCCTGTGCAGTTGCCGGTTCTGGCTTTGCCCTCTCTACAGACCCTGCCCTCTCCCTCGATCACGCCCCCTCCGCAGGCCCCTCCCTGCCTGGCCTCCCCACCTCCGCAGGCCCCTCCCGGCCTGGCCTCATCCCCTCCGCAGGCCCCTCCCGGCCTGGCCTCGCCCCCTCCGCAGGCCCCTCCCGGCCTGGCCTCGTCCCCTCCGCAGGCTCTTCCTGCTCCTCCTGCCTCACCCTCACTGCTTACCCCACGCCGACCTCCGACCCCGGGTCCAGATGCCCCCATCTCAAGTCCACGGCTGACCCTGGCACTGGCCCCTGCCCCGCCACCGCCACCCTCTCGAAGCCCGTCCAGTACGCTGAGCGGTCCGGACCTGGCGGGTCATAGCAGCAGTGCCACCAGCACGCCAGAGGAGCTGCGAGGCTACGACAGCGGTCCGGAGGGAGGAGCCGCAACCTCCCCGCCTCCGGACGCGGAGCTGGCCGCCTGCCACCCGGCCGCCTGGAGTCGAGGTCCTGCCCCGCCTCTGGTAGTCCGCGGAGCCCCAGGTAAGCGGAATTCCCGGCTGTGGGTCTGGTGTTTGGCTCAAACCAGGCTTTGAGGCTCCAGGGTGGGGTCTCGAGGCGTGGGCTGAGCTACCTGGCCCTGAGTCTGTTTTTGAGACAGGGTCTCCCTGTAGCCCCAGCTGTCCTGGAACTCACTTATGTAGACCAGGCTGGCCTTGAATTTACAGAGATCCACCTGCCTCTGCCTCCCGAGTGCTGGGATTAAAGGCGTGTGCCACCACGCCCGGTTTAGAGTTTGTTTTTTGTTTTTTAATTCAAATTTATCGGGGGGGGCTGGAGAGATATAGCTCAGAGGTTAAGCGCACTGAATTTTAAGTGTATGAGTGCTTTGCCTGCGTGTATGGAAGTGTACCACGTGCGTGCAATGCCTGCGGAGGCCAGAAGAGGACGTCCCTGGAACTGGAGTTACCGACGATTGTTCGTCGCCATGTGGGTGCTGGGAACTGAACCCCGGTCCTCTGCAAGAACAGCCAGTGCTTTTAATTGCTGGGCCATCTCTCCAGCTCACATTTTATTTATTTTGTGTATGTGTATGAGTCTGTGTGTGGGCCTGTGGGTGTCACAGAATGGTTGTGGAAATCAGAGGACAACTTGCAGGAATCAGGTCTCTTCTTTCTCCATGTGGGTTTCAGGGGCTGAACTCAGTCAGACTTGGAGGCAAGGTCCCTTACCTGCTGAGCCATCTCTTTGGTCTCACCTGTTCTTCCAGGCATTCCCCTGCCTTGGCCTCCAGCTGCCGGTCCAGGCTCCTCTGACGGCCTGTGCACCATCTACGAGACTGAAGGACCAGAGTCAGTGACCCCCACCTCTGGAACCCTGGATGATCAGGTTCCAGGGCCTGGCACTGGAGGTGGGAAGGTGACTTCTGTGGCAGCTGCTGCCGGAGCGACCTCCAGGAGCCCCAAGTCCGCGCGCCTCGGCGAGCTACCGCTAGGGGCGCTGCAGGCGAGCGTGGTGCAGCACCTGCTGAGTCGGACGCTGCTGCTTGCAGCCGCTGAGGGTACAGCAGGTGGCAGCGATGGTGGTCCAGGAGGTGCAGGAGGTGGTAGTGTCACAGGGGGAACCCGGGCTCCACTCAGTGATGCTGAACTGGGCCGCTGGGCCGAATTGCTGTCTCCTCTGGACGAGTCCCGTGCCAGCATCACGTCGGTCACCAGCTTCTCCCCTGATGATGTGGCCTCTCCACAGGGTGACTGGACTGTGGTGGAAGTGGAGACTTTCCACTGAGACAGACAGCAGCTCTGCCTACCATACCCATACTGCTTTAGGATGTGCCCCTCCAGTTCCTGCCCCCACTCCCTGGGACCTTTAGAGCCCTAGTCTTTGGGGCCAGACTTTATTCCTATCTTTGGTTTAGGCTTGGACCATACCCACACCTTGGCCTAGGATCTCTCATTGAGCCCTGCCTCTTTAGGATAGGCCACGCCTCCTCTGCACTGAGCCCTGCCCTATTTTGCCTAGGCTAGGCCCATGTTCAATTAATAGTCTACCAACTGCAGCCAGAGTTTGCAGTAAAACTGGGGACAGGGGCTGGAGAGATGGCTCAGTGACTAAGAGCCCTGGCTGTTATTACAGAGGACTTAGGTTTGTTTCCCAGCATCCACACCCAACAGTGGTCAGTAGCTCCAGCTCCAGGGGATCTAATGCCCTCTTCTAGCTGCTCCTGGTGTACCTACATGTATGCAGGCAAAACACTCATACACATAATAATGAAAGCAAACCCAACTGGGATACTCCAGCCAGCAAGGCCTCGCTATCTCCTTGGGCATCTTCTGGGAACAGGGGACACACAGGCAGTAGATTAGCTGGCAGGGCTGGCCCAAACCCTACTCAGCTATGCATGAGCAAGTCAGAGTTCCTGAACAGGCGACTTCTCTAAGGAAAAGAAGGGGCTGTGGATAGAATGTCTGCTAAGTCCTTCCTGTCCCTTGTTGCACACCTACTCACATGCATGAACTTATGCTTTTTAGGGTCTCACTGCCAATGGAAATGTTAGGCTAAGGAGAGCCTGATGATGGATGAGCCAATTGGTGGCCAAAGTGGGGAAAGCATGGAGCTCTTCCCATCCTGGATATAGGGGTATTTGGTAATCCTTTCTACAGCCCTTCTGCCCAGGGTGTACCCTCCTGAGTAGGGGCCCTGCTTGAGAGTTAGGCCTGGAGGTGGGAACTCTGAGCAGAGCTGGATGGAGGGGTCCTTGACCTCATCTGTTACCTATGTCTGATAGTATCAACTTGACAGAATGTAGAACTCACCTGAGAGACAGGGTTCTGGGCATGCCTGTGGGAGACTATCTTGATTGGGTTGAAATGGAAAAACCCACCCACTTGGGGGTAACACCATTCCCTGGGCAATGTAAATGTAGGAGAGCTGAGTAGGAGCATGTGTTCATAGCTCTCTCTTCCCAATTGTGGATGCGATGTGACCAGCTGCTTCAAGTTTCTGCTGCCTTTCCTATCATGATGTACCTCTGAACTGTGAGCCAGAATAAACCTTTTCTCCCTTAAGTTGCTTTTTTGTTTTTGTTGTTTTGAGACAGGGTCTCACTTTGTAGCCTTGGCTGGCCTCCATCTCCTAGAGATCCATCTGCCTCTGTCTCCAAGTGCTGGGATTAAAGGTATTTGCCACCATACCTGCCTAAAAATATGAATGTAAAAATAAATAAAATCCATTTTAAAAACTGGGGCTGGAGAGATAGCTCAGTGGTTAAAAGTACTGGCTGCTTTTTGCAGAAGACCTGGGTTTAGTTCCCAGCATCTTCATGTGACTAACAACTGTTTGTATAACTCCAGTTCCAGGGGATCCACTGTCCTCTTCTGGCCTCCACAGGCACTGCACAGATATGGTGCACTTATGTGCAACCAAACACTCATATACATAAAATATTAAAAAGCCAGGGCTGGAGAGATGGTTCACCAGTGAAGAGCAAAGGACCCAACTTGCATTCCCAGCACCCACGTGGTGGCTAACAACTAGCTATAACTCCAGTTCCAGGGGGTCCAATGCTTCTTTCTGACCTCCACAGGCACTGTATGACATGGATGCACTTAAACACATGCAGGCAATTAAAAATATTAAAAAGTCATTTAAAAACTATATGCTTTTTCAGGGCCTTTGTTAACAGAGCTAATATCTACCTTAATGTTGTTATTGTAACTTGTAGCATTATAGTTTTCTCATCCAACGCCCCCCACCTACTTTTATGACTGTGACTGTACTGAAACCCACCCCACATTCCTAAATTTATTTTTAACCAATTTTTAAAATTATTTTTTATTTTATGTGTATGAGTGTTTTGGTTGCATGTATCTAAGTGCACTTGTTTGTGCAGTGCCCACTGAAGCCAGAAGAGTGTTAGATTCTATGGAACTGGGGTTATGGGTGATTGTGAGCTATGTGAGTTCTGGGAACCAAACCTGGGTCCTCTGCAAGAGCAGCCAGTGCTCTTATCTGCTGAGCCATCTCTTCAGCAGATAAATTCATGTTCCTAAATTTTAAAGATTCTGGTGTTTCCTTCCCCTTTAAATTAGCCATTGGGTTTAGATTATATGATTGAACATCAACTAACGAGGGACAGCCAAATTCTCTTCTATGTTAGGTATAAAAGGGACAGGTCATCTTTTTTATTTAAAAAAATTTTATTTTTAATGTGTATGAGTGTATTGCTTGCATGGGTAGGTGCATCCATGTCGTGCAGTGCCCTCAGAGGTCAGAAGAGGGTGACAGGTCCTGTGGAACTGGAGTTACAGATGGTTGTTAGCCACCATGTGGGTGCTGGGAATTGAACCCAGGTCCTCTGCAAGAGCAGTCAGTGCTCTTAACTTGCTAGCCATCTCTCCAGGGAGTAGTCATCTTAACAAGGTGTCCTTGTTGGATTCCAAGGAGCTTGATACCTTTCTGCAGAAGTAAAACTTTTTGTCCTGCCAACATGCTTTGGATTATGTGATCATTTTCTTGGGACCCCAGGCCCATTTCTAACATGGGTGAAATTTGGTGGAATCATACCTTAGTTTGTTGTTGAGACCTGGGGGGTGGGGGGAGTTATAGATGTTGTTTACAGCTCCCTTGATGAAGGAATTTAAATTTAATTTTATGTATATGACCATTTTGCTTGCATGTAAGTGCACCTATGTGTGCAATGCCCACAGAAGCCAGAAGATGGTGTTGGATCCCCTAGAACTGGAGTTAACAGTTATTGGCCACCATGATGTGGGTGTTAGGAACCAAACCCCAGTTGTCTGCAAGAGTGGCCTGTGTTCTTAACCACTGAGCTATCACTGCTACCTTGGAAAGGAATTTTTAGCAACACCCAACAACAGGAAAAGAAACTAAGACAGCTTTCCTTTCAATTCACCAAGGAGGCCACAGTGTTAAGGCAAGCTCAGGCTCCTTACAGAGACTCTCCACAAATGTAGGGTTCCAGTGGACTGAACTGGCTGTAGCTTACAGTGGGTGGAAGACCCAGGAGTTGACACTGTGCCACTCTATACATTACACCCTCAGGGTTATGTTTTTTTTTTTTTTTTTTCAAAAATCAAACAGAGTTTTATTAAACCAGCTAGCTGGGGCCGACCGTGGTTATGTTTTTTAAAGATTAAAAAAAATTTTTAATTTTTGGTCTTTTTGAGACAGGGTCTCCCTGTAGCCCCAGCTGGCCTAGAACGCACTATGACCAGGCTAGCCTTGAACTCAGCCTTTCTCTATCTCCAGAGTGCTGGAATTAAAGGTGTGCACCGCCACACCCAGCTTGGAAGACTTTTTTAATGTGTGTTTTGCCTGCATGAACGTCAGTCCACCCATGCCATGTGATGCCTTAAGAGGCCAGAAGAGGGTATAGGATCCCCTGGAACTGGAGTTATCAATGGTTGTTACCTGCCATGTGCCCAGGCCCTCTGCCAGTGCTCTTAACTGCTGAGCCATCTCTCCAGCCCAGATTTCCTCTCCAGCTGAGCCCTGGTGGGTATCCTAGAAGGCTTTGTTCCTAGACAAGCATAAGAAGCTGACTATTGACTTACTGGGCAGCCAGGACCTCAAGGCCAACCTCTGGGAGGTTTCCTCGGCAGCTATGCGCCAGCTCCGAGAGCCAGTTTGATGGGAGGGGCAGGGATGAATGACACCTATGAGTTGCAGGAACAGTGAGAGATGAGTGTGTGTTAGATGTGTGATCAGAATAGTGCATTGTGGCCCCTGGAGCCATCTGAGAGGAGACTACGTAGGGGACTTCGCTATTCTGACATGAAACCAGTGTAGTGTCCAGGTGCTCAGGGTCATCATGTGGTAAGGTTACTTAGTGGGCCTACATTGATGAAGGCAGGGCCTGGCTGCTCTGAGGCAGCCTTCTTTTATGATCCCTGGTTCTGCTTTACCCTCCCCTCACCAGCTGGAGCTAACCCCACACAAAAGGACTATTGGACTCTCTTCTCCCAGGGGAGACTCCACTCACTGTTTCTGGTGCCTGACTCAAGTCTCTGATGCATTGGTCTTGTTACTGATCCTTAATACTGTGGCCAGACTGATAGGGGTCTCTCTCGTCAGTCTTCCCCATGGACTCCAAGCTGCCCTCTGTTCAAAGCCCAGCCTAATCCTGATTCGCGCAGTCACACCCACCATCTTCTTGTCTGATCACACACCCAAGTTCTCCCATTTCTTCTTTCTGGACATTCTGGTTTCTCCTCCCCCCTCACCCCATTGGTCCTTGTACCTCTGCTCCTGGAGAGTCCTCTCACACCGCTCCCGCATTAACCCTTCATTGATTCTTCTGCCTGGGTTATCTGTGACACAGTCGTGGCAGCTCATCCCCATCCTAGTAACTCATCCCTATGACACAAAACTCCATAGAGACGCGGGGCAGAATACCCCCAGATAACATTCTGGAGCCTGTGTTGAATGAATACAGCTAGACCCAGCTCCTCCTGAAGCTGGCATTCCTAAGCCCACCTGGTAATCTCTCTTCTATTTCTGTGGCCTTGTTCACCCCAACCAGTCAATGTCTTTTCCTCTCCCATCAGCCACTGCATCGAACTCCAAAGTTCCAGAGGTAGAGGATGATGGCCCCACCCCTTAGCCCTGTGTTGAGGCAGAGCTAGGCAGCCTGTTGCTGTAATTCTCCCAGCCCCTAGGCTCATCCCTCATCTCTCTTGTCACTGTGTAAATACTTTTATTTTCCATCTTTCCCGCCTGGGTGACATGGTGTGTGAACAGGCAGTGTGCAAAAATGGTGGTGGGCAGTGTGGAGGGGTACTCGAGAGGGCCTCAGGGGTGCCCTGTCGCAGCCCCCAGGCTTTGTAACACTGAACAGTGGGCCACAAGGAACGGAGACTGAGTAGGGATCTCCATCACAGGAAGCACCCGGGGATTGCTTGTGACGCTACTCGAAGCTCTAGGAGCACCGAGGAGGGGGTGTCATCCCCCAGGGTCCCAAGACACAGAGCGGGTCGGGGAGAAAGGAGCAGGAGCCGTGGGGGGCATCATTGGACTTTGGCACCGTTCTCAGCTCTGACTGGGCAGAGATCATGGGAACATTTTAAGGAGGTGAGGGGGAGGTAACTTTGACTGGGAAACACCACTGAAGGTGGGGACATAGGAAGGGAAGTGCACAGAGGCTGAGGATTCCCAGCAAGACGGTCCCCTTCCATGGCTGGCCAGGATAAGTGACATTAGTATCTCTCAGAGGAAGATGGGTGTTTTGGGGAGAAGGGTCTCTTGTTCAAAGTTTCAGTAGCCCCAGAGGAGTAGGGAGCTGCGCAAGGTTGGAGCTGGTTTCTACTAGCCACTCACACCCCAGGTGGCCCCACACACAGGATGGGGAGTGGCTTTGGTTTCTGTTGCAGAAGTTATGGATGCCTGCACCAGGCAGGAAAGCCCAGCCTGGTCATCTGTCCCCGGTGGCCAGGGGCTGGCTGGTCAAGATCACCATGTCCTGAGAGCCTGTTGTGGGGTACTAATATCAAGTCCAGGGCTGCCCTTCCTTCCTCAAACCTCTTCCAGCACCTGGACCCTACCTGGCAGGGCTACCTTTGTCCCAGAGGGAAGCCAGCTGGGGGGGAAGGAGATCCTGCTCAACCTGGCCTGGGGTTGCTGCACCACCCACTCCTGCCCTCGTTGTTAGGAGGGCAACACACTCCAGGTAACTGGCCCAGGCATCCCTTGAACTCAGGAGGGCCTGAACTGATATGGCCCAAGATAGGTAAACACTGCTATGTGGGGCTGGTCTGCCGGTAGGCCCTGCCCTCTGTGTTGCCTCCTCGGTCCCACCCTCGGTAGGCAGAAGCCACAGAGGCATCGAGTTCCTCAGTGCCATGGGGCAGAGCCTCGAGGTCACCAGCTGCTCCCATCTCCCGGTGGCATGTGGTGGCTGCTGCCTCCTGGCTCCCAGAGGTGGGCCCCGGCCTCAGTTGTCCAAGCCCTTGTTGCTATAAGGCGCGGTGAGCTCGTCTGCGTCGCTGTCTGAACTCCCCTCACTGTCCTTTGCCGGTCGCTCCAGGTGGTGGAAGAAACGTGCGTCCCTTGGGGACAGAGGGTAGAGCGGATCCTGCAGGGCTGCGCCCACGCCCACGCTCAGCAGCTCTTCATCAGATGATGGTAGTGAGTCCTCATCCAGGTGCCGCGTCAGGCTCAGCCCTTCGAAAGTCAGCGGATCTTCGAAGGCCGGTGGGCCTTTCAGCAGTCGCACCTGTGGCAGGGGAGCCGCGCGCTGTAGGCGTGGGACCATGTGCCCACACAGGAGCCTGGCCATCAGGCGCCCTCCTCCCTTGCCCTCCTGGCTTCATGCTTCAATCCGGGTCCTTGGACCAATGTTTGGCCGGGCACCAGTATCCCTCGCGCGCAACCTGGCGCTCACCTCGGCCTTCAGCTCCTCGATCTGGTCCTTCAGCTCGCGGATGTACTGCGACGAATCCGAGTGGTTCAGTTGGCCCTGGATGCGGCCCTCCTCCCTCTGCCGGGAAGGCCGGGTTACCGGTGCTCAGAACAGGGCCAGCCCTCGGAGGACCACCCCCATCCGGCTCCTGTGACTCACCTGGATCTCCAGCTCTGCGATGCGCTGCCGCATCTCTGCCACCGCGGCCATGCTGTCTGCCTCCCGCAGGCGCACGGCCATCACCTCCTCCTTGCTCTGAAAGTATGAGGCACAGAGGGCAGGTCAAGGGGCTGGCGGGGTCCAGGCCGGGTTAGGGGGCCTAGGCAGGGGCCGCACCTTGCACTCGGCCTCCGCCTGCTTGCGGCGGCTTTCGCTGAGCTGTGTCTGGAGTCCCTTGTTCTGCGCCGCCAGGTACTGCAGCTTCTCCTGCAGCGCTGCGCGCTCTGCCTCCACGCGGTTCAGCAGGTTGCGGTGGATGTTGTCCTGGAAAGGAGGACGGGAGGGCGCGGCAGCGGGAGAGGGGTGGTCACTGCTTGGCCAAGGGGTCAGCCGTGGCGGTCCCCGTCCCCCGCCTAGGCGCGGCCCACCTGCGTCTCGAGCTCCACCACGCGCTGCCGCAACTCGCGGCACTCGGCCAGGGCCTGCGCCTCGCGAAGACGCACGCTCATCAGCTCGTCCTGCAGCTCGCTCAAGACTAGCTTCCGCGGGGACTCCTTCCAGCGGCCACCTCGGGAAAGATGGGCCTGGGAGGGTGGGAGAGGGGGAGACTGAGTAGGGCGCCAGAGGCCAGCCTTTGTCCCGGAGGAGTCAGTCATCTTCGAAGGGTCAGCCAGCCGCTCCTGGTTGGTGGAGCTGGGGCCGTGCGCTCAGCCTCTCTCGGGGATTCTAGGCCAGTCTCTACCACTGACCTGCCAAGTGTCAGAGAGCTCCTGTAGTTGCAGCTTCAGCTCCCGGGCTGAGGCTACTGCCTCACCCTCTCGCACTTTGAGTGCCTTGAGCTCCTCCTGAAGTCTCGCCACGTTGTTCTCATCTGGTAGTGAGCTGTTTCTCTGCGGGTGGAGATGTAATGAGAACCCCCATGAAAGTTGGCTTAGCTCATACTAAGGACTGTCATATCCATCCTTGATTCCCCAGCTGCTTTGGGCAGCTGATCCAAGGGAGGCACCCAGGACTAAGAGGATTCACAGGGAGCAGGGAGCAGATCCAGGACAAGAGGACCCTCTTGTGTAACAGCCAGGGCTCTTCATGTGCATTATAGGCACAGTAACAGCATCTACACTCCCTCAGGGCTGTCCCAGGGAAACCCCTTTGAATTGTGGGGGCCTCCAGGAAGTGTCTGCAAATTACGGCATGCAGGCTCCGGCAGTGGGTGTGAGAGTGGATACGCTCTTACCTCCAAGTCCAACATATGCACCCCCTTCAGGGCCAGTGACCAAAACTGAGATCAGTCCTGGGATTTGCACAAGCAGGGACTGGGGAGACAAGTGGCATCACCCTGTGCTTCCCTGGAGTGTGTTTGTTTGTGGACAAGCTGCCTGGGCTAAGTATAACTTGGTGGACCTGGTTCTTACTGTGTCTGAGAGGCAGGGTCTAGGCTGGGCACATTTTCCTCCTGTGTGGAAGGACACTGGTGATGGGGCTGAAAAGCTATTAGCTGTCACACAGCTAATAAGTATGGCAGATGAGAAGTATATGTTCTCAGCCACATGGGCTCTGTGGCAGCTGCTGGGAGAATTGAGTCAATTGACTTTTGGGGGTGTTTGAGACAAGGTCTCCCTGTAGCCCCAGCTGGCATGGAACTCGCTTCCAAGCTGGTCTGATCTCATAGAGATCTGCCTTACTCTGCCTCCAGAGTGCTGGGATTAAACGTGTGTGCCACCACACCAGGATTCTTTTTTCACACAGGTTCTCAGGTAACACAGTCTGGCACCAAACTCACTACCTAGTCAAGGATGGTTTTATATGCCTGATCTTCCTGCCTCCACCCCATGAGAGCTGGGATTACAAAGTACTGGGAATACTGGCTGCACAAGGGATGGAACCTGGAGCTTCTTGTATGCTAGGCCAGCACTCTACCAGTTGAGCTACATCTTCAGCCCTGAGTCAAGTCTTGTGCCTGATGGCTTCAGCTGACAACTTGTCACGCCTGGGAAGAGGGAGTCTCAATTGGGGAATTTCCGGTATGGGATTGCCCTGTGGCCATGTGTGTGAGGCATTTTTCTTGATTGTTGAGTGATGTGGGAGGGCCCAGTTTACCGTGGGTGGTAGCACCTCTGAGCAGGTGGTCCTGGGTTGTATAAGAAAGCAGTCTAAGGACAGATCAGAGGAACAAGTTGGTAAGCAGTGTTTCTCGGCAGTCTGTGCTTCATTCAGCTCCTGCCTCCAGGGTCCTACAATGAGTTCCTGCCCTGAGTCACCTCAGTGTCTATCTGTAATCAGGATGGGTAAGCCAAATGCACCCTTTCTCTGCAAGTTGGTTTTGGTTAGTGTTTAATCACAGCAGCTGAGAAGCTAATTAGGACAACTCACAAAGTAGCTGGGGAGGAACTCAGGAGGTTTGGTGTCCCCCTGCAGGCAGAAAAGGGTAGCTTCCAGGAAACTTCTAGAGGGTGTCCTCATGGTACAGGGGGAAGTGGGGACAGTCCTAATGGGCCTGGGCCTTTTCCTCTCAACCTTTCCTTCCCACATCCTAGAACCCCAAGCCTGGGGAGACATGCATAGTATAGTGGACTATCCAGGCAGCTTGTGAAGCTTGCTATACTACGGATGGTGTGCTTTGAGCCTGAGATATAGGGCAGGTGTGGCCACTTTGAGGGCATGCTTCTGTTTGTGCAGGAAGCCAGGTGTGTGTGGTGTATGTGTGTCCTTGTTTACCTGTGTGTGCACATGTGCCCACATAATTCAAAGGGCTCAGAAAGATTTAGGGATGAGAGCTCCATTCTCATACCCTAGATCCTTGTGTGGAGACCTTGGTGTTGGTAGGGACAGTGTGTAGGTATCAGTGGGTCCTAAAGCAGCATGCAGTGGTCACATCTTCAGTGGGAACTGCCTGGCACAGGGGAGGGCTGGCTGCTGCTTCTCCTTGTCCAGGACTTTCTCCTGCATTTTTTCTCTGTGTATACATGTGTGTATGTGATATGTACATGTGTATGCATGAAGAGGCCAGAGGAGGACATTGGGTGTGCAGCTATATCACATTCTACTTTTTTCCCTTGATGCAGGGTCTCTCACTGAATGTGGAGCTAGGCTAGGGGTCAACAAGTCCAGGGATCCTCCTGCCTCTGCATCACAGCAATGGGGTTATAGGTACATGGGGCCATGCCTAGCTCTTGAATCTTTTTTGTTGTTGTTTTGAGACATGGTCTCTCTGTAGCCCCAAGTGGCCTGGAATTCACTATGTAGACCAGGTTGGCCTTGATCTCACAGTGATCCTCCTGCCTCTGCTTCCCAAGTGCTGGAATCAAAGGTATGCCCCACCACACCTGGAGCTCTTGAACCTTCTAAAGCTCATTCAGGACCTTTGTTCCCTTCCCCAGGATCTCCCCAACTGTCCCTCCACTATCTGCCAGTCCACATAGCCATACCTTCTCCATGTCTAGAACCTTGTCCTGCATCTCTCGAAGGGCCCCTAGAGTCTCTGTCTCCCGTAGCCGTGACTGTTCCAGTTCTGTCTCTAAGTGGGCAACGAAGTCCTCGGTGAGGCGGGGGTTCTCCTGGAGGCAAAGGACTGCATTAGTCCCTGGCTGTGACAGCTGTGGGGTGGACAGCCTCCATACCAACTGCCTGTGGGCCCAGGCCTTGGCCTACCTCCCCAGAGGAACTGAGCTGGAAGACCTGCCCAGTCTTTGGACATTCTGTGTTAAACCCAGTCTCTGTGGCTAGTGTCCTGGCACTAGGGGGCAGTGGAACTGTCTGGGCCATTTCTGTGGGAAAGCTGCTCAGAGATGTTGAGAAGGGGACTTTCTCTGAAAGTTCAGAATGCCCTCTGATTGATGCCAAGATTGAGTTTCCAGGATCACGGGGTGGGAGTGGGTCATTTGCTCATGCAATGTGGCCATTGGCTGAATCACATGGTGGGTGTGGTCAGAGACAGACGGGGGACACAACTGGTCTCTTGACTAGCCTCCTTTATATTTTGGTGGCCTAGCAAGGCATTTCTCTAGGGGACTACCTTAGTCCCAGCCTTGACAGAACCCCACTTCCCCAGGCAGAGCCTTCTGTTTGTTCACTGTCTTCTATCCCATTAGGGGCTCTGGGCCCCACCTATCTCTTCATCTCCCCATAGCAGGAGCTAAAGAGTTCTTTTGTTCTCAGAGGCCTGTGGGCTGGGGGCCAGAGGAAGCCTCCTGCCTGGTCTTGAGACACCCCACCTCAGGGTCTAAGGGTCTAGGGGTGGCTCGCTGAGAGGGGTAGTAAATCTGCACTGGCTTCTGGGTCCCCCTACCCATTTCATAGAAGGAAAGCTCATGCTAGGGTCTGAGTTATGCCCTGAGGGCTAGAGAGTAGTACCTGCTGCTCCTGCAGCTGTCGGATGGTGCTTTGCGCCTTCTGAAGGTCCTCTGCAGCTGAGCTGCACTGTTGTCTCACCACCGCCAGCTCTCGTTTGATAACGTAGTTCTCCTCAGCCTCTTGTGCCCGTGTCACTTGCCCCTGAGCACAGTGAGGATAGGAATGGTGAGGGTACCAGTGACCACCTGCTTCAGTCCTAGGCAAGGCCTCTGGAAGGCTCCGAGGGGTGAAGTGAGACAGGCACCGCTTTTAGTACTCAGAGCCTGGGATGGGGTACCCACGGCAGGTCTGCGGGTTTTGGGGGGTGTAAACAAGAACGGGGCACCTGGAGGGTCCTTGGAGGAACAGATATTCCCAGAGGCTCTGCCAGGCTAACATGGCAAATGTGCCCCCACCACCCCAAGCCTGGGCTCCCTCCCCAATTCTGGCTGTTGGCTTTTGTCCTAAGTGAGGAGAGAAACAGGTTGCTATCTAGGGCCAAAAGCCTCTAGGAGGTGGAGTACTCCTCTCCCTGGGGGCCTCCACTTCCACCCCACTGCATCTTCTTCTCCCACCCAATTAGAGACACCTGCACCCCCTCCCCCCATTCCAGGCTCGGAGCCATCAATGGTGTGCAGAAGCTTCTAGAAAAGCCATCCAAGATGAAGTGGCAGCAGAAGCAGGTGAATGGAGATGGTGATGGGCTTGGCAGGCAGGAGCAGACCCTGGCAGATCCAGGAGTCAGGAGGGTTGTGTGCATGCTTGCATGCATATGTGCCTATGTGAGTGAGCATGTGTGTGTACGCTTAGCACAAGGCATGTGTCAAGGCCTGAAACTTTAATGCTTTAAGGGTCCCCCACCCCCACTCCCCAGGGTCCCATCTGTTGCCCCTTGGGGGAGAGGAAGCCTGCTGTCTGCATGTTTAAGTTTTCTCCCAAAGTTACTTCCACATAGGCCTCTCAACCTGATGTTTCTCTCCAGCTCACATGCCCCTCTCCGAAAGCATACATCTCCCTGAAAGCCGCACCCCCCCCCATGCTTTGTTGGCAGGCCTACCCCCTCACCCCCAGAGTGGCAGCAGCCAGGAAAGAAGTGGTTACTGGCTGTTGTGTGCAGGGACCAGGGAAGGGGCTGGGATGGAAAGTGGAGAGGGAGACAAAAAGCTACAGTACCTGGATTAACCTATCAGCCAGAGCCGCGCTCTCCTACCCGGCAGGTTGGGCGAAGGGGGTTCCCAGCGACAGGGGGAGGAGGCAGAGCAGAAGGCACACGCAGGGGACAGGAGAGGAGGGGAGAGACAGACAAGAACCACTTGTCACTAACGCTGTGGGCTATCTCTAGAAGCTGGGAGAGAGGAGTGAAGACCAAAGAACCAGCAGGAGAGAACCCAGAGGAAGACCAAAGCCAGAGCCAGCTCTGTCCTAGGGAGGGGTCCACAGGAGCCAGGAGGTCAGGGAGCTGGGAAAACTCAGCTATGGGAATGTCACCTCACTCTGCATGAGGAGGTGGGGGTCCCAGAGAGGGCTTGGACTGGGAATACATTTTAATCTTGAGGGGAAAAATTTTGAGGCTTCGGGGGGCATAGTAATTTAAGTCTTTGTCCACAACTCCCTCCCCATCCCTTGTAGTCAGTGGATGGTTAATGAGAAGGAGGAAGTGGGGCTGGGGCCATGGTAAGTAACCCAAAACACCCCCACTTTAACCCAGTAGGGTCCAGGGTCGAGGCCATGGCTCCCCACCCCAAGTGATGAGACTGCCCCCTCCTCCTCCATTCCATCTCTTTTTGTTCCTTTCTTTCTAGGGCTAGACTTCTAAATTACAGGTTGGGGTTCCTTGTGGCCCATTAATGGGACTTCTTCCCTCACCTGTGCAGCTTGGCATCCACTGAGTTGTAACTCTGCTCCAGCCCTAAGGGCTGAGTTGAGATCCAGTGTGGGATGAAGACTTCCCAGAATCCCCAAATACTAGGACAGCCAAAATCTCAGCAGGGTTCGGGGAGTTTGAAGCCAAGCCCCCAGAAAAATTCCTGTTTTTTTTTTTTTTTTTTTTTTTTTTTGAGACAAGGTCTCATGTAGCCCAGGTTGGCCTCCAACTCCATCCATACATAGTGGAGGTTGGCCTTGAACTCTCAGTCCTCCTGCCTCTGCTCCAAGTGCTGGGATTACAAGAGCATTTCACTATGCGTGCCTAGCCAGACTTCATAAGCCAGCTGGTTCAGAGTGAGGCAATGGCCCTAGCCTTAATGGCTGCTGGATCTTTCAGGCATGAAGATGTGGATCCCCCAGCTGGTACCCACGCCTCTCACCTTCTCTAGGGTCTCAATCCGTTGTTTGAGCAGCCGGTTCTCTGTCCGAAGCCTCTACAGAGGAAAAGGAAAAATACATGAGAGCCCACCTTGAACACTTATAGGCACATAATCCCCACTTATCCACTGTGGAGGTCAAGGGTGGTGCCTTAAGGACCAGGTCACCTCTAGAAATGACTTTATGTTCTAGGTCATTCAGAAAGCGGGACATATTCATGTCCAGATGGCTCATTAAAAAAATTGGAGACTGGTGAGAAGGCTCAGTGGATAAAGATGCTTGCTGCCAAGCCTGATGACCTGAGTTCAGTCCATGGTGGAAGAAGAGAACTGACTCTCACAAGTTGTCCTCTGACATTTCATATGGGTGTCATGGCAGGTGCACCCACACAAATACACAAGGTAAAATAAAATTTAAAAGTTGAAAATATGGGGGCTGGAGAGATTGCTCAGTGGTTAAGAGCACTGGCTGCTCTGGCAGAGGATCTGGGTTTGATTCCCAGCACCTACATGGGGACTAACAACTATCTGTAACTTCAGTTCCTGGGAATGTGGGATCATTGGTAGGGTGCTCATGTGGCATACACAAAGCCCTGGGTTTACATAAAACTAGCCTTGGTGGTATATTCCTGTAATCCCAGCACTTGGGAGGCAGAGGTAGGATTATAAATTCAAAGTTATCCTCAGCTACATGGTGAGCTGGAGGCCAGCCTGGGCTTCATGAGCACCTCTCTCTACCCCCAGTTTTCACAAAACAACAAAACAAAACAAAAAACAAATCTCAAACCTTCAAGCTGGGCATAGGTAGTGCACATTTTTAGTCTCCGCATTCGGGAGACAGAGGCTGGAGAGATGGTTTAGCAGTTAAGAGCACTGGCTGTTCTTGCAGAGGCCCCCAGGTTCAGGTCCCAGAACCCACATGGTTCTTGGCTAACAACCATCCATAACTCCAGTTCTAGTGAATCCAATGCCCTCTTCTGATCTCCATTGGCAGTGTATGACACAGGTACACTTAACATTCATGCAGGAGAACACTCACACATAAAATAAAAATAAAAGAATTTCCAGTAAAACAATGTGGAGCGCTTTCACTGCACTTCGCTCTCAGTCTGTCTCTGAAGGGTGTGTGTGGTTGTGTGTGTGTGTATGTGTGTGTGTGTGTGTGTGTGTGTGTGTGTATAGATACCTACAATGTCCTCAGAAGTCTGTTTCTAGGCCATAGTTGGATCTTTAAGGGCAGAGGCCTCTGTGTTTTGGGGAAGGCTTATGCTCCCCTTCTCCAGAATAAAACCCATCTCAGACTTTGGGTTTCCTGTGTTGAACATGCCAGCTGCCTTTGCTTTTATCATGTTTCTGTTGAAATAGGGTTTAATGTAGCCCAGGCTAGTCTCAAACTCACTATGTAGCCAAGGATGAGTTTATGTGGTGCTGGGAATGGAAACCAAGGTTTTCTGCATGCTAGACAAACTCGCTACCAACATCCTCAACTCAGACCTTAGGACTACATTTCTATGACCCCCCTTTTTTGAGATAGGGTCTCCCTACTATCTAGAAGAGGGGAGGGATTGTCTATATGTAGACCAGGCTGGCCTTGATTTCACAGAGGTCCACCTGCCTCTGCCTCCCAAGTGCTGGGGTCAAAGGTGTGTGCTTCCATATCTGGCCTCTTAGTTTCTGTTTGTCTGGGCATTTTATCACAGCAACAGAAGTGAAACTAGAACACTTTCTGAGGTTTCTTCTGCAGGAGAAACAGTGATAGAAACACCCAGAACATATCCAGAAAGCAACGGGAGCTGGCAAACCATGGACCCTGATGGTCATTTCATGGGTAGAGACACTGAGTCAGAGGAGCAGAGCCTCACTTAAGTCTCCCAGCAAGGCCATGTGAGGGCTCTTTAGGCATAGTAATCAGTTCGGTCTCCTGACCCCTGGTCTGTGACCCCTGGCTTTCTCTGTCCAGTCTGACCTCATCTGGTCACTGCACCTAGCAGTGCCATCCAGGGAGGAGTTAGACATGCCTGATAGATGTGCTCCCTCTTTCCTGCTTACCACAAAAGGAAAAAAGAGGCAGAAAAAGTGAGGGGTATATGAGGCTATATACTGATCATTGTCTACTAAATTTTGGGAGTGATGGCTGGGATTGTAGCTCAGTTGGTAGAATGCTTGTCTAGCATGCTTGAAGCCCAGGCTTCCATCCCAGCACAACATAAACCAGGAGTGGTGACATATGCCTTTAATCCAAGCATTCAAGAGGTGGATGCAGGAGGATCATGAGTTTAAGATCATCTTTGGCTATATAGCAAGTTTGAAGCCAACCTGGGATATATGAGAGCCTGTATCAAAAAGGTTTTATTTTTCCCCCTGGCTGAAATAGTGGAACTCAGGAGGCTAAGACAGGAGGATGGCAGATTTGAGGTCAGCCTGGACTACACAGAAAGACTTTGCCTTAAACAAAAAAAAAAAACCCTATTGCTTCTAGACACTTCTGGCTAAGATCAAGAATGAGAAACAGGGCTGGAGAGATGGCTCAGGGGTTAAGACCTCCTTGCAGAGGACCCAGGTTCTGTTACTAGCACACACACAGTGGTTAACAACTGTAACTCCAGTTCCAGGGGAACCAATGGTGGCTTCTGGCCTCTGCCAGCATTGCATACATGGGTGCACTTACATGCACACACAACACTCATAAAAGAAAAACAAATGATAAAAAGTAAATATGGCTGGGCATAGTGGCACATGATGTATAATCCCAGCCCTGGTGAGGCTGAGGCAGGAGGATGGATGCAAGTTTGAGGTCAGCTTGGTCTACATAGTAAGTTTCAGACTAGCCAGGGATACATAGGAAGACTCAGAAATCCAAAATGAATTAAAAAATTTTAACATTTAGTGTGTGTGCACGTTTGCATGTGTGTGCTTGTACTATAATGCCCATGTGGATGTCAAAAGACAACTCGTAGGAATCAATTCTCTTCCTCCACCATGTGGGTCCCAGGGATCAAACAGGTTGTCAGACTTGATGGCAAGTGCCTTTATCTAGTGAGTCATTTTGCTGGCCATGAACATTTCTGTATTTTATGATGTTTCAACAACCTGGGGCCTTGCTAGTTTGGGAGAGTTGGCCTTCCTGAAACTAGCTATTTGCTAGATAGAAGGTGTGTTGTCTTTCCTATATAAAACCATCCAATCCAAAACCCAAATCCTCAACCTGCTCCTTTATCTAGTGCTCACCTACTGTTGATACCACCCCACTCTAATCATCCCAGGCCTGATGCTAGACAATCAGGGATCCCCACGAAGCCAGAGGTATGGAAATTACTCTAACCACCCAGACCTGAGTCTGCTCAAACATGCTTACCCTGCTTTGTGCCTTCCTCCTTCCTTCTTGTGGAAACCACATTGAAGGTTCCAGCCTGTGCCTTCCCTAATGCCCTCTGCCTGACATGCCTGCTTCCTTTTGGGAACTGAGAGTAATTAACTTTTTTATTTTTTACTTTAATGTATACTTGTGAGTACATACTAAAGGGTATGCATGTGTGCACATGTGTGTGGAGGCCAGAGGTCAGCCCTGGGTGTTGTTTCTCAGGTGCTGTCCATTTAAAATTTTAATTTTATGTGTATTTTGCCTGCATGCAATCCCTGTGGAGGCCAGAAGAGGGCACTGGATCCCCAGAACTGGAATAAAAGATGGTTGTTAGCCACCACGAAGGTGCTGGGAATCCAATCCAGGGTTCCTCTACAAGAGAAGCCAGTGCTCTTAACCATGAAGCCATCTCTCCTGTTCATTTTTAAATTTTTTAAAAATTTAAAACAATTTTATGTGTAAGAGTATTTTGCCTTCATGTAAGTGCACCCATGCATGTAATGCTCACAGAGGCTAGAAGAGGGCATCGCATCTCCTGGAGTTGCAGTTAGGAATGTTTGTTAGCCACCATGTGGGTGTGTGTGGTATATGTACATATTTGTGTGGGTATATGCACCTGTGAATGTGGAGGCCAGAGGTCAATGTCCAGTTTCCTTCATCCCTCCACCTTATTTTTTGAGACATGTCTCTCACTGAACTTAGAGCTCATGGATTCAGCTAGACTGACTAGCTAATGAGTTCCAGGGATCTGCCAGTTTCCATCCTCTCCAAGCACTTGGGCTACAGATGCATGCTACCATGCCAGCTTTTATTGGGTGCTGGGGACCTGAACTCAGGTCCTCATGCTTTTGAGACAGGCACTTTAGCAACTGAGCCATCTCCCCAGCCCCCCCCCCCCATTTTACTAGAATTTGCCAATTTGGCTAGGATGAATGACCAGCAAACTCCAGGAATCTGCCTATTTCTACCGCCTCAGCCCTGAGATTACAAACATACTCCCGTGCCTGGATTTTTTACTTGGGTTTTCAGGTCCTCACGCAAGGACAGGTACTTTACTAATTAAGCAATCTTCTCAGCCCTCTTTTTTCTTGTTTCATTCTGGGGGTAGAACCCAAGGCCTTATGTGTGCTGGGCAAATACCAGTGAGCTACAGCCTCAGCCCCATAAACTCTTTCAAAGGTGGTTGTCCCTGTGCCTGTCATCTTACCTTACCTGATTCAAACAAGTCCCTGGGATGTTTTAAAACACACTAAAGATGGGGCTGGAGAGACTCATCAATTAAGAGCATTGGCTGCTTTTGCATAGAACCTGGGTTCAGTTCCCAGCACCCACATAGGTGTTCACAACCATCCATAACTCCAGTTCCAGGGGATCCAATGCCCTCTTCTGGCCTCTGTAGGTTTGCACATATGGTGCACTTACATACATGCAGGCAAAACACTCATACATGTACCATAAAAATTATAAAACAGGCTAAAGTTTAAAGACCAAAGGAGCAGGACCCCTGTGCCCTCTGAGATGGCACTGGTCTTACTCTTCAAGGCCTTTGGGGCTTTCAAACCCTTCTCAAGGGAAATTTCTGAGTTGGCTCTTATCTGCAGGGGTCTGTGGCATCCCTGCCTACTGCTGGGTCCTCACAGTCACCAGATGAGAGCAGGCCCCTCATCTGTACACCAGTGAGAGCCACATGCACATTTTGGACAGGTGCACTGTCAATCATTCCTGGAAATTGTGCAGACAGGGCCAGGTGCTTTTTTCAGGTGCTCCTCAGATGTGGGTGGCAGGCAACCTGGACTCTCATGTAAATTCTGCCGCTGCCTTTCTGCAGGAGGTGGGGATGATGGCCACAAGGCTGACAGTAATAATAACTTGAATGTAAAGACAAAAACCCTATTGTGTGCATGGGATCATAGAGGCTCAGAGAAGTGAATTCATCTGCTCCCTGGTGGAGCTGGAATTTCACTCTTAATTGGAACTCCAGGGTTAGTTACCTTGACTCATCGACTGAAGAGGACAGAACCAAGTCTGTGTTGGGGTTGAAGTTCCTGTCTGTCCTCTGCACTGGACTGCAGGGCTCTCATACTTAGCCAGCAGGCTTTGGGGACCTGTAGCAAGCTGGTGGGTGGGATCTCCCAGGGCTCTGATGGGTGTGGGCATTCCCCTCTCCCCTCTGATAGGTTGCTAGCCTTGGGCTGTATCTGGCAGACCCTGGGGCTCCTTGGGGAGGCCTTGGAAGATTTTGGGTGCTCAAGAGTACCTTCGGCTAGAAGCCAGGCTCTGCTTGTCACTTAGACGGGATCTCATCCTTGGCTCAATGTTTGTTGAATGAATAGCTAAAGTTAAACGAGGAAGGATGAAGTAGAGGAAAGTGTGGAAGGGGAGTCTGGACTCAGACTTTGCGTACTCAAGGAACCTTTGACTTTGATGTGCTGGCAGTCCAGTGGACAGTGGAATTGGGACCATGAGTGGGTTCCCACACCCTGACCTACATATCCTGTTTGCTTGAGCCTTCTCTCTTAGCTCCCAACCTCAAAAGCTCCCTTCTCTATCTCCACAGCCTCTGGGTATTCTGTCCATCAGATACACTGATGCTACCCCAGGCCCTTTGCACTGGACTTCTGGGTCTGTAGTGTCTCCCCAGGCATGCTTGGCCCTCCCCTGCATATCTGTATCCAGAGTGTTCTGTGGAGTCCACTCTATTTTACTGATTTATTGACTGTCACCCCATGACAGGGAGGTTCAGGAACATGAAGGCAAGGGACTTTGACTATCTTGTTTACTGTTGTGTGGCCAGCTCTGAAAACATGCCAGCAGGGGTGGGATCAGGTGCTCCCATGCAGGCCTGAGAGGGAAGGAAAGCTCAGGTAGGCGAGGACCCCAGTGGGGTCCAGTCATGTGCTAGACAAGACTGCCCTCTCGCAGCCAGCTCTGGGGTTGAGAGAGAAGCCCTCAAGGGCCCCCATTCCAGTTCTTTCCCCAGGGCCCGGGACTCACTTTGATTTCGATCTGCTCTTCCATCTCCTTACTCTTCATGGCTGCGTACTCCTTCTCCAGCCTTGGGGAGGAGGGGAGGCACATGGTCAATGTCCTGCCTCCCCAGGGAGGCCTTCCCTCTCTGGCTCTCATTGCCCCAGCACTGACCTCTTCATCTTCTTGGGGTTGTACTTGACCTGGTAGGCCTTGAGGACCAGCTTGTCCGGGCAGCTGTCAAACTGGTGGGGGATCACTCGCTGGAAGTACTGTGGGGACAGGGGGGCACTGTCACGGGGGCCCTACCACCAGGGTTTGCCTGAGTTCTTTCTCTGTTAAGTGCTGACTGCTGCCTGGGGCATCACCATGTCTCTAGCATGGACCCTAGCTGGCTTTAGCTGCTCAGCCAGCATTTGTGGAGCGAGTGAATGACTATGCAAACTGACAGTTGGGGAAGTATGGAGGGCCTACTTTCCAATGATGCCTTTGGGGAAAGCTTAAGAAAATCAGGCTGGGGTGTGTGAGTGGTGAATTGGTTCAGCTAGTAAAGGGCACTTGCTGCTCAGCCTGATGTGAATTTAATCCCTTGAGTTCATGGTGGAAGGAGAGAACTGACTCTTAAAAGTTGTCCTCTGACTTGCCCCGACTAACACTCACTAATAGTAAAATCAAGTTTGAAAAATTCAGGCTAGAGGACCCTCTTGCAGGCCAGGGCTTGGAGTGGGTGAGGTCTGAGGAAGGGGGTAGGCAAGCCAAGTGGACAGAGCTCCTATTCCCTGGCCCAGATGGCCCCTCTGGCAGTCATGGACAATGGATATCCGTGTTCATTGACACAACTGTGGGCTTTGTGCATTCTTCCTTGAAGAACCAGCTGGAAGATGCTGGGGGGTGGCAGGGCCCTGTGTGATGGGGAAAGAGGGAGGCCAGCTTCTGCTCTTGCAGACTGTGCGGCCCAGCCAGGGCAGGCCCAGGCAGGGCAGGGTGGGAGGCAAACCCAAGATGCATTGCTCCCTCCAGTCATCTCCTGGCTGAGAGATGGGGTGAAACCACATCAAAAGTCTCCCTGTTCAACCAGTGTTACTTTGCAGGGAGACTTTGGAGATCTGGAGTAAGTGGGTGGGACCTCCCAAGAATCAATGAATATGGGCTCCCTTTTTTTTCCATGCCCGGTTGCTGGCTCTGGGCTGTATCTGATAGAGCCTAGGGATCCTCAGAGCAGAAAGGATCTCAGATGTTGAGGAGTGCCTTCTGCCAGGAAGCCAGGCCTTCTGTCTTTTGTCTCATATAGCTCAGGTTAGTCTTGAACTTGCTATGTAGCTAAGGATGACCTTGAACCCTTGATCCACCTGCTTCCACCTCCCGGAGTGTTGGAATAGGTAGCACCACCAGGCCTGGTTTATGCAGTGCTGGGGATGGAACCCAGGTCTTCATGTACCCTACCTAGACAAGTACCCTATCAACTGAGCCACATCTCTAACCCTCTCCTTGTCATCTGGCAAGGTCTCCTGTGCCTGTTATCCCCAGTGGAGACAGTCTTACCTCCCTGCTATCCTGGCTCACCTGAGACATGCCTTCCATGTCTAGCTGCATCAGCTCCGTCTGGTTTACCTGTAGCAGGGCGAGGCCAACTCGGAACACGATCTCCAGCCCCTGCAAAGGCAGCCACAGGGCCATGAGCCCCTTGTCCTATCCTGCCAGGGCACTCAGACACTCCTCTGCTTAGTTCATTGGTCCGTTGGTCCACAATTCATTTTTGGGTTGTTATATGATCTCTACTGTGCAAAGTGGACTGGGCAGGGGTATCCCACAGGGTGCTCACCTCATACATAAAGATGTCGAAGACCCGGGTGGCAACAGGCAAGGGGAAGGTGGTGAGGAAGAGTGTGAGGAACCAGGACGATGCATACATGGAGGTATGGAAACTCTGAGAGCGGAAGTGGGTGTTCAGGTCTGGAAGCTGCTCCTGTGGGGCAAAGGGGAGGCTGGTGAGCATGGAGAGGGAAGTGCTGGGGCTCAGTGCCCCTCACCTCCAGGGAGCCTTCCCTGCTCTACCTGGGGTGGCCCATGGGTCCCTTCCTTGGTGGCTCTCTCAGCCACTATGTTTAGGGGAGACTGAGGCATACTGGAACTTTGAGTAACACAGGTTGAGAACACAAGCAGGACTTGGGGGAGTGCTTGTGTAATTGGCCTCAACTTCAGACTGTGGGAAAGTAAGGCTGAGGAAACTGAGGCTGGAGAAAGTGTCAGGACTCTGGGCTTCCTCATTAAGCCATGGGTTCACTCTGCTCTGGATTTACGTATCTGTTTGGTGGGAGGGTTTAGACATCTAAACTGGCGTGCAGATTGCAGTTTTAATTTTGGGGGGGGCAGTGCTGGGGATCAAATGATTTATTTTCTATTTCTGTGTATGTGAGGGGTGTGTGTGTGTGTGTGTGTGTGTATAGGCCAGAGGTTGATGTGGGTGGCTTCAATTGCTCTCCACCTTATTTGAGACAAAGTCTCTCACTGAACCTGTAGCTCATGGATTTGGCTAGGCTGGCTGACCAGCGAGCTCCAGAAATCCATCTGACTCTGCCTCCCCAGTGCTAAGATTACAGGAACACACTGCTATAGCTGGCTTTTATGTGGATGTGGAGGTTCTGAACTCAGGTCCTCATGCTTGTACAACGAGCACTTCACTAAGCCATCTCCCCAGCCCTTATTTTATTGTTTGAGAATCTCAGGTAGCCCAGGCTGGCCTCCAACTTGCTACATAGCTGGGGCTGACCTTGAACTCCTGATTCTCCTGCCTCTATTTCCCAACTGCTGGGATTACAGGTGCACCACCATATCAGGCTTATACAGTGCTGGGGACCGATCCCAGGACTTTGTGCATTCTAGGCAGGCACTCTTTCAACTGAGCTACAGTTCCACCACTAACATTAAAAAAAAATTTTTGAGCTGGGTGTGGTAGTGCACACCTTTGATCCCAGCACTTGGCGGGAGTCAGCGGCAGGCAGATCTCTGTGAGTTTGAGGCCAGCCTGGTCTACATATTGAGTTCCAGGCCAACTGAGGCTACAGGAAGACCCTGTCTCAGTAAAACAAAAACATTTTTTGATGTATTTATTTTTATTTTTTATTTGTATGAGTATTTTGCCTGTATGTATATAAGTGCACCTGTGTTGTACAATGCCCGAGGAGGCCAGAAGAGGGTGTCAGATCTCCTATAACTGGAGTTATGGATGGTTCTTATCCACAATGTTGGTACATGGAACCAAACCTGGGTCTTCTGCAATAGCAGCCATTACTCTTAACTGCTGAGTCATCTCTCCAGCCTCCACCCCCAACCCCCTTATTTTAGCCCAGGATGGCCTAGAACTTGGAATTCTCCTGTCTCAGTCTCCCAAGTGCTGGTATTAAAAAGGTGTGTGCACCATGCCTGGCTATGGATTTCTTTTCTTTTCTTGGGCGGGGGGGATATTGGGGATCAAACCTAGGGAGTCACAAGCATGCTACCACTGAACTATGTGTCCAGCCCTGTGCACTCATTATTTTAGGTGCCTGGTGATAGAATATGTGAATTGCAGAAGAACCACAGGCCTCATTAGGAAAGCAATATAACCATAAATTCCTTAGACTGGCTAACTGGCCCTAAATTGGCAGTCTGGCCTTGCTCAAGCCTTATTAACTTGTCATTCCCTGGACTGAGAGAGACTGTTTGTGGAACCTACCTGTCTCCTTTAGTGCTATAGATAACTCACCTGCCTGCCTGAGCAAATAATATTGGGAAAAGAGACCCTCAAGGACACCAGACCCTGGCACGGAGTTAACTCTTGCAGCTATGTGCATCAGAGTCCGTATATAAGACCAGACTGCTCCCCATTTCACTGTAGATAATCATTCCTTGAAGAAGAGCTTATCAGCCTTTGCTGGGTTCCCTGCATCCAGGGAGTACATTCCTTGCCTGTTGCAGGTCTGGTTCTGACTCTTATTTTTAAACTTTAAACTTCTTCCTTTTTCTGACCTCCTAAATCTAACACCTGGGCCTACTGCTTATGGCATTATCAGCCTCCTGGAGCTACACCACCCATAGTCCTCAAGGTCCCAAAAGAGGGGTCTTCTCTCATTCATTGATCACTTGCTGATCCCACAGCCCTCTTGCCAACAGGCTTCTAGAGCACAGCAGGCCAGTGTGTATAAGAGTTGTGTGTGTACATGTGTGTGCATGTGTGCATGTGAGGGGGTGCTTGGGCACAAACACTGAGGTTCTGTCTGCCAGCCAGGAGTGAGCCCTGAAGGGGCTGCTATTTATAAATGAAGATGTCTGTGCCTCCCCAGTAATCAGCAGAGGCAGGCAGGCAACATGTTTCCCTCCTTCTGCCACACCCATAGCACAGAGAGCCAGCCCCCCTCTTCCTCCTTCTGCTGTACCTAAGCAGTTCTAGGAACTCCTATGAGGATGGAGGGGCAGCCCCTGTCATGGCTAGCCCTGCCTGTCCAAGCATGCTTCAGGGTAGTGGATTTTTTGTCTCCTGGGGACAGGCAGGAGTCCCTTTCTGGGCTCCCTCCCCTCTCCTCTCCTCCTTTCCCCTCTTCTTCTGTTCCCCTCACTTCCTCCTCCTCTTCATCCTCTACAGTGCTAGGGATTGAAACAGGACTCTTACATGTGCTAAGTAAGTTCTCTACCACTGAGCTATACTTTAGCCCCCTGGTGCTTGGATTTTGAGACAGGTCTTCACTGCAGCCTAGGCTGGCCTCAAACTTGTGATCCTCCTGCCTTAGCATCCCAAGTATTGGTGGGATCATAGGCATGTACCACCAGGCCAGGAGCCAGGTACATTTATTTTCTCTCTTTTTCCCTCTCCCTCTCCTTCTGCCTTCAGACAGGATCTCACTCCCACCTCCATCTCCCAAGTCCTGGGATGTTGACTAGTTAGTTACACGGTGCTGGGGATGGAACCCAGGGCTTTGAGTACATTGGGCAAGCAATCTACCAACAAAGCCACATTCCTAGCCCCTTGGGTGTGATTTCTCAGGCCTGAAATTTTCAGGTCAAGGACCCCTGGGGACAGCCTAGGGGTGGCTATCCTTGACCTGCTCACCTGTAGCATGTATTCAAACTGGTAGATGCAGAGCCCCAGCTCAGCCATGCTGGGCTTGAATAGCTCTCGTAGCCGGTATTCCTGCATCAGTCGCACGAACACACAGAAGGCCTCCTCCTCAGGCATCTGTGGGAACAGCAGGAGGTGCGGGTATGCTGAGTGACAGCAGGGTGGGGAGAGATATGCTTGGGCTCTGGATAAATCCAGGAGCACAGGGTACTGTTTCTGTCCCATTTATGTTTATTATAATTGTGCCTGGCTACCCAGACCCACCCAACAGACCATAAATACGGTCAGCATTGTTTACGGATAGAAAAACCTAAGGCTGAAGTCATTTACTGGGGACCACTGGCAGGAAACAATGGCATTGGAACCTGAATTCAGCTAGAGCCCTCAGTCTCATCCACCTAGTTGAAACACCCCCATGTCCACTCCTGTCTCCTTTCTCACTGTTCTAAGCCTTTTGGTTTTGCTGGAGGAGCCCCCTGAGGCCCCATAAATACCCAAATCCTTGGCCTGAGACCCCTGTCCAACTGTCTCTTGAACCCTGCCCTGTCCTGGATAGTACACTATTAGGACCCAGGCAGCACAGGTGCCCAGCCTCCTGTATCCATCAATGGCGGGGGGGCTCAGCCTGGTTATTGTTAGTGGTCACACTGGCTGGGAAGAAGACTCTGGCCCTAGGAGGTCTCTGGTTGCAGGGAGCACTCATGTCCATCTCTTGGGGATGGAGCCCTGGGTGGCCACCTACCTGCATGAGGAGTAAGCCCACGATGAATGCACTGCCCTGGCAATAGCCTACTTCCCGGTCTACCAGGGAATATGCCTAGAAGGGAATGAGGCTGGGTAAACATGAGGCCACCACTGGCCCCCATGGAACAGGCTCAAATGGGGACAGAAGCTGAGGGCCACCACAGGGGGCCTAACCTTCATTACGTTGAAGAGGACTTCCTGGCCCAGGCTGTCCTGGCCTTTGAAGAACTCATGCTCTGGGTAGGTGCGAGCGATATCCCTGCGGATCAGCTTCTCGCATGGTGAGGACATCTTGAGCAACTCTGAGTACTGGTTCTTGACGGGCATGTCTGTGGCACTGCACAGGAGCTGCCACACGATGGCCCGGAAGTGGTGCGGGATACCCTTGCGAATCAGCTCCTGCCATGGGGAGGGACAAGGTAGGGAGAGGGAGGCCAGGGCTGGACTCCCATATCTGCAGCCTGCCTGTGGCCAACCCAGTCCAGTCCCTCATATGTGGCTTGCTTAGCCTTGAGTGTGGCACAGAGGGCATCTGAGCCACTGTGCTGTAGCTAGTCCATGGCACTTAGCTTAGTCACATCTTCAGGGATTCTACCACTAAGCTACAATTCCAAACCCTAGCCCTTGTTTGTGTATGCGTGTTCATGTGTGTACATATTCACAGGTACATGTGTATGTGGCGGTCAGAGGTCAACCTGTATCATTCCTCAGAGGCATCTGTCTTGGTTTTGTTTTGTTTTATTGCATTTACTTTGTGTGTGTGTGTGTGTGTGTGTGTGTGTGTGTGTGTGTACCACAGTCCACATGTGAGGCCAGAGGACAACTTGTATTTGTGGGAGTCATTTCTCTCCTTCCACTGTGTGGGACCTGGGGATCAAATTCATGTTGTTATGTTTGTTGGAAAGTGCCTTTACCTGCTGAGCCATCTTGCTGGCCTATCCATCTTGATTTTTTATTTAGGGTCTTTTACTGAGAACTGGGGCTCCCCAATTAGTCTAGGCTGGCTGCCCAGGGAGCTCCAGGGATCTGTCTGTCTCTGCTTCTTCAGCACTGGGATTACAAGAGTGTACCACCATGCCAAACCTTTTTTTTTTTAAAGACAGGGTCTCCCTGTAGCCCCAGGTGGCTTGAAGACCAGACTGGCCTCAACCTCACAGAGATTTGCCTGCCTCTGCCTCCAAAGTGCTAGAATTAAAGGTGTGTACCATCACACCTGGCATGCCAAGCTTTTTACATGGGTGCTGGGAACTCAGTTCTTCATGTGTTTAGCAAGTACTTTACTGACTAAGCATCTCTCCAGCCTCCACCTTTCTTTTTAAACCCTTGTTTTTGAGACAAAGCCTCACTATTCAGCCCAGACTGGTTTTCAACTTGTGATCCTTTTGCCTCAGTATCTTAAAGTACAGTGCTCATAGGTATGTACCACCAGGGCAGAAAGCAAACAGGCACAGGGGCCTTGCTAGCTGTATGTCCTCTCTCTGTCCTATCCTTGTGCCCCATCTTCACATTTGTATTTTGGCCCTTCTACCTAAGCTGGGCTACCTGGCCCTGCTTGGTGTCTGACTGACCAGGCTGGCTGGTCCCCTGCCCATCTCCCATCTGCCTTGGGCCACCTTGAGCAATTTTTCCTTTCGGCGTCTCCACTCTTCCCACTCGTTGGCGATACGGCCCCACAGGATCCACGTGTCCTCCTCCAGGTGGCTTAGGTTGGAGGAGGCCGAGGAGCTGGATACCAGTGAGGAGCCACTGTTCCTCCGAGAGCCATTCATAGAACGCATGGACTTGGAGTCGGCTTCCAGGAGCCTGGGAGGGAGGGGTAGACAGGAGAGGTGAGAAGGGGTTCCAGTGACTCACTCTCTGGGGGCATGGACCCTCTGGGGAGCTCAGCTTCTCCTCTGGGACTGGATCCATGCTACTTTCTCTTTTTTCTTAAGTTTTTAAATGTGTGTGTGTGTGTGTGTATGGAGGTCAGAAGAAGGAATCGGATTCCCTGGAGCTGGAGTTACAGGTGGCTGTTAGCTGCCTGATGTAGGTGCTGGGAGCTGAGCTCTGATCCTCTGCAAGAGCAGTAAGTGCTCCTGACAGCTGAGCATCTCTCTAACATCTATGCCACCTTTCTTGCTGAGTGGCCTTGGCCAGTGACCTAACCTCTCTGATGCATGGTCCTCATCTACTGGCCCTTGGAAAGGTTTTTGTTTATGTGCGCCTGTTCTGTACCAAGCACTGGGCTGAGTTTACCTCTATCATATCATTCTCAAACCAACTGTACTGGGCAAGGTTTGAGATGATCTGCACTTCATAGAGGGTGCAAGTCCTAGCTGAAGGCATTCAGCTAGTACCACGGCTATGGAGGGGTTGCACTATCTCCCTCCCTCTCTCCCTTTTTCTTTCTTTCCTCTTTCTCTCTTCTTCCTTCCCTACCTCCCTTCTTCCCTCCCTCCTTCCTTCTTTGTGTGTACATGTATGTGTGTGCACATGTGTACAGGCATTTGGAGGCTAGAGGTCAACTTAAGGTGTCCTTCAGGAGCCACCCATCTTATGTTTGAGACAGGGTCTCTCTCTCTCTCTCTCTCTCTCTCTCTCTCTCTCTCAAGAACATGGAGCTCCCCAATTAGGCTAATATGACTGGTCAGTGAGCCTCAGGGATCTGCCTGTTTCCATTTCTTCAGTGCCAGGATTACAAGCATGTGTATGTGCCATCATGACTGGCTGTTTTATTTGGATTCCGAAGATTGAACTTAGGTCCTCATGCAAGTACTTTACCAAATGAACCATCTCTCCTGTCTGCTTCCCTCCCTTTTTTTTGAAACGAGTACTGAATTTAGGGCTGTGCATACTTGGTGAGTGCTTTCCCACTGGTCTTTTATTTGAGATAGTTTGGATATATAGTTCAGACTGGCCTTGACCTTCTGCTGCAACCTCCCATGTGCTGGGGTGATAGGACTGGCTGAGCTACTGGCTTATGACACTTTCAAAGAAAAATTTTTACGATCTTTTAATTATGTGTGTATGTCTGTAGCTGTGTATGTGCACATAGTGCAGGTGCCCATAGAGGCCAGAAGAGGATGTTGGATCCCCTGGAGCTCTCTATATATAGGTGGTTGTGAGCCTCCTGATATTGGTGCTGGGAACTAAAATCAGGTTGTCTGCTAGAGCAATGCATGCTCTCAAACACTAAGTCATTTTCCCACCCATTTGGGACCCTTTTGACAGCTAGGCTTTGTAGAGTCTAGACAGATAAAGGGAGGGATGGTCCCACTCAGGGTTAGGCAGTTATAAAGCTAGGACTTATCTGCCTCTGAGTGAATTTTTCATATACAAAAAATCCAATCCAGAGCCCTCAAGCTAACCACTTTCTCCAGCAAGCTTTCATACTCTGCTTACTATCTGCCTGCTCCTATAACCCCAGGCTGGGTACCCAACATCTAGAGGCAGCCCCTATGCCTCTAGCTGGAGCTGACTGAAATGATTCAAGCTAGTGAATAATAAGCCTGCCTGCCTTGCCTCACACATTCCTTCCCATAGAAACCACCACAAAGGCTCTTGGCCACATTTTCCCTCAGGTTCTGTCTGCCTTCTGACTGTGCCTCCTGGTATGGCCCTGCATGAAGTTGCATCTTCTCCTTTTGGAAACTGTGAGTAACAAAGTACCTTTTCAGTGCCCATTGTCTCTTGATCTACTGGATTTACTCCATCCCTTAGTAATGGTAAAACCCATACTACGAGCTGAGGGTGTGGCTCAGAGGTAGAGCCCCTGCCTAGAATCCCCACCTAGAATCCCCCAAGTGAGGGGCTGGAGATGTGGCTTAGTAACAAAGTACCTGCCTAGAATCTGCAGTGAAGGAATGGGGCATGGCTCATGGTAGAGCCCCTGCTTAGAATTCCTTAGTGAAGGGCTAGGGGTATGGTTCAGTGGTAGAGCCCCTGCCTAGAATTTCCCAGTGAGGAAATAGAAGTGTGGCACAATGGTAGAGTGCTTGCCTAATATGTCTAAGGCCCTGGGTTAGCACTACAAGAAAACTCACAAGACTAAAAAAATCCTATATTCTAAGACAAGGGCAGGTGGGGCCATAACTTCTTCCTTCCAAAAATGGCTTTGTAAATGAAAGCCAGATTCATTTGACCTCTTGATTTTTATTTCTTAAATTTATTTTTATTTTATGTGTACGAGTGTTTTGCCTGCATGTATATTAGTGTACCATATGTGTGCAATGTCCACAGAGGCCAGAAGGGGGCGTTGGATCCCCTGGAACTGGAGTTTTTGATGATTGTTAGCTGCCATGTGGGTACTGAGAACTGAACCCAAGTCCTCTCCAAGAGCAGCCAGTGCTCCTAACCACTGAGCCATCTCTCTAATCCCCACTGACCTTTTAAAACCTGGGTTTACTCTTGTTTATTTTATTTTATTTATTTTATTTTTTATATGTATGTGTGTATTGCTTGCATATAGGTAAGTACATCCATGTCATGCAATGCCCGCAGAGGACAGAAGAGGCTGTTGGATCCCCTAGAACTGGAGTTACGGACAGTTGTTAGCTGCCATGTGGATGCTGGAATTCAAATCCGGGTCTTCTGCAAGAACAGTGTTCTTAACCACTGAGCCATCTCTCTAGCCCATTACTCTTATTTTTAATTTAAAAATGTGTGTGTGCGCGCGCGTGCGCGCGCATGCGAGGCTAGAGAATTCCTTGTAGCTGGAGTTATTGGCAATTTTTAGCCACCTGACATGAGTCCTGGAACTGACCTTGGGTCCTCTGCAAGAGCAGCCAGTGCTCTTAACTGCTGAGCCATTGCTCCAGCCCTAGGTTTACTTTTCTGAATAAGGGGACCAATCTTTTCAGCTTAGATTGGGAGGATGAGAGAGAAGCCCCCTTTCAAGCATCTTATGGTAGCTGGTATCTTGGGTAGCCCAGATCTAGTTTTTGAGTATGAAGGCTCCCTGGAAACCCAGGCTGGTGCCCTGAGACCTTGAGACCTACATGAGTTCCCAGCCCCACCCCATCCCCACTCACCGGTTCTGCTCTTCAAGCTTGGCCAGCAGCTCCAGTTCATCCGGGCTGAGGTTCTCAGAGTCAGAGGTTGGGGAGCAAGTGGGGGCTGACAGGGCCTCCTGGGACGAGGAGTCAGGGCTCAGAGTGGGGCTTGCCATGGTGGGCAGGCTTGTCAGCCACAAGAGAGGCCAGGTTACAGCTCTGCCTGGGGATTGGAGGTACATGTGGTTAGCATTGGGCCGGTGCCCACCTTGAACTCTAGGTTCTGGGCCAGGAGTCTGCCTGCTTACTGTGAGACCACACCTTCATCCCAAACTCCAAACTTCTGGTCTGCCCCTAGGTGCACCATAGATCCTATGTGCTACAATCCAGCTAACAGCTAATGCTCAAAACAGCACAGAGCCTAGGTTGGATGCTTCCTGTCATTCAAGGTCTAGAGGACCCTGCATGAGCCTCTGGGGGTACAGAAGATGCTGTTTTGGTGACCCTTCCTGACAGTGTCCTCTGTGCCCTGCTGTGGCCTGCCCTGGGATCCTTGTGTTGGCATGTGGCTTGCCCTGTTTCATCAAGAAGAGTGGGCTGCTGGCACAGCCGAGAAATTACTCTTACTGTTAATTGTCTGGTGCCTTGGATGGCCGGAAGAGTCATGTCTTCTTGGGTGGGAAGCCAAAATTGCATCAAAGTGCCGGGAATCTGGGCCCTGGCAGATGCACAGCTGGCCTTTAGGTTCAGAGGAGGCATCCTGACCTTAGTCTGTGATGTGTCAGAGCATCTCTCCTACTTTTTAACTGGGGTGATCTGCCTGGTCTTTCTGGGGGCTTCCAGGACACTGGCCTTTTGCTTTCTGTCTGTCTGGTTGGGGAGCAGATCAGCTCTGTGATGAAAATAAAGATACAGAACATGGCTCAGACTGTAAAGTTCTTGTCACACAACCATGAGGACCTGAGTTTGAACCCCATAATATATGTTTAAAAAGAGCATGTGGTAAAGTGTGCTTGTAATTTCAGTACTAGGGAGGTAGGAACAGGAGGGTCCCTGCAGTTGACTGGCAGGCCAGCCCACCTAAACTGGGGAGTTTCAGGTCAGTGAGAGACTCTTGTCTTAAAGAAACAAGATGATGGCTTGAGAAATGGCTCAGCAGTTAAGAGCTTACTGTTCTTGCAGAGGACCCAAATTTGATCTCTCATAATTAAAAACAAGGCGAACTGCACCTGAGAAATGACAGCTGCGGTCCTCTGACCTCCCTCCATGTACATGCCATGGTACAAGGACACCTGTGTACACACACACACACAAAGAGGTTTTTTTTTTTTTTATGGGAGGGGAGATGGAGGCTAGGGAATGTATTCCTTCTGCCTGGCTGTATTTTGTCCTGGTAAGCTCAGCTACAACCCAAGGTCTGAGAAGATTTAGGTACCCAGGGTTTCAGAGGCAGAAAGAAATCTCTACTCTGGTCTCATTACATACCATGGTACCTTCATGCCTGCCCATTTGCCCCCTGTGCTCTGCCCCAGAAGTCTGCTCTCTGCTCTTTGAACCCCATCTGACAGCTAGGCCACAGAAGGGGCCTCACAAAGTATCTAGATTCCCAGATTCCACAGGCAGTGGGGGAATAGTGACCTCATGAGGGACCCCTTCTGTCTGCTCAGGTCACTGAACACCTTCCTATAGTCCCTAACCAACACTTGAGGGTACACAGGTTGGCTGGGCTTGACTCTGGTCATATGCTGGGTGCTGCCTGCCTCCAATGTTGTGGGAGGGGTTTGGAGTTTCACTGCCCTCATTTCATCTTGTAGGGATCTCACAATCCTCCTCCTTAGGACCATGGTTCCCTACAGGCCCAGGGTTGTATCTCTAGGTCCTGAGAGCTCCCCTACTCTATTTGTGAGCTAAGGGCTTTGGATTTTGGTTTTTCTCTTTTTGTTTTTTAAATGTGGTATGCATGTGGGAGCACATATGTGTGGATGTGTGTGTACATGTATGTATGAATGTGGAGGTCCGAGGTTATGTCAGAAATCATCCTCCATTGCTCTTCCACTGTATTCATTGAGGCAGGGTCTCTCAATCAAACCCAGAGCTCACTGAGATGGCTGCTAGTCTGGCTAGAAGGCTAACTTGTTCTGTGATCCTGTCTCTGCCTTCTGAGGCTGGAATTATAGGGGGACACCATGCCCACCCACCATTTTACATGGGTTCTGGGAATCTGAACTCTGGTCACTGAGTCATCTCCCCAGCTCAGGGACATTGATTTTGGTAAGTGCCAGGCTGGTTAGGAACCACCAGCCTTAAAGTCCTTTAAGTAGTTGTGAACTGCTGAACCAGGGGTTAATCATTCCTGAAGAAGAGACAGTGCTCCCCACTACTCTGCTTGGAGACCTCCTGCAGTGTCCTGACTGTGGCTAGACAGGACTGAGGGCAGGAAGTGCTGAGGCAGAAGGATCTTTCTGGGAAGAAAGAGGCCAGCCTCAGAACTGGGAGAACATGGAAGAGGCGGTGGAGGTCAAGAAGGGGAACCCAGAACTACAGCTGGACTTGGGAAGCACTGCAGATAGTTGCACCTGCAGATAGCATGGTAGCTTAGGAGCACCCATCCCTACTGAATGGAGAAGACCCAGCCTCAGAGTGAGTGGGCTCCATCCTCACTCTCCCAAGAAGCCTGGGAGATGGCTCAGCTCTGCACTTCTTCCTTTTTCTTTCTTTCCTTCCTTCCCTACCTCTTTCTCCCTCCCATCTTTCCTTTCTCTCTCCTTTCCTTTTGGGACAGGGTCTCAAGTATCTTGGGCTGCCTTGGACCTTCTATAAAACCAAGGATAACTTTGAACTCCTGATCCTCCTGCCTCCACCTCCCTAGTGGGGATGACAGGTGTGCCCAACCATGCCAGATTTATATAGTGCTGGGGATGGATCCCAGTGCTCCGTGCATGTTAGGTAAGCAGTCTACCAGCTGAGCCACATCCCCAGCCCTTGAGCTCTGGGTTTCTGATTAAAAAACAAAATACAAAACTGAACCAAATAATAAAAACAACCCCAAAGCCAGGGTCCTCTCCCTAGCAGTTTGTACAGCTATTTATCACATATTAATGTGCATGTCCCACAGGATACAAAATATATTAAACACACAGGGCTAAAATTTACAGTCTGAGAGGCAGGAACCTTCTGATTCCTCTGGAACTTTCTTTCAACTCATCCATGGACTCTCTAAATAGTGCCTAACACCAGATGACATCCTCTTGAAAACACACACACACACACACACACACACACACACACACAGAGCAGGACATGCAGGTATGCTAGGACATACACATTACTCATATCCCACCTTCCCTCATTCACACACACACACACACACACACACACATCCTCATTCACACTCATACTTTCCTATGCACACACACTCTTTGATATACACATATTTACATTCACTTGGATAAACAGCCAGTCATATATACTGACCATGTACACAAAACACATACTCAAACTTATATTCTTGGGCGTACACACACAGGCTCATGTACTCTCATGTCCATTCACATTCATACACACACTCGCCTCCCTCTACATGTGCACATGACACACACTCCCATATTCTCCTCCCTCCCTTCCTCTCTCCCTCCCTCTCTCCTTCCCTCCCTCCCTTCCTTTCTTTTTTTTTGAGACAGGGTTTCCCTGTATTCCCTAGCTGGCCTGGAACCTCTATGTAGACCAGCCTGGCCTTGATCTCACAGAGACCCTCCTGCCTCTGCCTACTGAGTGCTGGAATTAAAGGCATGTGCCACCACATCTGGTCCTCTTTTATTTAAAAAAAAGATTTATTTTTATTTTTGTGTCTGTGTGTCACATGTGTATTGGTGCCCGTGGAGGCTAGAAGAGGGTGTTGGATTCCCAAGAGCTAGAGATATAAGCTGTTGTGAGCCACTTGATGTGGGTACTAGGAACTGAACTCAGGTCCTCTGGAAGAGCAGCAAGTACTCTTAACCGTTGAGCCATCTCTCCAGCCCTTCTCTCTTTTCTGTTTTTTTTTTTTAAATTTTATTTTTTTTTTATTTTATGTGTATGCATGTATTGCTTGCATGTAGGTAAGTGCGCCCGTGAAGTGCAATGCCCACAGAGGTCAGAAGAGGCTGTCTGATCCCCTGGGACTGCAGTTGAATGGACAGTTGTTAGCTGCCATGTGGGTGCTGGGATTCAAACCTGGGTCTTCTGCAAGAACAACCAGTGTTCTTAACCGCTGAGCCATCTCTCCAGCCCCACCCCCCTTTTTTTTAAAGATGGTCTCAGTAGGTAGCTGTGATGGTTAATCTCAGTTATCAGCTTGATGAAACCTAGAATCACCTGGGGGATGGGCCTCAGGGCATGGCTGTTGGGATTACCTTGATTAGGTTGAGGCAGGAAGACCCATCTATTGTGGGCAGCATCATTCCTTGGGCTTGTGTCCTGTACTGTCTAAAAAAGTGTTTTATACATATAAAAAAGGCTTGCTGTGCACTAGAATTTATCACTCTCTGCTTCACTGCTGTGGACACAATGTGACCAGCCCCCTTCACCTCCTGCTGCCTTGGACTGTACCCCTGAAATGGGGAGGGAGACAGAGTATACTCTTTCTCTTTATGCTGCTTTTGTCAGGGCATTTTATCACAGCAAAAGAGAAATAACTAAGACAGTAGCCCAGGCTGACTTGGAACTCATTATGATGTTGAGACTGGCCTCTAACTTGAGATCCTCCTGCCTCAGGTTCCCAAGTGCTGGAATTACAGGTGTGAGCCACCCATTTGTCTGGCCCATGGCTTTTGAGACTGAGTCAAGGCAGAGACCTGGGAAGAGATGGTGCTGGTGGGCAGGGAATCATGTGGGAGCAGAAAAGTCCAGATGTCAGGTATTTGTGCCCTCCTTTCCCCCTCCCATTTTTGGGGATTTGAACAGTGCTGACCACTCCTCCCTGAAGTCCTCTCCACCTAGTTAATTGGTAGGGCTTCCTGCTTCTCTTCCTACATCTCTGATGAGGGCTTCTGGTCACCTGTGTGGCAGCTCTTCCTCCACATTCACCATTTAGGGTATCACATAGCCCAGGCTGGCCTCAAACTCCTTAGGTATCCAAGGATGACCCTGAACTTCTGATCTTTCTGCTTTTACCTCCTGTATGCTGAAATTACAGATGTTCGCTACCTTGACTGGCTTGTGAAGTGTTAGGGATGGAACCCAGGG